TCATCTGTAGTAGATGTAGATGTGCAAAAAATTATGAGACCCCGAACTTTTAAAGCTGTAGAGCTTTTAAAGCTCATGTCACTTAAGTCCAATGTTAATAGCGTGAGATATATGTCGTTTTCGCTAGAAACGTCGAGGAGTGGGATTCTACCTGAGTGACTCGAATAAACAATAAAACAATGGAAAAGCTCGTGAAGGGCTCCTCATTCGAAGAGTTGAGGAACGGTGCATCGCTCAGGGTTCAAGGTTGAAGGTCCAAGGTATAAGGTTTAACTCAATTTTTCCTGCATTCTTCCGGCTTCAATTTGTGGCATTGGTCAGTTTACTTGATTGCTGAATTTCTATTAATATATACAGCAGATACAAAGTGAGAAGGCAGGCGCTGCGTCGGGACGGACCAAATATTATTAACTCTTAACGGTCGAAATCCGATTTTTTTTTAAAGTAAGTATTTAAAAATAACATAATATAAGTGGAAATTTCTCCAGTAAGTGGACTGTGAAATTATGTACATCCAGCTATTCCTCATCATTTACAAATCTGAGTGTTACGTCAAAAATTTTGAAATCGATGCAGCTCGAACACAAAATGGTGTATTAAAAAGGAAGAACATTTTTGCCTGTACATATGCGTATAGAGCCCGCGAAGCGGGCCTGAGAGGCGCCCTCCGGGGGGTTGGGCCGCGCAGCGGTCAGGGGGCAGGGCCCCCTAGTATCTTTAATTCTGCTGTAATAGTCATAGTTTGATGGTTCATCTTACGTTCACTTACAGGAGGGTAAGCTTTGATAAAGTTGACAAGCATAACTACTTGACGATAAGCAAACGTGGAGTACTTCAGTATACCAAAAATCATATGCAATTCACTCAACTGGATGAATTCCGTAGCAGATACGAGGCACATTCGAGTTTGATGAAGGTAAGGCGGCAAACTGGGCGCTCAACGGAGGCGCATTGTTTTTCTCATTATTCCTTGAATGTTTTAATTCCTGGACAGTGAAACTAAAAACATTACGCAATTTTCCCTGGCTATCGTTGCAAATGCCTGAGTTTTTTGTCAAATTCAGTGAAGTTTCAATGCTTCCAGAGTTGAATTCGTTTCAGAGAACTTAGAATAAGATCATTCTTTAACTAAGAAGACCTAGAAACGTATACGAGTAATGTAGTATTTTCATTCAGGTGATACCTACTAATCAAAAAGTTGTTTGTCGAAATTCAAGCAATTAGTCGTTCACTGCAAAAAGAAAACACATTGGATCTAGAGTCCAAACTTTTGAAAACATTAACAAGAAAAAATACTCTTGATTCAATCGGATTTTTGCTTGGATCAAAACCAAATCCGCTTAAATGAAGAAGGCTTGGTTCTTAATTCAAGCTAGATTCTGATTGGATCAAGAGTACTTTCTTGTCGATGTTTTTAAGAGTCTGGACTATAGATCGAATGTGTTTTTTTTTCCAGTGTTGAGCAAATTGAACATTCAATCAAGTAATTTTATAGCACTCAAGAAAAACTAAATTATCAACTAAAATTTTCCATCGATCGCAATTTTGCATGCCTCAATCTGATATTCTTAACTGGTAATCTGACTGTTACTTTTAGATTAAAGTGTTCAACCGCTACCCGATGTGGAAAATGTTTTTCTACTGGCGAAAAACGGTTACGTGGAAAAAATTTATCGCAGCACGGAAATTTTTAGAGGGGAATTTATTTGTAATCCGGAGGCACCTGCAAGAAGCCCTCCTCAAAATTCAAGTTTTGCTTGTTTCAAAAAGCTCCCTGTTATTTTTCAACAATTCACGAATGGAGAAACTTGATCTAGTAGAGTTTCTAAAAATGCAAGTAAGTGTTTGAAATAATCCTAAGTGTGCAGCTCTCCAAATTTAAGTTAATGCACACGGTATTTCATGCATTTTTGCATTTCACGCACATGAGAGGACTAAGTAAAAACGAAATTGCGTAAGAAAGAGATACTTAATCTGTAATAGTCTAAAAGCGCTCTTAACCGTCCCTACCTCCTACACGTCACACCAGGGACAAGACGCGCGTTTATGACAGTGTAAAGATACAACTATTCGTGCTTGATGGATGTCCATGTTGCATCTGCAAAATTGAAGGCGCTGTGAGGCGAGACGAGAACACACAATGCCCTGGCTTATGCAGTCAAATCTGTGCTCAGAGTTGGGAGAAAAATTGAGAAACGTGGCCTGATTACATCTCTCCTATCTTTGGCTGTGTTGCTCAAGAAGATCTTGAAGCACCACAACATATAGGACAAACGGAAACAAGCCGCCCCCAGTTTTACAACAATCAGTGTTCGAAACTCACCTTTGAGTTTTAGGAGCCATGTGGCGCATCAAGCCCGATTTTTAGGCGCCATTGAAGATTTTTGAGGGGCCAAATTGACTTTTTGCCTGTATATTATGGCGCATTTAGTGAAAAGTTAGACTTAAGATGTTCTCGTAACAGAACTAGTAAGTAGCTGTAACTTGGGGAAGACAAAAGCACTAAGAATGAAATCGTGAAAAATAGAAGAAGCAAGCTTTCACTTGTAGTGCTGAAAATTCTGAGTTTATTTAATTCAAATAGATTTCTTTTTCTTTCTTTAAGTGATTTCCGGTGAAAATACAGATTTTTATGGGGCAGTTTTTAGGGGCCACGTTGGCGCAGAGCCTTCAATTTCTAGGCGCCATGGCCGATTTTTTAGGCGCATTTGGCGCGTTGGCGCCTGTGAGTTTCAAACACTGATAACAAGCCCCTAGTTTTGATACAACCTCATTCTTTTTTTAACATTTTCCATTCCAGTTTAACCAGAACGAGAGGCTTTTTAATGAACTGACCGAGTTATGAGATGAGATCACTGAAATTGCCTATTCATCTTGCTGCGAGTACTTGCATGGTTTTGGTTTCAATATTGAAGGCTGCAGATTCACGATGAGGAATGAAAGTGAGTCTTTAAATACTTTCAAATTAGAAATTTAATGGACGAACGGAAAATCGACAAAAAAAAAACCTGAAAAGTATCAATTATCCATTACACGGAGAAATATAAAATGAAGTCTCTGTACCCGACCAGACTTGCTTGATGGCTATTTTCGTCTTTAGGCTTCAAAATACGATCAAATCCCAAACCGCTCTGGTACCTAAAAGTGAGTCAGCCTAACATCAGACTGTTTCATTTTTATTAGGGCGATTCAGATCTATGGCGTTATAGTGCCGTGACACCTCGATCATCTGAAAATTTTTACCGCGCCGCATGCGTATTCAATTCCGCAAATCGCTGAATACTAAAAAATGCATTAAAAACGTTAGAAATCATACAAAAGCTGCACAAATTTCAGAAAAAAGCCAAATAGAACAACGCTTAAAATTTTAGTATCCCTGTTACATTAACTTGCAACTAATTCCATCACAAAGTGTCTTATGTTGCTTTTGCAGTGCGTTACCAATCATTGGCGGATCCAGAAAATTGGCACATAGTTTTTCCTCCATTTGAACCTATGGAAATGTATCGCTTCTTGGAGAACCAGGTGCTCCGGCAAGAATAGATTATTTAGCATAGGTTTAAATGCAGATAATCCGGCGTTGCCAAATTGCTGGATCCGCCTCTGTTACCATTACATTTTTACGTTTTTAGATAGGGCAAGTGGAGAGTCTAATGGATCACCAGCGCAAATTAATGACGACATGACCTATTCTGAAAAAGAGCGACTGCGAAAATGCTGTCGACAAACGGCACGGTAAGACAACCACTAATACAATTGAATTTATTTACAAATATGGCCATAAGGCAATATTTTGCTATTTAACGTACCTAATTCATTTTTGTAATTCATTCAATAACTGTTCATTGTTATTTTATCATCTATAGATAAAGTAGAAATCAAAGAAAATCCAGAAAGAGTCAAGGAATCTCATTAAATAATCAAGGACTAGGTTTTCCCATTGAAAAAAAAGAAAGCTAATCAAATATATCTCTTCTAAATGTTTTAAAAAATTGTTGAATGAGTTAAGGAGTTCTAAAAAAAATTAAAAGGAAGTTGTTATTCTGTTTTGTTTTAAAAGAGAATTAAAAACAAGCGGAAACTTGCAACGCAGCGATAAGATATACCAGTCCAGGCGCCTGGTAAGTCTACCTGGAATTTTGGGTACACAGCGATTTTTTTTGGCTTACTTTATGGTTTTTGGGTCGATGAATCCGAATCTGAAGTTTCCTACCGCGTATCTGGTGAGCATTTTCCGCCATTTTGAAAAAATGGCCTAAAAAGGCCTTTTTCCCGGTTTTTTGACATAGCGGCTACGCATGAGAAAAAGTCCCGGATTTAGTTAACGTTTTGAATAGCTGATAATATTTGGAAGAAAATGGTATATGAATATGCTAGGTTTGTTCAAAAATTGCGGAACCTCGGATCTCGGAACTTTGGAACGCTTTCGGAACTTGGCTGACCGCGGCAAGCCGGATCGCGAGTTGACGGGTGCGCCGCGAAAACGTGAATGGGCGCGATGTTCACGATGCTGTATCTTCCTCAATTTTTAAGCAAACCCAGCATATGTATACACCATTTTCTTCCAAATTATGTCAGCTATTCCAAAGTTCCAAAAGCGTTCCAAAGTTCCAAAAGCGTTCCAAAGTTCCGAGATCCGAGGGTCCTCAATTTTTGAGCAAACCTAGCATATTCATATACCATTTTCTTCCAAATTATGCCAGCTATTCAAAACATTAACTAAATCCGGGACTTTTTCTCATGCGTAGCCGCTATATTAAAAAAAACGCAAAAAAGGCCTTTTTAGGCCATTTTTTTACCGGCCGTTATTTTATAGGTACTCTATTTTTTTAATCAACTTATAAGCTTTGAATAAATCAATGGAGAACGCAGCAATTTGCGTATTGATGTTAGATTTTAACGTATTATCCATGTATCTTTTTTGCTCATTTTATCTGGACGTTGTAAGTAGACTTTTGATTTTCGTTTCAAATAGGTTCTTACAACAAATTGATTTTATGATGCAAGATCTGCACCATAAATTAATTGGATTGTCCTTGACAGAGCTGAGGTTAACCTTAGAATGTCATCGCAAACATCTACCAGAGAAAGAGGATTTAACTGGTTCGAGTTGGACCAAACAGTTGGAGAAGCCGCGCGATAGGTCGCCTAAAGTGAGTTTCCCACATTTTGGTAAGGTATAAAATATATGATTTGATACGGTTGAGAGAAAAAAATCATCTCCCAGAGAAAGTCAATCTCACGAATGTCACGCGGCGTCGCTACCCAGAAAAGGCAACTTAAACGTAGTTCCGATCCATACTTAAAAATTGTCACCCATTTTCCCTCTACTTTGACGCAAAACCTTTACTGAAATTATCGCGCAGAGAATCTGCACGCAAATTTTTTATTGCTTTGTCTGAGAGTGCTTAAAAGGTTGAGGTCGAAATCATTTTCATGATTTTTTCTGATACGGCGAATAGTATAAAAACGGATTTAAAAATAGAAGGAGTCTCCTATTGACGTCATCTGGTGGACTGTCTGTGGATGTATTTTAGCAGATTATACCATTTTGCCATATCTCCTCCAAGAATTGTTCAATTTATGAACCAAGAGTATCCTTCGGCTCAGTTCAAAAGTTTCCACTGAAACGCAGGATTCGTCAAATTTCAGATACCCGCAAATTCTCAATTTCGGACGAAAATTCCAAAGTCGTGTCGAATTTTAGTGAAAGATTAATTTTTTTCCAGTCGATTTTCCAGCCTTCAAGTGAGATTGCGTCCGTAAATCTTAGGGAGTTCCCACAATGATTTGTGACAAATTCTCTGAAATTTTTAATAGAGCCTATTGTATGCATATGTTAGCGTTAAAGTATGTAATCCATTAATGTATACATTAACTAGTTAAAGTATACATTAACTGAAACGGCCAGTTAAAGTGTAGAATTTTTGTGGGTTGCACACTTTAACTAGTTATTCTATAGAATAACGGGCGGCTCACAGGTAAAGTGTGAAAGTCACAATTGAATCAAGTCAAATTATCAAAACAAAAACAAACGGCTATTCATGATGCACGAACTGAATGTCCGTTATAAAAACATTACTCCAGCCCAAGTTAAGATTTTTTAGACTTTAGTGAAACTTGTCAGGTAAAGGAGAATGTCATGAAAAGGGGCATTGTTGTAAAACCTATAATTTTTCCCCACGTAAATAGTAGCTGTCAACTAGATTTGATTGATTTGCAGTCGCAGCCCGATGGCGAATTCAAGTTTATTTTAAATTATCAAGACTATCTTTCGAAATTCGTCAGTTTGCGAGCTTTAAAGACAAAAACAGCAGATGACGTTGCGTACAACTTGCTATACATTTTCACGATTTTTGGAGCCCCAGCAGTATCACAGTCGGACAACGGCCGGGAAATTTGCAATTCAGTGATAGAGTGTCTGAGGGAAATGTGGGCTGAATTAAAAATTGTGCACGGTAAACCGAGACATAGTCAGGGTCAAGGGAGTGTAAAGAGGGCAAATCAAGACGTCGAGAATATGGTCTTTGCATGGTGTAAAGACAACGGAGCAACAAAATGGAGTCAAGGTCTGAGATTTGTCCAATTTCAAAAAAACAGGGCCTCCCATTCGGGTGTATCAAAAGGAGCCCTTTTGAGGCGATGTTTGGATGTCCTCCGAAAGTGGAGCTCAAAGATTCCTCCCTTTTTATACTTTAACTGACACGTCCCAGTTATTCTATGAAATAACTAGTTAAAGTGTGTAATAAAAATTTAATTACACACTTCAACTGGCTGCTTCAGTTAATGTATACTTTAACTAGTTAATGTATACATTAACTGAATTACATACTTTAACGCTAGTCCCCGACGTAAATAGCCTAGATGCTGATCGTCGTTAAATAAAATTAACTAACTAACTAACACATATAACTATAAACTTTTGTCGATAGCGGATATGAATATATGAACAATATAAATCTGTAAAAATAAGAATTAATAATAAATACAAGAAAAATTCTTGAAAAAATAAGACATAAGATGAAACGTAAACGGCTGTATTCTGATGCGGCTGCTAGAAGTTGACAATTGTTTTGTTATTCCGCTTGGTCTAAAGGTGCGACTGCTAGTTTCATCTGTAGATGTTCTTCACTCGTGAACTGTTCCCGCATTTGGTGTAAAAGTTGATTCTGTTCCGGGTCGGCTAAATCAGTTAAATTTTACAGTTAATCGGTGTGGTGTTTATTTGGGACAATGTTCAGAAATCTGCGGGGTTAACGATAGATTAAGCAGACAGATAGACAGACGGACAGACAGAGAAACAAACAAACAAACACACACACTGGCCAATCAATGTTTTAAAACAAAATAAAGCAATTATAGTTGAGAAAAAGTTTACAGTAAAATTTGGCAACACCCAATGTTACCTGGCTTATTTTTTGGAAATGCCGTCCGAAATAAGGTCTTATGGAAAAATGGGGTGACGGTCACGATAAAAGAAATGATGAAGAGCACATTCGTTTCTGTGCGATCGCAGTCTCTTTCCTCGAATCCGCTGGCAAAACTTGACTACGAAAATTAACTATCTTTCACTTGCGGAATAATGAAGGTGAAACTATCTGATCACGCACCTCGTTTGCGGTGTTTAAAAACCTCCGCTCCCATTTTATTTTTCTGAAGAGGACCAATCATCATCTTGCATTTTCACAGAGTTCCCTTCGCATATCGAAGGAAGTACACCGAAGTTTTCAAGAATTGATGTTGAGAAGTTTTCCATTTAAAAATAAATCAATCATGGCAGGAAGTCTACAACGTCGTAAATCGAGATACGTCGTCTTGTAGTTTCACCGTCGATATTTAACATTAGCCATGCTCCAAAATGGGCATACGTCATATAAAAGGTGCAAAAAAAAAATTCTAATGGAAAGAAAAAAAAAATTATAAATACATATATTATTATACATAAAACGTAAATTTATATCGAATTCCAGGCTCCGTATTTCTTCCTGAATCTGGAGATATCGGACAAACTGCTGCATTTAACGCCAAACGAAGCCGAATTTTTTCGGTCTTTCCGCGAGGTTTTTCAAACTTGGGAATCGACATGCTCTGGAATTGTGCCAATTAAAGCGACAGGAGTTTTTGAACCCTTTATCAGGTAAATAATTATTTGGTTTTATCTATTTGGTCCTTCAACGTAAACACGTTAAGCATCCAGGGGTCTCCTGGTCTGGCTACTTCGCGGCCCAATCTTTGATGGGCGCCAGTAGCGTTGCGTGCTTTGCGATATATCGATTAAAACGCCACTCAAACCTATGAAAAAAGATCGATTATCAGGGTGTTTGCAGAGAACACCTTGATTATCGATTCTTTGCCGTAGCATCAAATGGCGAGATATCGATAATCGATCATTCACGCCACGCCACTGATTGGGCTCCGCGTCCTCAAAACTCCTCTCTAAGGCAATGAGGAACCCACGCCATGTTTTAGAAACTTAAAAGCAGCATGTTGAGAAAAAGTGTTGTTAAGAACCAAAATTATTACAAGTTATTAAACATTAATTATGAAACAAAATGAGTGTATGCAAATATTTTTTGACCAACTTTGTACCATAAATACAGCCCAATTGTTTTAAATGGATCAGTTTCGCTAGTCACAAACTCATGTTTTGATCAGGTGATTCGATGGACGCCATATTTAGTGTCAGAACGACGCGCGACATATCGCATCGATTGGCTCTATTTTTTCAGCCACTAATCATTTTTCTCGAATTTTGAGATCGTAATTCTGTTGTCAGGAGTCTAAAGCACTCACTTACCAATTTTTACAAACAAATTCAACGTAGAAAACGCGTGGTTTGTTTTAGAGAGAAAGCATCGCATTCGATACTGATATCGAAACTGCACTTGAATGCGATATTTTCTCTTTAAAAAAGCGACGCCTTTATTACGTTGAATTTGTTTGTAAAAATTGGTAAGTGAGTGCTTTAGTCTCCTGACAACAGAATTGCGATCTCAAAATTCGAGAAAAATGACGAGTAGCTGAAAAAATGGAACCAATTGATGCGATATATCGCATGCCGTTCTGACACAAAATATGGCGTCCATCGAATCACCTTAATTCTTTTAGTTTGGCTGAAAATAATAAGATCCGCCAAAAACAACTATTTTCTGCGATCAATATATACCGTAATATTGTGCTTTAAAAAATTTAGTTTATGACGTCATCCACCACACTAGTGACACCCATAGTTTCATCTACCTTGCCGAGGTTCACGTTAAGTAACCAGTGCAAATGTGTGTCTCGCCGTTTGATGAAAGCAAGGTAGAAGAAACCAAGGATGTCACTGCCGTGGTGGATGACGTCATAAACTGCATTTTTCAAAGCGCGGTATCTCGGTTTATACTTAACGTAGAAAGTTGCTGTATAGATAAATGTTATTATTTTTAGCTAATCTACAAGAATCTAGCATCAAAACACGATGCTGTGATCAGCGCAACTGACCCATTTTTTAAACGCTCATAAATTTTACCTATTTCACTTTATTTCATTTATTTACTTATACAATTTTGGTGCATTTTAAATTTTTTCCATGCATTTTAACATAAAATAGCCTCGAGTTTTTTTTTTTTTTGTTAAGAAAATTGGATTACATTTTGCAATGAGGAACCACTGTCTCTGGCTCTCCCATAAAAACACATTCCTGCATAGGAAAACCAATGGCACGTATGTTGTTTCTAAAATGGACCAGAAATAGTGGTTCCTTGTTGCAAAATGTAATTCAATTGATGTATTTCCTGAATTTTTCCCGGAACTCTTGAAATTTCCAAAATATTCCGGATTTTTTGCATTTTCCGGAACTTTCTCGGAACATTCGAAAAATCTATAAGGAGTCCCGGAACTTTTGACGGTCATGGAGTGGGAGGTATCGGAACAAAAAAGTTCCGACTCCCGGAACTTTTGACAGGCATTGAATTGGAGCACTGCTTTCATACGATGGATCAATACGTTTTTCAGACCAGTCATCCACGGTTGGAAAACAGAAGTACTTTGCGAGCTTGGGTCCCCATCCGAAGAAATTTTCGAGATCGATGAGCACTTGTCTCGCGAGAAAACCACCATTTTGGAGAATTTGATGGACAATTTTCGTGGGGTTAAACAATATATAAAAAGATTTGAGTCCGTTCAAGAAATTTACTGTGCGATAGACGTGGATCCTGCGGTCATAATACAGGAGAAAGGTAAGCTTGTCGACGCACATCGAATCGAGTTAATTAGAGAGGTCGGACATGAAATTTTTAACCAAAACTGTTAGTTTTGATGTTTAATTTGTCACATTTTCAATTTTAAAAAGTGCATCTACACTGAAAACTAAAATTGGTAGAATTTACCATTCCTTCACGCTGCATGTCACACAGCGTGAAGGAATGTTAAATTCTACCAATCTTTAAGTCGGTTTTGCCAGAGGAATCGTTACCTGTACCAGTATATAGTAACGTTTACCATTCTTCTGGCAGAATTGGCCCTAAATTGACACTGTGCGTAATACAGCGTGAAGGAATGGTAAATTCTACTTTTTTTCAGTGTAGAAGAAAATTCTTCGAGGAAACCAATGGAAACCACTTTTAAAAACTAAAATTTCGTATGAACGGAGTTATGAGCTTTTAAAGTTTCCAAATTTTTTCGACCTTGCCTATTGACTCGATCCACTGTGCGACGGTGACACTGTTAAATTAGTACGTATCTCGTTTGTGGTGTTCAAAAATATCGGTTCACATTTTATTTTTTTTGAAAGATAACAAATCAGCATCATTCTTTAAGGTTTCACAGAGTTTTCTTCGCATGTAGAGAAGGAAAATCAAAGCAGTCTTAATGAATTGACGTTGAGTAGTCTCCCGTTTAAAAAATAAAGGATGACGGGAACTCTGCCAAGCCGCAAACCAAAGATACGTGGTCTGGTCGCTTCACAGCGTCGAAGTGCAAATTCATATTTTCTCGTATGTATGATTACTGAAGGGAAACAGGGCTTTTCATGGACGAAAGACATTAGTAAATGTGACTTTTTGGGTTCGGTTAAACAGGATGTGGTACTCATGAATAATATAATTAAAGTTTTTCAGTCATTTTTGAGAGAAAAGTTCAGATCTTATGAGCCGTGGGTATGAAGTTTTACATTAGCCGCACTATTCGGTTCACATAACCGCATTTCCGGTTCTCAGAACCGTTTCCTCGGTCCACAAAACCGAGTGTTTTTTTATAGTTCGGTTTGGTTTCAAAACTTGGACACATGAATAGAAGAACGGATCATACCGCCGAGAGTGTGGTTACATGAACCGAATGGCACCGAGCAAGTGGCGTGACGCGCTTTGCGATTTATCGATTGATCTGTCATTTAAATCTATGGAAAAGGATCGATAAAACAGGGTGTTCGCAGCGAACACCTTACTGATCGATGCTTTACTATAGCTTCAAATAGGGAAATATCGATAATCGATACTTACGCCTCGCCACTGCACCGAGCACTGACAATGAGTGGGAGAGATCAGCAGACACGCGACTTTGCGATTGACGTTCTAGTGCTCCTTACTGGGGACTTGATACCACTTCACATACGTCCTTGGCAGATACATACCTACACTCCTGGATTATCCATTTCACCAACCTAACATTCTGTGATGTCTCGTTTGTTCAATTTGACTGAAGTGAAACCTTGTCGATAGAGAAATACTAAAAACCTTACAATACAATACAATACTACGAACAATACTAATCTACAAAAAATCAAAAACGTTCAAAATTCACTTATTTGAAGATGATTAATTATATAATAAGCCAAATGTTTAAAATGTATATTAAGGAGATAAAGTTGAGCAAGTATTTCTGACTCCAACAAAGTTATCCATGGTAAGAGATTGTGTTGGTGAAGTTGATGAGAGATATATTGTCAGATAATTCAGTGAACAAGTACAGGAAATTTCATAATTGAAGTATTGTTACTACTACAGAGATGATTTTCATACGATTATTTAAAATTACTGTTCCTTTTACAACATAATGATTGTACATGCATGGCTCATTATGTTTGTTGTTGATCGTAGGAAATTTTACTCTTTCATATTGCAAGTATCGATTTACTCCTTTCATATACAGCACTGACGTAAAACGTCCTTAAAATCACTTGACCAAACTCTGCAGCAATAAAACCTCATTACTGATCTATTATAGTTCCGGCATATCTGCCTCTGATTTCCACATATATTTGTGCTATAATATGTAGATGGTATCATATAAATGTATCAACGCATTCGATTCTCATCTGCTGAACTTTGCTTAATATTTGCCTCGCTTGCGCTGCCTCAGGTTATAAATATAATCTAAATGGATTAAATTTTCTTATCAATGACTTATAACTGATGCGTGAATTATACCTTTCACTGCAGATACGAAACTATTCAGCGAGACTTTTAAGCAATATAACGAAAATATTAGAAAAATTGAAAGAATTATCGATCACCAGCTGCTGGGAATATTTTATTTGAGATTGGACCCAATGAAGGAATCTCTATTACCAAAATGTCACGAGATCCTAACTGCCATTGAAAGTGCCGTCCCACGGTGAGTAGTGATTCAATCATTCATATTCCACTTCAATGACGTATTTGTAAGCTTTACTATGGTGCTATGAAATATTAGCATCTTATATTATGTTGCAAGGTATATGCCTTATGCATTTTGGTTATAAGGCATCCATCTTTTATATGTAGGCGGTGAAACTGCCAGACCACATATCACGTTTGCGATGTTTAAAAATCTCCGATCCACTTTATTTTTTTGAAGGGTAACAAATCAAAATAATTCCGTAAAGTTTAAGAAGAGTTTTCTTCGCTTGGAGAAGAAAATTCACGTAATTTTTTAAGAATTGATGTTGTGTATAGGTTTTCATTTAAAAAATCAAGTATGACAAAAAGTGTGCGATCTCCTAGACTGAGATACGTGGTTTGGTAGTTTCACCATCTATATTCTTGAAACATTTTCTAACTTCTAATTACGACATGAGTGTTAAACCTGTAAAGGCAGGATAGACTTTATATTCTAGAAGGAAAAAATTATTGACCAGCTGTAAAATAGAAAAGAGGACTTAGATGAATTAGTGCGGTCATTTTTATTTTTATAGTGTGTTTTTTTTTCATTTATGTTTTTATATAATTTTGCTATATTTCATATTTTTTATCCTTTTTTTCGTGTAAAATTTTGTTTTATTATTTTTTATCAAGTTTGTAGAAGCTGTATCATGGCGAAACAAAATTGATAACCACTTGCATGTTCTACAGTAAGACCTCTGCAATCCTAGGTTAAAGAAGGAATCTTAAAATCCTGAAAAACGAAATTTGATAGTTTTCTTTGCATGCGATTTGACGAATTCGAACATTTTTTTTATTCAGAATTGGCAAAGAACGTGTTAGTAACCTTGCGACCGAAATAAAAGGAACCCATTATTACATACGATCGGATCCAAGACAAAATCATGAGTTTGTTGAGTACCAAGTATTCTTGGGGAAGATTTTGACGCGGGTAAGTTGCTCTTATCACTTATCACTTACCTCATACCTAGTAAAACCTTGATTATCTGCTCTCACGGGTGGGAAACGGTACACTGAAAAAAGTCTCTTGGATTCAGAGTCAGACTCCTAAAAAATTTAACAAGAAAAAATACTCTTAATTCGTCGAATTTTTCCTCGATTAAAAAGGTAATCTGCTTAAATTAATAAATTACCAATAAATATTAAAGATTCCTCGAGCAAATTAAACCAAAAACGGAAATAAAAGCATTCAATAATCTTCGGGAGAAAAGAGGCAGATACAGCAATAGATACTCACACAAAAAATTTGGAGCACGTCAAGCAAAGCGGATTCAACGCAAGTTAATGTGATTCGATGGACGCCATATTTTGTGTCAGTATGGCAGTGTAAATATTCCCTTGCGGTGAGCTAACCATCACCTTGCGGCAAGGTATCGGCCTTGCCGCCCTCTCCGAGCCCTATCCGAGCCCTCACCGAGCTAGTTCATGGAACTCGACGACCGGGAATAAAACCGGATGACAACACTGTAGACCCAAATCCAGCCGGAGGTTGCGAAAAAGGCGACACAGCATCGGGAAATACCCCGTGTTGGGTACGCTTTTCGTCTCCAACGTTGCCATGCATAATTATTCCCAGTCGTTAAGTTCCACGAACTGACCCGGCGAGGCCTCGGATAGGGCTCGGAGAGGGTGGCAAGGCCGATACCTTGCCGCAAGGTGATGGTGAGCTCACCGCAAGGCAATATTTTCTCTAGGGATGCGATATATCGCATCAATTGGTTCCATTTTTTCAGCTACTCGTCATTTTTCTCCAATTTTGAGATCGAAATTCTGTTTTCAGGATACTAGAGCACTCACCAATTTTGTTGGGTCTTACGCCCAAAAAGAGGTTTTTTAGTTTTTGGCTTAGTTTTAGCGCGGGATCGCCAGCCAGTCGCAGTCGCTCTGCCGCGACTCCGTTGCCGGCCCCACTCCTGATCGTGAGTCGTTGTGCGCAGGCGCCAAGTGACCAGTGCGCAAGCCCACGCGCACGCAGCGACCCACGGCGACGGTCAGGAGAGTGGCCGCGGCGGCGATCAGTCTGCGATCAGCTCTAGAGAAGGCCAACGACAAGAGTTCCCCCGTGTTTAGCTTCTCCGTTCTTGCAACGCCTTAGAGTAAGCCGACTCCTTGTCTTTTTCCTTTTCTCTCCTTTCTAGGACGTCCATTCCCTAGAAAGAGAGTTGCCTCAGGACGTCCATTCCCTGAGAGATTCCCTCGAGACGTCCATTCCTCGAGTTGCGTCAGGACGTACATACCCTGACATGCCACCACGAAGTGCCATGCCGTGGTGATGCTTTTCGTCTGTTAGGTTTTCTCGTTCATCTTGTTTTCTGACCAGTTGAGTTTCCGTTCAGGTTTTCCTTTCCGCTTTATTTCTCCGATTTTAGTTTATGCTTTCTTCTTCTCGTGGTGGGATGCCTAGGTATGCGGTTCGCCTAGTTGCCTTGGGTTCTGTCCCCGAGATGGATTTTCCTTTCCTTCTTTTTTTCCCTTTTTTCTAGTACGGTCCTCCGGTTCTTTCTCTTTTTCCACTCCGGACCCGACAAATTTTAACAGTGAAATTCATCGTAATAAAGGCGTAGTTTTTTCAGAGAGAAAACATCGCATTCGATACTGATGAAACTGCACTCGGATGCGATATTTTCTCTCTAAAAAAACCACGCCTTTATTACGTTGAATTTCTTCGTTGAAATTGGTAAGTGAGTGCTTTAGTCTCCTGACAACAGAATTGCGATCTCAAAATTGGAGAAAAATGACAAGTAGCTGAAAAAATGGAACCAACTGATGCGATATATCGCATGCCGTTCTGACACAAAATATGGCGTCCATCGAATCACCTTAAGACAAGTGTAGCATATCCCTAAACAGGAGACGGAATCTCAAAGAAGTAATACGTTTGAGTGTGTGATGATAATCAGAAGCTTTGAAAAGAAATACCTTTTACGGAAAAGAAAGTAAGTTACTGCATATCTTTTTTTCATCTCAATGTTAAATTGAGCCCTCAGCAGAAGATACCATGTTTTTTTCTTTCCTCGATTTTGCATTCGACTTACAGATGCGTGATTCTCTCCCGTAGGTGGAGGAAATGAAAGAGGAGATGATTTATTGCAAAGGGTTGTACGAAATGATGGAACACTATTCGGTGCCAGTTAACTCAGAGGATAGAAATAATATTTCGGTGAGTAGACAGCATATTGGATTCTTCTCAGAAAGAAAATCTAGGTTCACAATAGAAATGATGTCGGAGACACTTGCTTAAAATGATACTCAAAGCTCTAAATGGATTTCTCTAATTTGCTGATTTTTCATTTCTTTGAGAGGTCCCCTAATTCTTTCAAAGTTACCTCCTATGACTGAATTTTTATTGCATCACTCGTACACCCGGGAATTGAACACCCTTGGAATAACTATGCAAACAAGTATTGAGATCAGTTATTGGATTCAGTTCAGTGACAAATATTCCTCTAGAGTTTTTATTTTCTTTTTAATTTTATGGAGTTAATGTGGTTAATAATATGTCAAAGGAAGTAGATAAAGCCTTGAGCGAACTGGAAGTTGCCGCCAAAAAGAGGGTTCAGGAGAAAGACGAACTGGAGAGAAAACTCAACGACCAAATTCAAAGGGACACGAAAATGCTGGTCAGGGAGGTCACACGAATAAAAAATGAGGCCTTGGTGAGTAAAATTTCCTTTTAATTCGTTCCACTAATCATTCATTCAATTCAGTCACCATTCATGTTTGCTCGAGTATAAACTTGTATAGGGTGAGGGTGGACATGTCTGTAATTTTGAGGTTAGGTCATGGAGCTTTCAGGGCCCAAAATTGCAGCCAACCTACGAGATCAAATTATTGAGAGTGATTTATTATTAAAATTGCTACGACCTGTCGTTTCATCGTGAAGCACGCATTTGACTTGGTTTGTGCATAAATTTACTCATTTTTGCGGAAGAACGCTCATTTATGAACATTCTTGGCCATCTTGGTTTGATATTGGAATCTGAAGATTCGCAGTGACATGTTTTGATACAAGGTTGGCTGCCCTTTTGGGTCGTTAAGCCTCCATATTCTGACATGCCCGTTCTCCTCCTATTTAGGTACTCTACTGAAGGAGCAAGGCTGGCCAATAAGTAGTTCGTCCAAATTCATGATTACGAGAAAAAGATAGATTTTGATAAAAGCTAAGAAGAGTTTGTAGACATCTCTCAATTGAAGCATGAAATGGAGCATGTTTTGCGGCGGTGATAAGGGAAAATATTTAGGTTGATCTATAAAATTATAGTCAAATTCCTTAAAGAAAATAAAATAAAATTAACATAGAAAAAAAGTAATAAAAAAGAGAAGAATAAAATAGCCACTCAGGGAGTAACCGATTTATCCTCTGACTTCAAAATATCTAGCATATCCCATTGAATGTTTTCCAAGACCCAGTCTAACTATGGTATAGTAAGTCGTCCTGAAGGGTCTTAGGATTTAAACACGGTGTTGGTCTTCTAGATCCTACCCTTTTTTTCTTCAAAATAACCACCACAAATGGTTTCAGGACATTTTGTCAACGATTTTTTGTCCGCGCACCTTTTTTGTCTAGTGGTTTACGCTCACACGTAAAATAAGCAACGGTGACTTGGTTCAAGCGTTATATTTTAGTCGGTATGTCCAATTACATTGACAATATGGAAACGAGAAATTAAGAGAGAAGGAAGTATTGTTATGGTTGCTCATTTTCTAAATGAAATTATTATCAAAATCAAAAATTAAAAGTTATTACTTTCTCCTTTTGAATCATCTTTTTAAATTGTCATTCGGGAATATTTGGTTTTATTTCTATCCTTAAAATATTCGATGTACAATTTGCCTTATATGTGTATAGGTACTTTTTTATTGTTTTAATTTTTTCTTTACGGAATTATTACTTCATATTGAAAACATTTATATTTTTAAAACGTGACAAATATTTGTAAAACCTTTTCCAAGTGACCTTAATCTCAATGAGGCGCAGTTGTGCCAACAGAAACTGCAAAAATGAATAAAAGAGGAAAAAAAACCAAGATTACGCAATCTTTAGTTTTCACCCAATTGTACATCGATCTTTTAGAGTCAAATACGTCAAATTTTGAGCGTTTGGTTGCGCGTGCACCTCGCTGCAGCACAATAAAAGTACAAAATGTAAAAGAAAATATTAAAGTGCTTTGGAAATCATTAAATTTGACACGAAACCACCAATATTTAAAAAAACACACGTTATATTATTATTCTCCTTGGATAAATTGATACATATTTTTTCCCCATCAATTTAAATCAGAATAATCGATGCAGAGTGTGCAAACATTTCAAAATCCTGAAGTTAAAAACGCTGACTATGCGAGTATAAATATTAAATCCTAAGAGAGCGGAGCGGCGCGGCGTGCTGCCAGCGTGAGAGGCTCACTGGCGCCTACAAACCTAAGTGGATACTTCACGCATTGCACAATGCTTGAAGTATCCACTTAGGTTTGTAGGCGCCAATGCGCGTTATGCGCTGGCCGCCCGCCCGCCGTGTGGCGGCGCCTGAAGCAACTATCTCACAACAAAGGTGTTGCAGAGTATTAAACGAAATTGAACGTATTAAGAAAGACAGGCATCCTTTAAAAGTACAGATCTTTCCTCGCAAAATAAATCAGGGTACTTATCGTACACTGGAAAGATCTAATAGCCTTTAGCTGAGGCAAATATAGAAGTTTATCCGGTTTAGGTATAACAAGGTGGGAAAATCTTGGAATATAATTGAGTCCTGTTACACCAATTTAAAGAATTTTGTCTCATGGAATTGACGCCCCCCCCCCATTTTTACCGAAACTCTCAACTATATATTATTCTCCGTTGGACGAAACAGACAAAACAAAAAACCAAGCAAAGCCTAATTCTTCCAAGACATTTTACATTTTCATCCAAAAACGTCGTGAGCAATTGTCGCTTGTATTTACATGTGGGCCGATTAACTTTGGGTCTCAACTGGCACGTGGACCGAAACTCCCGAGCCGAAAAAACGCGTGGACGTAAATTACTGGAAAAAACAAGTGCGCGGTGCGCGGACAAAAAATCGTTGACGAAATGTCCTATAACCCCACAAATACTCCTAACCGTGCGTACACCTAATTAATCGTACTCCTAAAATATTATACTAAATGTCTTTAGATGGCTGTAGGCTTCTCTTCTGGAGTAAAGGCCACTAAAATAACAAGAAGAATAAGAAGAATTTTGAGGTTAGCACCGATTATCATGATTCATAACTGGGAAACATTTTATTTGATATCCCATTCCAGGAACCTTGGCTGATTGAGGAGGGCAGAGACGTAATGGAGGCAAAATTAGCACAAGCCACTCTCATGGGGCAGCTTGAAGACTGTCATAAAACCGCTACGCAATGTAAACAGTACCAGAATGAAGCTAAAGTAAGCCTGTCTTAATTCATTTAAAAAATGTTAACACTTTTTACAATTTTGTTTCGCACTTTAAAGAGAGATTTGATACGTTTTTATGAACAAATAATTAGCGTGTTCTCTGGTTAAGTATTTTTAATTCGTGAAGTTGTAAAAAGTAGAGGAAGCACTTAATTTCAGAAATTGTACCGGTGTTGTCTAACGATATTGAGCCGAGAAAGAAGGGGCCAAATTTCGTTTTCATTGAAACGCTTTCTCTGTGATGCAAGCTTATGAAAAACTATGAAACTTTGAACTTGTTTCTCGTGGGTTGATAAAGCTCCAAAAATTCACTGTGAATTAAACGCAATTTTTAAACATGTATAAATATAATTGGGATGTGGTTCGACAAGAGTCTGTGGAGGTTAGTTGAATCAGTGAGTTCGAAAACACACCAACTCGGAAAAATAATTGTTCAGGAAACACCTAAAACTGCGCAGAGGGCGAAGAAGTTAGTTTAAGAAAAACCTTTTTGATGCCAAAGGACAAGTACTTAGAGACTTTGAAAAGCACCAAGTTGAAATCGATACACCATGTTTGATGACTGAGAATTAAGCGTTTCAAAATTTCCGAGTTGGTGTGTTTTCGTTCTCACCGACTTTCAGATACTGATTTTTCATAGTCTGCCCTGAAAAATTTATATTTTTCGACCTGAATAACGCTTGAATATTTATATAACTTTTTGGTACAAGGTATACTAAGCCGAAAAAAGAAAACCGCAAAATCGGATGGTCACCTGCTTCCCTTGAAATGGCCAGAAACTGGTTCACCAATGAAATACTTCGATTTTTCTCTTTTCCCGTCGCTGTTTCGAGCACTTCCGTATGCAATTTCGAAATTTCTTTTTGCGTGCAGATGATTCTGTCCATAAGTGTTACTAAACCGTAAAAAAGTGAAAATCGAAAAAAACCCGAGTTGGTGTATTTTCGAACTCACTGGTTCAATTTAGAGAAGACCCTTTCTCCGTTTTTGGAAGATAACTTTCTTATTTTACACGGAAAATTGCGCATACGCCAGTGTTTAATGGTTTAATTTTTTTCTTTTTCTTCTTTTAAGGAAAATTCGGCTTTAGAGCGTGTAATGCACGACATAGAGACTTTGAAACTCTTATGGGAATGCTCTGACGCGTGGGAGACGGTGGTGGAGGAGTGGTACAAGGCTAATTTTCACACACTACAATATGATGTCATTAACAGTTTTGTCGTTAAATACCAGGCTGACGTCACAAAGCTTCAAAGAGGGCTGCCGTACAACGTCGTCGTCCAAAAACTTGAGGCGAACATCAAGTCTCTCTCAGAAAAAGTAAAAACAATTTCAATTCTAACATACATTACGGTCTTACATCAAAATCAAGTAAAAAACTGACAATGAGAATAACGCAAGTAATAGACTAGCTCAAGGCAACTGATGAGAGACCCTTTACACAGTCCATCATTTTTCCTGTAGTCTATTCCGGGGCCGGATTAGCGCTTAGGGGCCCGGGGTTCTTGCGTTCACAAGGGACCCGCACATTTGCGGATTACATACTCTCTAAATTGAAGGCGTTTCAAGTTTCCCAAAAAAACAAATGGTTCATTCAAGGCTACGATTTCCCCATCTTCCCAGCCCCCACGGTCATTTTATCCAAGAGCAGTTGAAATGTTAAAATTGCCCCCAAATTGGGCAATGCCACACATTGTATGTATTTTTATGAGATGAAATTTAACTAAATACCTGAAGCATAACTAGCAGACTCTCATGCATTTTGCCTGTTAGCCCATGAGAACTAACCATCTCAATCAATAGAATCGCCTCATTTTCCCTTTGCCTTTTTTTCAAAGGCTTTGATTATCAATTTCAATAATAAGTCCGCAGATTTCCTCGTTCCTATCACGCCATACTCTTGACGGCACTGTATTTTGGGAACAAAATATACAAATTATTAGATTTTTTACGCAAGTTACTATATATAAGTGCCAAAAATAGTGTCACCTTATTGTAAAATGTAGTCCAATAACTGAAGTAGGCATTGACAATTCACGCTATCAGGCATTTTTTATAGAAATATACATGACCCATTAATGCCTACAGTGCGATCATCCACACTTGTAAAAACGAGAGATGGCTGCTGTTTTCCATTTCTGCCACAGAGCTACTCCGAGATGTTCGATCCTTAGTGGTGTCAGCGGCGAATGGTCGAATATCGATATTTACCCATTTTAAGCTATGCTAAAGAATCAATTTTTAAGGTATTCGTTGCGAACACCCTGTTTATCGCTCCTTTGCCATAAGCCCTGGATAGACGATCAAACTCCGAACCAATTCCGATCAAAGTAGACATGCTGATGACTGATGGTCATCATCTACCATCAAATTTTGACGGGCCGCACTATTCTGTTCAAAGTAAGATCAGAATGGAGTGCCATTATTCATCATTTCCTGCCACAGGAAACATTTCTACCAAGTTTTCATTTTAAAACTAAGCAAATTAATGAATTTAAGACTGATGACTCCCGACACTTTGATCGGAATTGGTTCGGGAATTTGATCGTCTATCCAGGGCTATAGGTTTGGATGGCAGATCAATCGATCTATCGCAAAGCACGCCACCGAGTGGTGTTGATGGTGATAAATGGATTCAAGTATATTTTTCTTTGATCGCGATTTTTTACGCCGTAGGTGATTGAGACCATACTTCAATCAGAGAAAAATCTAAAATTCATTTTGGACATAGTGGGAGTTTCAGTCATCGGTGATTTTTTTGCAGTTACCCGTTATTAAAGCTCTCCGGGAGACATCTTTGAGGGAAAGACACTGGTCAGAAATCGAAAACGTGCTGAATTTCAAAGCCGATCAAACTCAACCCGTGACGCTGAAGATGTTGGCTGAAACGGACATTATGTCGAAGGCTGAAAACTTGACCGACATTGCAGCACGAGCAATAGCGGAGGCAGAATTGGAGAGCCTCCTACGAAAGGTAAATCCTAAATCGACGGTGTAAGTCGGCAATCACATAACTCGGTTTGCGACGTCGCAAACTTCCTATCATACTTTATTTTTTAAACGGAAAACTACCCAACGACAATTCTTTAAAACTGTCGTGATTTTTCTTCTCTATGTGAAGAAAATTCTGCAAAAACTTCAAGAAATGACGTCAATTTGTTCTCCTGTAAAAAAATATTATAGAGGCGGAGATTTTCAGACACCGCAAACGAGTTATGTGATTGCCAACTTACACCGTCGAAATGGATTCTTGTTTGGAACACTCTATATTACAGCTCTTCCAGTTGTTCTAGTGATGCATCCAACAAGGTGGTGTATTCGCAGTCGTATTCAGAGGCGGATCCAGCAATTTGGCAACACCGAGTTCCCTCCATTTAAACCTATGTTAAACAATCGATTCTTGTTGGAGCACCTGGCCCCTACAAGAATCGATGCATTTCCATAGGTTTGAATGGAGAAAAGCAATGTTGCCAATTTGCTGGATCCGCCGATGGTCGGATTTACATAAAAGCAATATATTCTTTTCCGTAGAAAATCCTTACTTACACTGAAAAAAAAGATTGGTAGATTGGAAAAAAAGTAGAATGTACCATTCCTTCACGCTGTATTTTACACAGCGTCAATTTAGAGTCAATTCTGCCAGAGGAAAGGTGAAAGTTACTATATACTGGTACAGGTAACCATTCCCCTGGCAGAATCGACTTGCAGATTGGTAGAATTTACCATTCCCTCACGCTGTGTGAAATACATTGTGAAGGAATGGTAAATTCTACCAACATTTTTTTTTCAGGATACATGGTTAACATCATGACCATGGGAGAAGTAATAAGGGAGCTTTCAAAATGGCGTCATAAAAGCAACGGAATGCTACGCCCGAACTTACGACCTCTGAGGCGGAACGGACGGTATATCTATACTAGGGGGCTACGCCCCCTGGCCGCTACGCGGCCCATCCCCCTGAAGGCGCTCTGCACCATCAATGGGCCGCTTCGCGGCCCTATTTTTACCCTCCTATCAGTGTTAGTTTTATTTTTCCCCTAAACAAATTACGATATGAGGTATACTTTAATTTTAAACTTTACTTAAAATTACTTTAAAATTAAAAGGACGCGTTTTGGAATGACTGATTGATGAAATATTGCAGTAAAACAATGAACAATGATAGTCAGGTAATAATTAAGATTTATGAGTCGGGTATCGATCCCACATTGAATTCATTAAGAACGCACTCGACGTCCTAGACGACTCGGCCACCGGTACACAGGAGTATCACGGTGCGAATCTTGTACAGATAAGTGTAGAGCTGATGCGCAGGCTACACAGCTACTGCGCAACTTCCTTGACCACTGCGCATCCTCCCGCGCATAGCGGTAGCAGCACCGGAACATTCTGTAAACTCACTCACTTTTATAACGTGATTTTAAAAAAACCTGGGTCCTTTTTCCAAAATCTGATTAGAGCGGGCTCATCTAGGGCCTATTACCTGTCGATTTACGCAAAAATCATGGAAATCGGCCCGGTAGAACGCTCAAACGAACTATGACAAAAAGTATAAATTTACATTGTTTAAATGGGAGAATTCGCAACTTTACCACGTAATATAAAAAAACCTGGGCCATATTTTGAAAATCTGAAAAGAGTTGGCTTATCTAGAGGCTATTGCCCGTCGATAGCAGCAAAAATCATGAAAATCGGCCCGGTAGAACGCTGGAACTAAGCGTTACCAGTTTCGCAAAATTAGGAAGTCTTGGAGCTTATAGTATAGATAGCCCGGAAATACGGCTTTAAAAAGAAATGTTTCTTTTGTGAATTATTTTAATAGAATTGTTGTATTTTTAGATCGAGATTTGTTGGGAAAGTCTGCAATTTGAAGTAGAGGCTACCAATCAGGAGACAAAAATTCTTCAGCTGAAAGATCTCAGTGGCGTCTACGAGGCGCTGGACGATAGCTGTGTCAATATTGCAATCATAACCAATTCTAAGCATATAAAACCCATCAAGCACAAAGTGACCGTCTGGGTAGCATATTTGGAGACTTTGCAGAGAATGTTGGTGAGATATTTCAGTTAATTCACCTAAAGAACTAACTTGATACAAGTGAGAACTCATCTCTTCCCGTTTTCAAACAGGCCCCGCTGTGGGCTGTGGGGTGGGTTTCAGACTTCAATGAATAGGGGTATTATGAGCGAACTCATTCTTAACACCATCATGTGTAAGATACAGCCCCCCCCCCCAAAAAAAAAGTGAGGGGAAGGTTTTGGAATTGATCACACGAAATAAATGCGGAAAAGACATATAGTGGGGCCGATAAGTGGAAAATATCATAAGAATCGTGCACTTCTGGAAGAAAGCATGAAAATTTCAGGGATTCATCTCTACCCTATAGAGATTCGATTTAGACATAGACCCCAAAAATCTGACCCCCCTGGGGGGGCAGGGGGGCCCCCAAATTTTGAATTTTGTATAACTACTGAACGGCTAATGTTAGCGTTATTTTTTTACAACAAGACGATGGGAAATTTTATCAGGAACAAAAATGGTTCTTATGAATTTTTCTGTGGGATCGATATTTAAGGCGTGAAACGGGAAAAACCATCGGGGGACGGGGAGCCGGCCGTTCTGAGGCCGATCCGCGCGCTGCGCCGCCTGCCCGGGAGTCCCGGGACGCGCGCGGCGGCTGTCGCAGTACGGTGTTACCGACGAAACAACCACTTGTCTTTGTTTAAACTCAACGATGCGCAGTTTTAAAAATTTTATGAATATATCTTACTACCTGTAAAGCCTGGAAATAGGGTTTAACTTTTGCAGGTAATATATATACACAAGCCAGCGCACGGCAAAAGAAGGAGAAGGGGTTAAGTCCTGGAGTTCCGGATTGTTTTGTTGTACGGATTTGTCAAGTTTTATTAAGGCATCCGAGATAACTGTATCAGACACCAGTTAAACGGAATAAAATCTGGCGCACAGTTGTCTCGGGAAGAAGGGGGGCCTAAAAGTCACAAATCTTATTTGTAAACCTTGATGACCTGAAAAATGATTTTAAAGTGTTTTTTTTTCTCTCTTTTTTTCGGTGCTGCGTCACCAGGAGTGTATCTACATATGCTTACATATCCTAAAGTTCCCGGAAGACGGCTTCCAGCCAGACTTTTAAGACGGGGATAACCTAATTTTGTAAAAAATGAGTACACAGAAAAACATTCTCCTCTCTTTGAGGAACATTTTGGTACATCATTGCTACGTATAGGCATTTTTTAAGAGGACCAAAACCACCTTCAGAACTTTGCTCCAAAAAAACGACAAAAGAATCTTGAAAGAGCTTGATAGGGATATAAGACCCCGAAAATCCTTTGCTGGATTGCTTCTTGTACAGTATAAAGAATATTATTAAGAAATAACTATAGCCGCCAATATCCGCTAATCTGCAAAAAGGGTCATTTTGAGTGATAGGAAGTCGCGCCTACTGGGAACCCATCCTGCTCTTATGTCATCGATCGCGCATCACGCGGTATCCCTCAATCTCGGTTTTGCAACTCATTTCTGATTACTGATTTTGACTGATTTGTTGATATTTTGGCGAGAAATTAACCTACTGATAATCTCTGAAGCTAATTCGATCAGTGTTATAATGTACGATAAAGTTTAAGATGTGCGTCTTGTGTAGTACATATTTCGCAAGTCCCGTTTCTTGAAAATTGTCTCCAACACACCTACCTAGAATTCTTCCATGAGTTCCATACAAATAAACAATCGGTGCGAGATTTGCGGGTTGAAAAAGAAGAAATGCAATGAATTTCTTCCTGAGGTACCGGTCCTTCTCAGAGGTTCTTTATTAAAGGACCAGAACCTGCATGATAAATACATTTCCCCCTATATTAATACTTTTTACAAGTGTTACCAACTCCACTCCAAACTCCATGGAACAAAATGGAAGATAATATACATGGATTGTTTTTACTGCTCATTCCATTTTTCATGTCTTGCGGTAATTTCCAATATTAATCTTCAAGGGTAACTCGATAAAAAGAAGCGATAGTATTCAGATATCTTCTTTTTTATCATTCATTTAATATATTGTTTTATTTTTTGAAATATGCATATTTGTTAAATAACTGAAAGAGTGGGGAGTTCGGAAAATGACAACGTCTATTGACTGACTGGAGGAAAAAAGAAGAGAGAAGAACATTGTCAGAATGTTCCGCACGTCTCAGTACCTATGCAATTGCGAGAAACCAATTAACATGAACGAAAAACGATATTAGAGGAAAATGAAGAAAATCTGGTAATCTTAGTGGCGAAGGGACTGAGGAGTCCCCCCCCCTCCTCCTCCTCAGTCCTCAAGTAATGTCTTTGCGTCAAGTTTTACAAAATTCGTGCTTATTTAAGCAGCTCATGGTCTCATTCGCTGAAAGTAACATGAAAAATAAGTTATCAAGGATCCCATTTCCAATAGTCATGAAAAAGTGAGTCGAAATCGTATTAAAACTTCCGCTCTAATATCTTAAAAAATGTAATCCTTTACGAAAGGTACGTGAGGAAAGGGTAAATTACTATGCACTGAGGTCGAAAAAGCTCTGTAGTCAGAGAATACAGGACGCGTGATGCGTGATGACCAACCCCTGCTATTGACTTGGCGCTCTCACATTGGAGTATTTCGCCTTTTGCTTGTGTTTATGTACTCCTAATAAAAGTAGGACTTAAATTATTAAGGAAAAGTATTTGAGCAGTACGGTATCTTCATAATTATTTTTAAAACTGCGCATCGTTGAGTTTAAACAAAGACAAGTGGTTGTTTCGTCGGTAACACCGTACTGCGACAGCCGCCGCGCGCGTCCCGGGACTCCCGGGCAGGCGGCGCAGCGCGCGGATCGGCCTCAGAACGGCCGGCTCCCCGTCCCCCGATGGTTTTTCCCGTTTCACGCCTTAAATATCGATCCCACAGAAAAATTCATAAGAACCATTTTTGTTCCTGATAAAATTTCCCATCGTCTTGTTGTAAAAAAATAACGCTAACATTAGCCGTTCAGTAGTTATACAAAATTCAAAATTTGGGGGCCCCCCTGCCCCCCCAGGGGGGTCAGATTTTTGGGGTCTATGTCTAAATCGAATCTCTATAGGGTAGAGATGAATCCCTGAAATTTTCATGCTTTCTTCCAGAAGTGCACGATTGTTACGCTTATCGGCCCCACTAATATGAAACAAGAAACAACAAGGAGCAAACCGGTGAACAAGAGCGGAAAAGAGGGGTCGATAGCCTTGCTATGATAGTGCCTTTAACTCCTCCACCCCCATCTTCCAAAAGCTATAGAGGTAATTAGGAAAACGTTTATTGATTTACAAAGAATTCAATTCAATTTCACTTTGAAATGATAATGGTTGTAAAATAATGTATACTTGTTTAACACATCCTCTTCCTATCTAAACGCATGGCTCTAATCTTTTTAACGAGTCCATTACCTCCCTCTGTCATGGGTACTTCAAACTGTAACTCTAACCAGTAAATATAATTTAAGGAAGCTAACTACAACTAATTTAATGAATACATCTGAGAAACCTGATGTACGAAAAAAATGAATAAATTGGATATTGATAGTCTTAATTATTTTGTCTGACACGCAGCCTAATTGGACTACACTTTGCAATAAGGACCCACTTTTTATAGCCTCTTATAGAAACAACCTAGAGATAGCAGTTAGATTTTCTATCTAGGTAGATGCTTTTTCAAATGAGCCAGAGGTAATAGTTCTTTTTTGCAAAATGTAGTCCAATAATAAATCCATCGTGGCCTCGTGTCTGCACACAGTATCTTCATCCCTGAAAATATTTAAAACTCTTTTTTTAGGACGAGTGGTGGCATTGTCAACGTCGTTGGATTACTCTTTTGTTTCTTTTTTCGATCCCGGATATGCATAGGCAGTTACCGGAAGTTGGTCGACTATTCACGGAAGTTAACAGCACCTACGCACTGATCATGCAAACCACGGCGGAAGTATGTTTTTACTAGGAATGCGATATCTGAAGTGAAACAGTTTTATTCGCCGCATGTTTCAACCGCGGAAAATCAAAGATGTTCGGACTCTATGCATCCACATGATAAAGTTACTTATGCCCAGTATAGGCAATGTTGCTCTGAAAGGGAAGTTAAAATTGGATCCCTTTTTTTGAGCGCAATTTTTTTAGAGAATTTAGTATTCATAAGTTACGCAGGAGGAAGTCACAGATATAATGATGATTCTCGACTCAATTACACTGAAAAAAATAGCTCCGTTCACAGAGCTCCTGCGCCTTCTTTGTTACAGCTTCAAAAGTTTCCGTTGTGAAGACAGAGCACTCTGTGCTCACGACCGAAGTTCTGTTCTCAGAACAGAAAAGTTCTGTAAGTATAACAAAGAAAGTGCAGGAGTCCTGTAAAAAGAAGGTTCTGTCATCAGCACCGACTATTTTTTGTATGTAGATCGACTTCTAGAAGAGCTTTAAATCCACGATGAGGAAACTGACAAAAAGGGGAAAAGACTTTGCGAAAACTAACCTCTACGTGAATTTAAAAATGTAAATAATATTAGATGAATACTTTTTCTCTCTACCGCTTTCATTTTTAGCATCATAGGACTTTCTGGAATAAAATGTTTCAGTGTCCCGCATTTCCTAAAGTTAGTTTTGTTTCTTCGTAGGATCCGTTGATATTGTCATCGGTTAAAAATCCTAAACTCTTGGAAAGTTTGGTGCAATGTAATTTAACTTTGGATACGATCATGCATAATTTGGAGGCTTTTCTACAAAGTAAGAGGGCCAGTTTTCCGAGATTTTATTACTTGTCGAATGAAGAATTACTCAACATTCTCTCGCAGGTAAGCGCTACTTGAAAACAAATTTCCCGGACAGCTCTTACTATTTCGTATACGGAGACCATAATTTTACTCAATGAAGAATATTTTTGATGCAGGAAAACGATAGAATCCATTTTGCTTCCTAAAAATATTACCTATGATAATTGAAATATTTCACGCCAAAAGATGACCCCGTCTTGTGTACTACTAGTGTTAGAAATAGTCTTGATGTTGTCATCCGCAATGCCATCACATTAAGTACAAAATTGCGATCCCCTAAGAATACCTTAAGTATATTATTTGACTCAGTTAACCAATTTCAATCTAGCTGCATTTCACACTGTCTGTAACTTCCTCTTCTGTATTTTTCCAACAAAAAAAGTTATCAACATGCCGGCTTGAATCCTCCGTGAATTTCTTTTAGATTACACAGACGTATAATGAACGTGATCACGAAATTTCAAGTCAATGTGTTCATTTTTCTAATTATAAGCTACACATAAGATAAAACTTCTCTTTTAAAAGGTTGAAGCCTCCCGGTATCTGACTGGTGAAAGAATATATTGCAAGGCTAAAGTACGAAACCACGTATCTACATCGTGGTGTCTCAAAATGTCCGCTCTTATTCTCTTTTTGAAAGAGAAACAACCCAACTGCATAGCTTGAAAATGCAGAATATTAACAGAGTAAAAAAGACAAAAATGTTTTTTTTTTTTAAAAAAAAGAAAAAAAAATACGTTGATCAGTTTTTAAAAAAAATAGAGTATGAAAGGATATCTGCGACGTTGCAAACGGAGATACGTGGTTTCATACATAAGCCATTGATATGCTATGTCTCAATTAGGATTCTGATTTTTTAAAACCCTATGAATGGACGTATTTCCGCCAAACGAAACTTTTACGACGTGAGCCCTGTCATGCACATATTCTTATGGGTCTCATGGCTCATGTCTTAATGCACATAGTTCCATTTGGCAGAAACACGTCCGAATCATCCTAAAAAAATTTCCTGCCTCGTAGCGTCTTTCCGTTTGACTCTTCCGATTTAACCCCTATATTCTGCCATGCTAAGTAAGAGCGCCGTAGGATCATTCAAGAGTTGTCAAATTTCATGTAGACAAATGTTTATTTTTGAGAAAAGTTTTGAATATTTTTCCCTGAAATTTTCAGAATATTCAGGCCATATTCTGAACAAAATTATCTGAGAAATTCAAAGGCAAATATTCACAAACTTTCCTTAAAATTAGTGATTTGTCACGGGAAGTATGGCAACGCCTGTAGGTTCATACGGCGTTCCTCCTTAGCAAGGCATTATTGTTTGTCTCTTCTTATATTACGACAACATGATGTTCAAGTGTTTAGGTACAACATCACGAAAAGAATTAATCTGCAAAATTGATCGATGCATTTTAGGCTAACAACCCTCACGTTGTGGACGACTGCATCCAAAAATGCTTCCATTCGATTTCGAAGCTTGGGTTCAAGATAGCCAGCACAAAAAAACCTGAATTAAGGGAAAAAACCAATAAATATTGTAAAATTGTCGCTCTGGAAGTCAGCAGTGTACTCTCGCCGGAGGGTGAAAAGTTTAACCTTCACAAGGTGAGCAAAGTGTGTGAAAGATCGTCATACCCATTTGAGCAAAGATAGTTAAAAATTCGACGGGCCGTGTTATTAAATTTGCCCTACACGGAAAAAAAGAATCATTGCTTTCACAATGCTCATAGTGGGTTCATATCCTAACTATTTTGCTAGTCGTAATTACGATGTCGAAGATGCTTGAGCAAAGATGATTAAAAATTAGACGAGGCGTGTGATCAAATTTGTCCTACACGAAAAAAAGAAGAAGAATGGCTTCCACAATGCTCAGTGTAGATTCCTAGTCTTACCTACTTTGCTAGTCGTAATAACGATGTCACTTTCGTAGAGACAATTACTTCAGTCCTGGTAACAATGCGGATTTTAAAACTGGAGGCTTTGAAATGAGCGTATGGATTCGATCGACATGAATCAATGGCCGTGAACCTATCGAAACCAATTCGACCGACAAACTATTAAAAAACCGGTGTCGATTCGATCAATTTACGGTTGTTGGTTGAATCGGTTAATTTCGATCGATTCACGTTTTTATTTTTCAATTGATTTATGTCGATCAAATTGACACCCTTTTTTTTAAATAATCGTTTGATCGAATCACGTCGATCGATTCATATAGATTGAATCCATACCCTACGCTTCGAAAGAGTTCATTGATCAAATGAACTTCATTTTGCAATTAAGCACCACAATAATTCCAACAAACCGTAGAAAAACTTCCAAATTATAGGTTGAAAACCGCTGACGCCGCAAGTTCGAGTAATCGCGTCAAACCCAGTGCGGCCGGCGCGGAGCGCATAGTGGCGCCTTACAAGATCATAGGATACTTCATGCATTGCGCGTACAGCACGGTACGCACGCGACGCACAGGAGCGCCTCACAAGTCTACAGGATACTTCATGCATTGCGCGTGTACCACGGTGCGCGCTCAAATCGTTGAAAAGTCGTATTTTCTTGGTGTCAAACCTACCCCGGTGCACAACCATTTCCAAACAGTGAACACCGTGAACTTGCAATCCTAGAATTACAGGATTGTACAGGTTTTGCAATTCTGTATGTTTCCCGGTGAAAATATAATTTATGAGTGGAACTTTCTCAAGTTGGAATGCCGTCTTGTTCTATCGTCCGGAAAACGCCGAACTCAGCCAACTTCCAGGGAGAGGAATTGTACATGTTTTTGTGTCACAAAATGTGGCAAAATATCCAAGGAGATATTCTTGGTATCTCATTCATGCAAAAATGATCTCTAACCTAACTTCGGCAATTTCTGCAAAATGAATTTGATAAGCCTGTGGCTAATATCGAAAAAATATGGGGAGGGGGGGGGGAGGGATCTACCGTGGCACCGCGATGGGCTAGTCTGTTGGCGATACTGTGGGCCGCTTCGAGGAGCTGCAGTCTGCCTCGGGTTGCACAAACCAACCTTTCTGCTTGCGGAGTTGGAACCTCCTCGTGGTCGCAAGCGGAAACCCGTATCGGACGTCTGTGCCGTGGGCCGGCCAGTCCTCTCCGTGCGGGGCTAACTCCGACGTCTGACCCGTTGGACCCGCCACCCAGGGCGGTAGACGGGCGGACAGGGCAGCCTCCCCTCGTGTCTCCGGGTCGGCAGAAGGTCTGCCCATTATCACACCGACCGATGCCTCCGGCGAGCGACGGCGGACTGCCTCCTACCTCCTTCAGGGGGCATAGGGGCGAACCACTATCGGCGGAGACGAGCGAGGGACTCGGCTCACTCGCCGAGGCGCCTCGCGGGCCAAGGGGATTTCTTCGGTATACCGCCTGCGGGGGACAGCCTCTGAACTTGACCTCCGATGCGGGGGGTGGCCTGGGCTCGGTTCACCGAGGTCCCATCCAGGTCGCCGCGTTGCCAGACCGCCTGATTACCCGAGCTGCGGGCAGAAGGCCGAACGGCGGACCCCTTAGCCGCGAGGCCCGGCTTTGTGCAACAACCGTACGTGGCGTGCCACGTACGACAGTCCAGGCGGCTCGCTCTGAGCCGATGGCTCGGGAGGGAGTCGCTATGGGCCGATAGGTCCGAACAGGGAGTACACTGGCGGGGGACCCTGTCTCTGGCCTGTCGTTTGGCCGAGAGGCAGGGGCCGCAGCTCGCAGTGCGCCTACCGGGGGCCGTGCTGGGACCACCTTGTGGGACGGACAAACCAGCGACCCGCCTCACCCGGCCGACGGCGTCAACCGCCGGCCGGGCCCGGGCTCTGCCCGCAGGAGTCCTGAGCTCCGAGGCGGACTCGCACAGGTGTCACGTATCTTAACCAGCATCCGGACACGCGCCTTACGACGCGCGTGCTTTCTGACTACGAGCGCTTGGCGGCGGGCGGTACCGGTGACGCGGGCCGCTGTCTTGCCGGGGCATCGACTCGGGGACGTTAAAACCGCTAAGTGTCGAAGCGGGCCGACCAGTACCGGCCCGCTCACAGAGTCCCGAGTCCGACACACGGAGCGAGCCTGTCGGCGGGCGGAACACGCCTCGCGGCGCACCGCTGTCTAGCCGGGGCTCTCAGCCCGGGGCTTTGCCGCGCACGACTTGTATAGAACCCCACTTTAACTCGGCCCCGGGCTCGGTCTCGTCGCCGAGGGGCTCCAGGTGCTGCTCGCCGACCGGTTGACGCCGTCACACTCCGAAGCCGCCGGGCAGGTCCCTGGACAGTGCGCCGGGTGTAGCTGACGGTGGGCGATTTAGCGAGTCGCATAAGTCCTGGGCTGGGGTAGTCGTCTTAGTGATTTCCAGATACGGGTCGCACGTGGCTTCGTCGGAAAGGATTACCCCCTGTGGTAGGAAAGACTCCGGTCCGGTACGCAAACCACGCCCGCCACCATGAAACCAACCTTTCTGGTTAACATATAACTAAAAATACGTGATGTCTTTCCTCTCCTATATTACTGACGTTATGCTTTACTCTAATCACTCTATTGCTGGTTTTCAGTGTGTAAAAGCTCGAGGAAACGTAGAGTACTGGTTAGAAAAGCTCGAGGAAACAGTGGCTCAAACTTTGCAACAGGACATTCAGAGAACCGTTGAATATTTTCAAAAGCATTCACTGACAGAGTGGTTGTCGCATATTCCTGTTCAAGTGAGTGAAAATTGTTACGAAACCGTGTTAAAGAAGAGCGCCAAATAACCCTTCAGACGTTGCCAAATTTTTTCGGGGAAATATGAATTTCCAGAGAAATCTGTGGATATTTTTCTTAGAATTTTTTAGTGAATTTAATTCGCAATTCGATCTAAATTTTATGAAACTATTGATTAAATACATTCATAACTCTCCTCAAAACTAAAATTTTATCGGAGGGATTTTGGCAACTTTCGCATGTTCATACGGCGTTTTTAAAGCATAGCAATAACCTCGCAAGAGAGGTTTTGCCAATATCTTACACGTTTACCGAATAACTTTATGCGCTGAGAAAGCTAAAAAAAACAAGTCTTCATTTCCGAACAGAAGCTTAAAGATCTTAAATTCTAGCCGTTTTCCTTCATGCGATTTCTTCATTTTTTTGTTGATCTTAGATCTTAATTGTCAGCATCCGCATAATCTGGAACAGGCACGTCTTAAAAATATTTCACTCAAATCACGACAGAGATGCTGTGCTACGTGAATTGAATCAGCTCAATGAGTACTACTCGGAGGTATGTAAAAGTATAAGTACCTACAAATTTATATGATTTTATGATGAAGACAATCTCTCAATATATGATTAAACACATTTTATTTTATACCCAATTTCCCCTTGTGAAATTATGCCTTCAGATATTACTAATGTAAAAGATCAGTGTTCGAAACTCACCTTCGAGTTTTAGGAGCCATGTGGCGCGTCAAGCCCGATTATAGGCGTCATTGAAGATTTTTTAGGGGCGAAATAGACTTATTAAACTTAACCGGGCCAAAAAAGTTTCTTTCTTCGACTAATACATTGATTCTTTTATTTTTCTTTCAACAGATTCTTGATGAAATGGTTGATGCAATTAACAAGACGGGTTGTAATCTGACGAGAAGGAGCATAAACTCATTAATTTTAGTAATCCTCAATCTGCGAGATACGATTACCGTCATGGTGGACGAAAACGTCGGATCAGAGTAAGTTCATCGGAAAAAATGTAATGGACCACTAGACAAGCTACGAATTTTAGCATTCTGATGCATGCTTCGTAACCAAAATTTCACGTAAAATACGATGCACACAACGAAAATTACCGAAATCAACTCCTTAATAACATATTCAATAATTCTTGATGCGTGAATTCAAACCATTCGCTCATGAAAACTCAATGCTCTACGTGATTTACATCGTGCGCTAAACGTTTATCATGACAGTCTCTGCGATATAAAAATCTGGCAGCCTCAATCTTGACGCTTTGGCTCAGCTATAGCAAATTGCTTATAGTTTGAACAACACATGGTGGGAAATGAAGATTGCTTGATTGAAAAGATTGCTGAAACCGTTGTAGTGCGCGATTCGACTCACGTAGAGCTTTGAGTTTCTTGTGAGCGGGCAGTTGAAATCCCTTGTAACCAATGTGAAATAAAAACGTTAATATATTCGTTAGGAGTTGGTTTCAGTCATTTTTGTTGCGCGAATTGTGTTTTACGTGAAATTTCGATTAAGAAACATGTATCAGAATGCTTATTTTCGTACCTTGTCTAGTGGTCCATTATGAAGTGCAATAGGAGAATTCGCTTGAATTTTACAAAGCCGTTGATATAGAGGAGGGCTAATTAATCTCAAACCTCTGAATTTCGGCCTTTGAGGAACTTTATTTTATCTTCAGTTCGAGACGGTTATTTTAAAATACTCTCAGTTTTGAAGGGATGAATTTCCCTCGTCCTTAAGCGGATCCAGACGCTTTGAACTGAAGGAGCGGGGGGGAGGGGTTCAGTGGGCTTCCTCCAAAAAATTGTCGAAATTTTAAAGCATCTGATATGCAGTTTGAGACAATTTCGTCATGAATAATTATCAAATATAAGGGTCCTTCCTTCTTTCCTCTATTCCTTATTACTTCTCCTTTCTTCCCACTTCCTTCCTCATTTTTTTCGAGCAAAGGGGGCAGGTGTACGGCCCCTATAGGGTGGACCGTTTAGGAACTTTTTTCGAAATTTCAGGATTGCTAAACCTAAAGTTGTGTTATGGCATAAGAATAACGCTCAATTGTTTTCAAAATTTTTGGATGATGTCCTGAGCCTGCCCCGACGTCATCTTAGTTGCCAAATTTTCGATTTTTCCGGGAAATTGCCAGGATTCTGTTACAGGCCCGGCAAACGCATGGAATAAATCAAAATGCAATTTAAAATACTTTTAATATCATTTCAAGCTATATAGGTCAGGATAGGACACCCCCAACTTGCAGGGAATGCCTCAGGGGACGCAATCTTGGAACGTCGAAATCCCTGAAAAATGCGCCTAAATCCTTCCTATATTTTATGTTAATTTGCATAGGTTTTATTTTGCTCATACTTTGTGCTATGGCTAACGAGACTTTCGTCACTTTCGTCAAAAGACCTTTTGATCCTATACTTTGCTTGAAATGTTGCATACTGATTCTTAACCATAATCTGTCCATTTCATCTTCCTCCAACAAGAGAAATATTCGCTTTTTACAGGCAGGATTTTGTATGGCTCCGGCAATTGAAGTATTTCTGGTGCGAAGTTAGCAAGAAATGTAATCTGAGAATGGCACATGCGAGTCTAAGGTACTGCTACGAATATCTCGGCGTTCCAAGGCGAATAGTAGTCACCTCTGACACCGATAGGTGTTTTCTCGGTCTCCTGGCTGGACTACATCGCAATTTTGGTGCGTATATCACCGGACTAAAATGGGCCTCAGTGAAATTGACAGATTACTATGGGTCAAACTGGGAATTTTTGGAGGGGGGTGGGCAGAGTAGCACCGCTTCGCTGAAAAAAAAATTACAAAAAAACTCAGACTCCAGGAGCCGCATTTAGCAGGTTTATATAGCACTATCACTATCGTGCGTTGCGGATGAGGAGGCCATTAGTGCCCCATTGAGGACAGCCGCAACAGCCGCTAGCTAAACCCGCAGCAAAAAGAGCTTCCAGCTCAGAGGCCGATGCTCTGGCCCCTAAATGAGGGACTTACGGTTTCCTTACCCGCAACGTACGGTAGTGCTTCAGTGATTTGTCAAACTGTAGTTTAAATGCTTTTACAGCTTAAGCTACATCCCTGGAAACCGCAATAGATTTGAATCCACAAGTTCCATTCTGTAACTTAACATAATTCCGCCTTTGATTTATATCACAGGGTCTGCCGTGTACGGGGCCTCTAATGTAGGTAAAACGGCTACGCTTAGGGAGCTGGCACAAGCTTGTGGATCACAACTCATAATTTTCAAGGCTGCTGATGGGACCAATTTACAGGTATGAGCCTTCTTATTTTGTACGCGACTAACATAAAAATAAAAATCATCACGGTGAAATTAATTTTTCTTCACCATACGCAACTATCGTCAGAGGCGCCTTTAGATTGAGGATGTAGAAGAGACAAAATTGACACAATAAGTGAAGGTGACGCAGATGGCTGTTCCGTCTGGCGCCTAAAAACCCAAGGGGATACTTCCAGCATTGCGCAATGCTGGATGTATCGCCTTGGGTTTGCAGGCGCAAAATGCGCATTGGCGCCTACAAACCTAAGGGGATACATCCAGCATTGCGCAATGCTGGAAGTATCCCCTTAGGCTTGTAGGCGCCATTGCGAGTTAGGCGCATGCAGCACGCCGCTCCGCTCTGTGTTACACTCTAACATTTAAACTCGCGGAATTAGTTTTTTTAAACTCATGATTTTTGAAATGTTTGCACGCTCTGCATGGATTATTTTCATTCAAATTGATGAAGTTCATGGTTTAATAACACTGATTCCGATGTAAAATTAAAATCGACTTCAACTTAACATCCCAAAAGTAAATTACGTACACTTTTTTAGGAATCTGAAAATTACAAAAAGTGTCTATGTGCCATTTTGATTCCACATTATATATAGTATGAAAAACCTTATTTTTTTTACTACAGTAAAATTTCCTAGGTGTTCTTGTTCATTTGTCTTTCGTTGTGGTAGTTAGCTGCTTTTTTGTTCTTTTTTTGTTGTCCTCTTATTTTTTTCGATCCATGAAAAAAAAAGGTAGGGGTTAGGTCGACACAGGTACACTGGTAAAAAACACATTGGATCTAGAGTCCAGACTCTTAAAAACATTGACAAGAAAAATTACTCTTGATTCAATCAGAATCTAGCTTAAATCAAGAACCATACCTCTTAATTTAAGCGGATTTCGTTTTCATTTGACCAAAAATCCGATTGAATCAAGAGTATTTTTCTTGTCAATGTTTTCAAGAGTCTGGTCTCTAGATCCAATGTGTTTTTTTTCCAGTGTATGATTTTCTTACCAGGCTCTAGGCTCCAGGTATGATTTTCTTTAAGCAGGCCAAGCAAAATAACTTACAAACTCAACTCTGCAACAAATAACTCGGATATCTTCTCTGTTCCGCCTTTTAGTCAGTCTCGAAGATGCTCGAAGGAGTCGCTCAAACTGGCGACTGGCTCTGCTTCGAGGAATTTTCCGACGTGAGCGAATCAGCAGCATCTCTGATGGCGCAAACCGTCACCGAAATTTTAATGGCCAAGATCCAGCTCCGGCGACGGTAAGCAGGCACGTCTCACAGTGGAACGACCTAATAGCAATGGCGTGGCGTGAATTGCGATGTATCGATTGTTATGCCATTTGAACTATGGTAAAGAATCGATTATTAAGGTTTTCACTGCGAACTCCCTGTTTATCGATCCTTTGCCATAGGTTTCAATGGCATAAAAATCGATATATCGTAATCCACGCCACGCCACTGAGATACACCCTTGGGTCACAGAAAAGGGAAGAAAATTAATCAGAAACAGCCTAATTTCCTGCTAGTTTTAACTCGTATTATTTTTCTGAAAAAATTGAGTGTCATAATGTCTCATGACTATTAGTAAATTTTTTCAGATTGAATAAAATGTACTTTCGACATTTTGAAGCATAAACACTCTTTGGTACTCCTGTAAAAACAATTAAAACCTGACAAACAATTGATTACTTGTGATTAAATTCGTCTGTTTGAACGTGTGTAACCACTTACACCAAGAAATCTTCAGCGTTTGATAGTTTTGAGACACTCTCCCTAACTTCTTGTTGAATCAATATCTGGGATCGAATCGATCGGAAATAGCTTTGAAGTCACAGGGCAAGTTTTTGAAGTAAAAGAAATGCCATTTGATTCAAGATTTTATATCGCCTCAATGAAAATTCCTGTCAGACAGAAGCGGATCCAGCAATTTGGCAACACCGGGTCTCCTCCATTTGAACCTATCTTAAGAAATCGAATCTCGCCGGAGAACCTGGCCCCTCCAAAAATCGATACATTTCCATAGGTTTAAATGGAGAAAAACAATGTTGCCAATTTGCTGGGCCCGCCAATGTTGTCTGGGAATTCCCATTCACACAACAGAAAACTTTTCCCCGCGTGGCACGCGCTAGGATGTTTTGAGTCTGATTTTTATGGCGTTGAGCATTAGTAATAATGTACTCCTCTAATTGCGTCTTTTGAAGGTTTACACTAAATGGCCGCGAAGTAAAGCTGCGGGCTTCCTGCTCCATTAGCGTGACAATGAACGTCTCGGTCCAAAATCGTTGCTGTGCCATGTTGCCAGACTGTTTGAAACACTTACTCCGTCAGGTTTCCATCATTAAACCTGATCTAGGTGCGTTACTAGGTCTTCCACACAGCCTATTTTTTTTTCAAATCAATAAGTGGCCGGTAAACAGCACAGCAGAGCAGCGTGCTGCCAGTGCGGAACGCGAACTGGTCCCTACAAACCTAAGGGGATACTTCACGCATTGCGCAATGCTTGAAGTATTCCCTTAGATTTGAAGGCGCTAATGCGCGTTTCGCGCTGGCTGCCCGCCCGCCGCGTCGCGCAGCAGAGTACCACGGCGCTTGAAGAAACTATTTCATACCAGAGGTATTGCACAGTATCATACGAAACTGAAGGCGCTCCAACGTATTAAGAATGACAGGCATCCTTTAAGAGAACGGAGCTTTCCTCACAAAATAAATCAAGATACCACGGCACAAAAGGAGAGCGGTAGTTCAAAATCTCACCTATAGTCCTAGCATTCATATTTAATAACGTTTAGCATTATTTTTGAATTTCATTAGAGAAAAAAGTGACTCAATTTAGACAAAAACATTCTTGAGTATGCCATTTTTCTCAATAAAAGCACTTCGAACTGTATACACCAAATAACGTGCATTTTGTAACGTACCTCTAAAATTAACTTCATCTATTTGTTCAGAAACCATCTTGCGGGGTTTACTGCTATCTGAGGGATTCATCCATTGGCTCTCTCTTGCAGGAAAATTAAAGACAATCATCAAAACCTGCCGTCAATACTTCACGAATGAGAACCATCAATACTTTGGTCTCAGGTAGGTACTTTCAGTTGAAACTCAGTTTGTGTCCAATAGGATAAACCCAGTAAGAAAAAAAAAAAAAAAAAATAATACCTATGGTGAAACTGCAAGAATGCGGATCTTGACTGCGGTGTTTTCACAGTTCTGTTCCTATTTTATTTTTTGAAGTGAGACAGAACCAATATCATGGATTGAAGTTTTCACAGAATATTCTGTATGAGAAGAAGAAAAATCACTGAAATTATCAAAAAACGATGAATTCAGTACTATTCCACGTTGAAATTAAAATATGACAGGAAGTCTCCAACGCCCATCGGCGGATCCAGCAAATTGGCAACATAGTCTTTCCTCCATTTAAACCTATGGAAATGTATCGCTTCTTGGAGAACCAGGTGCTCCGGCAAGAATCGATTATTTAGAATAGGTTTAAATGCAGATAATCCGGCGTTGCCAAATTGCTGGATCCGCCTCTGGCAACGCCGCAAACCGAGATACGCACCTCTGCTGTTTCACCATCGATGTGTTACATGTCTATCGTTTCACCCACTCACATGTCGGTCAAAGCTCTTCGAGGTAAATACTATAGTCATTTTCAGAATGAATATATTGGAAAATTGATACTATACATAACTAAGCAAAGCACAATATCAAGGAAAATATCTAGCAATTAGTTCACAAGGCTTCTTATCAGTTCAATCAAAGTATATGCAGCGGTATAGTCGTATTTTCCTCGAATAAATTTGCGCTCCTCGGTATGTTTTTTGCATATGCGGCGGAATTGAAGGCGGACTTCAAATGAACGAAAAGGTTTACACATGATCTACTGGTTGAGTGAAATTTATGGAGTGAGATTAGTGTGTTTTTCAATGGATTCGTGTGCTCTCTGGAATATTTGTCGCATATAGTAAACTGAAGGCAAACTTCAGGATGACAATACCTACAAACATAATGATGTTTTATTTTTACTGCGGCTATAAATTACCTTCATGCTTCCTGAGTTACTGGAATCAGTAAATAACCGAAATCATACGATTGCAGATTGATCAGACGTATTTTGGATCGAGCTGTTATACTCAAGAATCAGTCTTCAAGCACAACTGAGGAGGATTCACTTCACATGTCTGTTGAACAGGTCGTTCGAGCACAGATTCATCACGAGACAGACTTAAGTATATTCAAAGTACGTATACATTTTCTAAAAATTGTTGAATTTTTCAGCATCGCATAGTGGTCAGCGCCTCTGACTCTCGGTCAATAAATTCCAGGGTCGAAATCTGATAACAGTGATAAGCTTTCACTGAACTGACCACGGAAAAAAAAGAGGTTGGGGTTATGTCCGAACTGTTGGATGATATGGACATTTCCAATTAATTGTGGTATTACCCCAATTTATTGTGATATTACCCCAATTAATTGTGGTACTATCTCAATAAATTGGGTTACTAACCTAAATGTTGCGGTATTAATACAATTAATTAGAAATGTCCATATCATCCAGCAAATTGGGGTAGTACCACAATTTTAGGGGATAACCCCTGACACTTTTTTATCCGTGACTGATGGACTTGTGAAGACAAATTCACCTTCGACCTTAATCCCTGAAAATTTGAAGACATAGAGCATGGGCGTTCCTGTCCTAATGTCTAAAGGCAACATACAGAAACCATTGGTGTTAGGAGATCTCTAACGGAATATGAGAAAAAAACAAAATCGTAAAATTTCCTGAGTACCATCCGCTTCTCCAGGAATAGTGATTTCACCTTACCAATTTATCCCATAATGTGAATTCTGCAATTTTCACCGAAAATTAAAACTTTGAAGAGATCAGTTGTATACGAGAGATATGATGAAAATTTGAGGTTTTGTTAAGGTTACTTTTCTACGTAAAGTAATGTTAAACACATTAGAAATGTCTAAAATCTACGCTGAAATTTAAAACTTTGTTTTTGCTCAGTGTGTAATTTCTCCTGTGCCCATCTGCGTGTCTGTCGATCGGTTCTTATCATTAAAAACTTTTGGAGAAGAATATAAGAAAAGAAAAAGAGAGAGAAATAAATTATTTAACAAAGTTTTATGAAAAATTATGTGAACACCAAGTTGAGAGGATACTAAAGTTGAACCCGTTTTCAAAACATTTCTGAGGACTTCTCATTGCCCGGTGAGGAGGAGCCATATCTTTTTAAGAAGCGGTAGTACATCACCCGCCTCACGGCAGCTCATAACGTGGTTTTTTTGGACAGTTCCAACCGAACTTTTCAATTTGGCAGCTAGGATCCACCCAAACACCACGTCGCTGTAAATCTTTATCCACCTGACCATCGTCTTGATCTTCCGTTGGCAGCTCTCGCTGTGAGAAAACAGAACTCATTCAATTAAAAACCGCAGAAAACCGTAGTCGGTAGGTACTGTAATAAAAATGAAATGTTCGAGCTTTTTATTCAGCTTATAAAGTCATATATTGGCTGAATTGTTTTGAAAATGGACCACTAGACAAGGTACGAATTTCAGAATTCTGATACATGTTTCGTAACCAAAATTTCATGTAGAACACGGCGCGCACAATAAAAATTACCGAAATCAACTCCTTACGAAGATATTTAATGATTCTTGATGCGTGAATTCAAACCACCCGCTCATGAAAACTCAATGCTCTATGTGATTCACATCGTGCGCTAAACGTTATCATGAGTCTCTGCGATGTAAAAATCTGGCAACCTCAATCTTGACGCTATGGCTCAGCTATAGAAAATTGCCGACAGTTTGAACAACACATGGTGGGAAATGAACATTGCTCGATTGAGAAGCTTGCTGAAACCCTTTTAGTGCGCAATTTGACGCACGTAGAGCTTTGAATTTCTTGTGAGCGGGCAGTTCAAATTCCTCGTAACCAATGTGAAATAAAAACGTTAATATCTTCGTTGGGAGTTGGTTTCAGTAATTTTCGTTGTGTGAATCGTGTTCTACGTGAAGTTCTGGTTAAGAAACATGTATGTATCAGATCGCTTAAATTCGTACCTTGTCTAGTGGTCCATTCTGTAAAAGCCTTAACTGAAACGTACAATTGATTAGACTACGAAATCATCACTGGGGCGTGCACCTCCTGACCGCTTTGCGGTCCAACCCCCCAAGCGTTAGGTACGCGTTGCCCTCGTGATTTTATATAATTGTGTAAGATTTTTTTCGTTTCTTGCATTTTGGTTTACTATGTAGTGGTGGTAACTGCGCCCCATTAGGACTAGTTTGGTACTGCATTTGAGCGAAATCAACCCAGCGGTTTAAGAATGACAAGCTTTGAACTTTCATGGCGGGCGGGACAGAGAGCGGTCGCACAATAGGTTAGGAGAAGCAAAATTTTTATCCGATAACCAAGAGATTGGTAGCGCAGCCACCGCAATGCCGGCGCGGGCGCCGGCTTGAGCGAGAAAGTCGTTTGCGGTCCTCGCGTCACACCGCGAGACGCCACACACAAATTTGCCAAGGCAAATTTTTTATTATGAAGTTAGACATTAGGTATTTATAAATTCCCCACAGGAACAATCTTAAAAAGAGTTATCATTATGTTTTAAAGGTGAAACTCCTGAAATACCTTCTCCAAGTCTAGGCTTCTTTTGGATAGAGATTCCGTTTCCAATCTGGGTGCGGGCATTGCATGAGTCACAAACTGTGGAAGAAAAGAAGAAAAAAGTTACATTATCAATTGCCTGTAATACTGCCGTGCTTACAATTAGTTTAAAACGCAGTATAAGCATCCGAATGTTGCCAAATTTTTTATTTGAAAATATGGATTTTTCAAGAAAGTGATGAATATTTTTCCTAAAAATTTTCAGGCTTTCTAGATCAAATTATGAACTAAATCCTGTGAAAAATTGGAGGAGAAATGTTCACAAATTTTCCTGAAAACTCGTGTTTTGTCAAAGGAAATTTGGCAACGCCTGAGGGCTCATACGACGCTCTTCCTTAGTACGGCAGAACAGACGAAGGGATCTGCCCACGACGGACTATCACGGAGCGAATATCACGATGTTGACAGCATGCCTCCTCGATGGGAATACATTTGGCTATCCAAATACTCAAAACCAAAATCTGCTTAGAATGAATTTTGCCAAGTCCAGATTTCACTGTACTAGAATTTTTTCAAGCATCTCGCTTTTTCTGTTAAGTAGAAACACGGAACAAATTAGGTGCATTCCAAAGAGAAAAGTCTATCTTCATGGGCAGATTTAAATAAGAACCTATCTTTTAAGAGATAAATTGGGCTTTAGGATTGGAATTCAGAGGCCAACTTTAGGCTAATTTGCATCAACTTTTAGATGTAGTGTAGATGCAATTTAAATCGATATTTGCGAAACTGATCTTACGATTCTCCATGAGCTGTTTACTAGTGATGAAATGAGTTTGACAGGCAGAAACTGACGGATACTTTCAATATTGTGTGCATTTTCTCTTACCTCACAAGAAAACCTGAATGGTTGACCAGATTTTATTTTTACAAGAAAATATGCATTTGGCAGAGAAGACATTGCATAATTTTAGCGTACTGGAATGTACCTAGCCTCTCCCTGCTAAACTTGATTCAAAGAATACTTAAAATTCATCATTTCAAGGTGATTTGATGGACGCTATATTTTGTGTCAGAACGACGAGCAATATATCGCATCGATTGGTTCCATTTTTTCAGCTACTCATCATTTTCCTCGAACTTCGAGATCGCAATCTGTTGTCAGGAGACTATAGAATTCATTTATCAATTTTGAAAAACAAATTCAACATAATAGAGGCGTGGTTTTTTCAGAGGAAAAATATCGCATTCGATACTGATATCGAAACTGCACTCGAATGCGATATTTTCCCTTCAAAAGAACCACGCCTTTATTACGTTGAAATTTTCTGTCGAAATTGGTAAGGGAATTCTTTAGTCTCCTGGCAAAAGAATTGCGATCTCAAAATTCGAGAAAAAATGATGAGTATCTCATCATTTTTCTCGAACTTCGAGATCGCAATCTGTTGTCAGGAGACTATAGAATTGTTGTCAGGAGACTATAGAATTCATTTATCAATTTTGAAAAACAAATTCAACATAATAGAGGCGTGGTTTTTTCAGAGGAAAAATATCGCATTCGATACTGATATCGAAACTGCACTCGAATGCGATATTTTCCCTCTAAAAGAACCACGCCTTTATTACGTTGAAATTTTCTGTCGAAATTGGTAAGGGAATTCTTTAGTCTCCTGGCAAAAGAATTGCGATCTCAAAATTCGAGAAAAAATGATGAGTAGCTGAAAAAATGGAACCAGTCGATGCGATATATCGCATGTCGTTCTGACACAATAGATAGCGTTCATCGAATCGTCTTAATTACATAAATTATAATCAAAACTTACGCAAAAGACCGCGAGTAGCACAATCCATTTCAAAAACATTTTAATCTGACCACGCACCGATTTTTAAACTAGTGTCACCTCGAGTTACTGTAATTTCTTGGTGGAAATCTGATGTTATATACTCAAGCATTCATGCTCATTTCCTCGTTTCCATATTAGTTTTCCATTCGTAATTTGTTGATACAGTTGAGTTTCATACGTTCAGGGATACGGAAACACGTGCACACGCAAAGATATAGGTTGAAGCCGAGGTTAACAATCATGAATCACTGTCGTGGAAATACCCCGCAGAAACTCAAAATGTATTCATGTACATATATACACATTTAAGACGCTGAATCAGCGCACCAGAGAGCTCTGCGACTCCCAAAGGACCACTAGACAAGGTACGAATTTAACCATTCTGATATATGTTTCTTAACCAGAATTTCACGTAGAACACGATTCGCACAACGAAAACTAATGAAACAAACTCCAAACGAAGATATTAACGTTTTTATTTCAGATCGGTTTCGAGGAATTTGAACTGCCCGCTCATAAGAAACTCAAAGCTCTAAGTGAGTCAAATCGCGCACTACAACGGTTTCAACAAGCTTCTCCATCGAGTAATGTTCATTTCCCACCATGTGTTGTTCAAAATATAAGCAATTTTCTACAGCTGAGCCAAAGCGTCAAGATTGAGGTCGCCAGATTTTTATATCGCAGAGACTGTCATGATAAACGTTTAGCGCGCGATGTGAATAACGTATAGATCATTGAGTTTTCATGAGCGGGTTGTTTGAATTCACGCATCAAGATTCATTAAATATCTTTGGAAAGAGTTGATTTCGGTAATTTTCGTTGTGCGCGTCGTATTCTACGTGAAATTTTGGTTCAGAAACATGTATCAGAATGCTGAAATTCGTACCTTGTCTAAAGGTCCATTGCCGATGACACAGACATTAGCTCCAAAAGATCAATATGGAAATGACACACCTCCTGAACTCTTTCTTCATCCCTGTTGCTAAAATTTCACACCTTACTGTGGATCGAGTCAATCAGAACGGTCGGACATGAAGTGCTGATGTTCATTTCGTCACATTTTAAACTTTGAGGGTTGATTCTAAAGAAAAATTTCACGGGGAAACCAATGGAGATGTTGCATGTGTGAGGGATTTGCAATTTGACCATTGATTCTTATGTAAAAGTTCGCAAGAAACACGATGGTGCCACTGGTTTTCAGTTTTGGAGTCCCCAAATAAAGTGGCAACCCTGCTTATGTATTTGCTCCCTATCTTTGCATGGAGAGTTCGTTTTGATGTAGAGGTGGACTCTCAGGGTAAGGTGGGATGTCCCCTCCATTTTGGCCTCAACTTGAGAGCCTTTTTTGAGATTGGGAGATGATTTCAGAGAAAACCAGTGGCACCATCGTGTTTCTCGCGAACTTTTACATAAGAATCAGTGGTCAAATCGCAAATCCCTCACACATGCAACATCTCCATTAAACCAGTTTTAGAACCTCAAAGTTTTGTGTAAACGGCGTTGTGAGTTTTAAAAGGTCCCAAAGTCTGTCCGACCTCTCTCATTGACTCGATCCACTGTTGCCGCGTGTTTTCTTATTAAAGCATGACCTAAGTCGTAAGCCTTGTATTATATCTGTAAAGTCGGCTAACAGCTCAACTTTTGTTTTGGCATTATGAGTAGCCGAAAACCGAAAAATCTCAATAAAAATTACTAATTAATTTTGTTCCAGAGCATCATCGATGGAATCTTTGCCACTAAAACGAGCATCTCTGAGGACTTAGGAGCCTCGAAAAAACGAGGCCCAATAAGAGAGGCGATGGCAACTTTGGACCTGGAGCCCGAGGAGTACGTCGTCAGGAAAGTTCTGGAGCTGTGTGACGTCATGGAGGCCCAGCCGGCGACGATAGTTTCCGGTTGTCCGGGAGCCGGTAAAACAACGATAATTAACGTAAGCTCGTAATCAGAGCAACGGCTCGTCCTCAGCCGTCATTTCGTTTCCCCTCTGACGTAAGAACGTATCTCGGTTTTAGCTTGAGTTCTATTATCTGTGTATTTTAATGGTTCCTCGGACTCAAGTAGAAATTGAGATACGCCATTGCGTCAAAAGAGTGACGACTTGATGCCTTCCTACCAGTGGCGTGGCGTGATATGCGATGTATCGATGGTTATACCATTTAAACCTATGGAAAAGGATCGGTAAACAGGGTGTTCGCAGCGAACACCTTAATAATCGATTCTTTACCGTAGGTTTAAATGGAATAACAATCGATTTATCGCAATTCACGCCACGCCATTGCTTCCTGCTACCTCGCCAACTTGACGCTTTATCCTGCCGTGCTAAGGAAAAACGCCGGATGAAAATTCTAGAGTTGCCAAATTTCCCCGAATAAAACATGTATTTTAGAGGAAAGTTATGCATATCTTTCCTCGAGATTTTCAGATGTTCTACATTAAAGCGTGAACAAAATTGACTGAAAGTTTTGAGGAAAAACATTCACGATTTTCTCAGTACATTTGGTTTATCTTGAAGGAAATATGGCAACGTCTGGGGGTTCATACGGCGTTCTTCCTTAGCACGACAGTATTAGTGTCGGTATTTTTTTCAGTCGGGGGACTTCTCGTTTTGGTTTAATTATATTCTTGGAGTGATAATCGATTTTCTAGAATTGAGGTTGATTCAAAATCAGGTCGCTCGCTGGAAAAAAAAGTATCTTGGATCTAGAATCCAGACTCTTAAAGACAAGAGAAAATACTATTGATTCAGTCAGATTTTTGCTTGAATTGAGAGGCAAGCCTCTTATATTAAGCAGATTTCCTTTTGATTCAAGCAAAAATGCAATGAAATCAAGAGTATCATTTTTGTCAAATTTGTCAAAAAATCTGTTGTTTATGGTGGAGTTACTAATACTGAGTAAACGGTATGCTTGATACGTCATAAAATGCATCTTCCGTGACGGGTTGACGGTAAAAAATATTGTGAAAAAATTCACTCAGTTGCTAAAAAAAGTTACTTAATCGCATTTTTCTCTCCACGCGCTGAAAACTTAGAAACCTTCATCAAAACCAACAAATCTTGATTCTTTATTTTAATTTTTGGAGGGGTATTCCGTCTGCAAACATCGAAAAACTCTAAAAAAAAACCTGAGCTTTGGAACATTTTATTCTTGACGTATTATCGTGGGGTCAAAAGCACGGTTTTGATGAAAAATGTTTATTTGTTTTCATTAAAGGTGCTGAAAGTGGCTTTAGATAGACTTAATGCAAACTCAGAAGAATCGGGTCTCATAGAAAAAGTAATAAAACGCACTTTCCACCCCACATCGATGAACAACGACGAGCTGTTCGGTCGATTTGACTCGAAGAAGACTGCATGGCAAGATGGTGTGTTCGGAAAACTTCTCAAAGACGCTGCGCAGGTAAGGTTACATAAGGGGAAGAATTGTGCTAAAAAAAATACTTTCGTGGCTCCAAAAAATTTTAGAAGGCATTTTCTGAAAAGGGGCAAGAATTCTAAGATTTATCCTGCCGTGCTGAGGAAGAAATTCGTACGAGCATTCAGTCGTCGGCGTATTTCCTCCAATAAATCGGTGAAAACGTAATATTTATTCCCGTTTGTGACACTGTGAGAGCATAAAGTACGGGGACCAATTAGAAATGTATTCACATTTTCTTTACTCTCAGTATAAAGGGACTCTACCTCCTGAGACCCAGATTTTTCACAATTTTTACATGCGAAGCTTCAGTCCTAAGTCCAATAATTTAACTTTTCGCATTTTTAGCTTTCATACCATCAAAATGGCAAAAAAGTTTATTTTACCCTGCAGCATAAAATAGAACATTAGAATTCGCCTATAAGGCATTCAATGTTGTCAGTTCAGCGCTCTGGCGACTCAAATTAGAACTTGAAATGCGAAGATTTGATTTGCTGCCGGATCTCTGACACTACTGAAATAAACGACAAGACATCTTGACCAAGGCTTTCAGAGGGTCAATTAAGAGGCTTGGCTCTCGATTCAATAATTGAATCAAGAGTACTTTTTCTCGCAAAATTGGTCAAAAGTCAAGGAATTGTGAGGATCCAAAAGATTTTTTTTTTTTTTTTCAGTGCGAAATGTAGCCGGCGCCCAAGTTTCTGGGATTCCGTGCAGGGCTCTCCGAAGAAGTAAACTTCATATTAACAAAATTTTGATTTTTAATCAACAACCTATATTTTATGCGTATAAACTGTGCATGGCTTTACAATGGTTTCAGAACCAATCGGCAAATTATTGGTGGGTCATATGCGATGGGCCAATTGACGGTAATTGGACGGAGAACCTGTTCACGCTGATGGACGATGGTGGTGTTCTACATCTCTCAAATAATGAGATGGTCAGGAGGGACTCCAAGGTAACGGTGATTTTGAGAGTTATAACTGTACTGCCGTGCTAAGGAAGAACACCGTATGAGCATTCAGACGTTGTCGCAAGGCCGGATTTAGGGGGTGGCCACATGGGCCGTGGCCCATGGCGGCAAACTTAGGGGGCGGCAAATTTTGCAATGTTTTAAATGTAGGTATAAAAAAATCGGATTCAGAAAAAAAAATTCAAGCGAGGAGAGGCGACAATATCCATCATTTCCTGATAGTATTGTAATTTCTAATTTTGTCGTCTTTCTGTGATACAGGGGACAGCACCTTTAATTATTCAAATTAAGAGAGAAACCAAACACGCAATTTGGCCTGGAACGGCGCGGCGCAGAGAGCAATGATGACGAGGATTTGAGATGAAAAGGAGATTCCCTCGGCGCAGCGGTCGGCGTGTAACACATATTAGCGGCTAGCGCCTACAAGACTGCATGAATACTTCACGCTTCACGCATTGTGTCAAACACAAAGCGGCCAGCAGCGGTTGGCGTTAAACGCATAGCGCCTACAAGACTGCATGAATACTTCACGCATTGCGCCAAACACAGTAAGGCCAGCGCGGCGCGGCGGTGGAAGTTAAAATATTTAACCGTATATATGTTTCTTCTTTCATAATTTTTTCGTTCATTTCTTATGAATCGAAGGCCTTGTCCACACAGAAATAGGTTTACAGAACTTGACTATCGCGCCAAGTTCCATGAGCTTTTGCTAGTAGTGTTGACAGGGCTCTCGCAAAAAATGTGTCCAACACGAGTAAACGCGTCTTATGCACCCCACCCCTCTCCCTTCAGCACGTTCACTTGATGGTTTTTATTGATGTTTCAAAACGAATGAGAAGGGGGCGGCAAAATACAAGCGGCCCATGGACGGCGAGTGGGTAAATCCGGCCCTGCGACCCTGCGTTGCCGTATTCCCTTCAATGAACAACGAATTTACTGGGAAAATTCTGAATATTTTTCCCACAATTTTTCAACAAATTCAATGTAATAAATGCGTGGTTTTCTTAGAGGAAATATATCGCTTTTGATACTGATATTGACACTGCACTCGAATGCTATATTTTTCCTCTGGAAAAACCACGCATTTATTACATTGAATTTGTTTGTCAAAATTGGTAAGTGTATTCTTTAGTCTCCTGACAACAGAATTGCGATCTCAAAATTTGAAAAAATGACAAGGATAGCTTAAATTATAGAACGAATCGATGCGATTTATCGCACGTCCCTCTGACACACAAAATGGCGTCCGTCGAATCACCTTAAGTTCAACAGAAGCTTGCATATAATTTATTTATTATGTATCTTCTTCGATATTTTTCACCAGGTTAGGATTCTTTTCGAAGTGGAGGATTTCTCAAGTGCGTCCCCCGGGCTGGTCAGCCGCTGCTGTTTGGTGCACGTGATAAACCCGGAGCCGGCTTGGTCCCGTTGTGCGGGTAGCATACGCTCCTGGGCGTCGAGACTCCTCAAGAAACAGATTCTAATGAAGGCCGCTAACAAAGCTTTGCTGGTGGACCTGTTCGATAAATTCCTGCGGTCGGCCGTGGATTTCATCGCTCAGAATTGCGTCTCTGCGGTCGCCACGATTACCCAGGTTGGCAGTTTGAGCTACGTGTCAGTGGCGTGGCGTGTTTTGCGATATATCGACTGTTGTGCCATTTAAACCTATGGAAAAGGATCGATAAACAGGGTGTTCGCAGCGAACACCTTAATAATCGATTATTTACCATAGGTTTAAATGGCTTAACAATCGATACATCGCAAAGCACGCCACACCACTGCTACATGTGCGTACGTGCGAAAGCGTCGCAGTGTTGAGGAGTAACGTCTTATGAGCACTACACCGCTGCCAAACCCCCAATGAAATATTTATTTGTTAAGATACTTGTGAATGTTTTTCCTTGAAATGTTCAGATACTTCAAATTAAAGTCTGAGTTGACTTTTTCTGAATATCTGAAGGAAAAATAATTGACAAGTTGCCCAAAAATTCATGTTTTACAACGAAATTTGGCAACGATCCAGGGCTCCTGTAGAGTTTTTTCTCAAAGTGGCTTAACAGATGATTCAATGAAATATCAATGACCCCACGGTTGGAATAATTCAGTTTTATTAATTGAAAAACGTTTTATTTATTTATTTTGTTTTCATTTTTTGTACTTAAATAATGTTTATTATGATTGCGTCTTTTGCTAATTTTAATTTACGTTATTACTCTTTTTCTTGTATTATTATTGGTTGAATTTTATTTTATGTTTGATCCGGCAGATTAATTTAGTATCCCAATTAACCGGGCAGATTAATGTTGTTTTTCATTTCATATTTTATATTTTGAATAAATATCTAATCTTATCTTCGTCTATATCTATGTGAAAAATATTTCATTCGTTTCACTCAATAATACATCTATTTCCCTCCAGCCGCTCATCGACAAGATCAAAGGAGTCTGCGCCCTGATAGAGGCCCTCCTGGTGGACTTGAAATGTTGCAACGGGAAATCCTCCGTCAACGAAACGACCATTCGCCAAAGCTTTATCTTCAGCGCTCTTTGGGGACTTGGTGGGGAACTGGACTCGGCATCCAAGCGAAAGTTCGAGACTTTCGTCCGCGAGCAATTCCCCGAGTACTCGGACTCGTTCGCGAACATCAACAACTTGTGGACGAGTTTTCTGGACCTGAAGCAGCAGAGCTTCGTGGAGTGGAGCGGGTCCCTGCTAGAGGTCACGTTCGACAGGGCCGTTTCCTTGAGCCGCCAGTTCGTCCCCAGTGTTGATACCATGGCTCTCCACTACGTTGCCGAGAAGATGCTAGCCATGGATCGCCCTGTTCTCATCGTTGGACCGACGGGTAAATCAATCTGACATTCACACGCACGGACAAAACGGATCCAAATGCCAAAATACGAATGGAGATGTTGCAATGTTGCATGTGTGAGGAATTTGCGATTTGACTATTGATTCTGATGTCAAAGTTCGCGAGAAACACGATGGCGCCACTGGTTTTCTCTGAAATCATCTTCCAAGCTCAAAAAAAGCTCTCAAAGTGAGGCAAAAATGGAGGGGATATCCCACCCTACCTTGATAGTCCACCTCTACAACAAAACAAATTCTCCATGCAAAGATAGGGCGCAAATACATTGACAGGGCTGCCACTTTATTTGGGGACTCCAAAACTGAAAACACGGCAACCCTGCTAATATATTTGCTCCTTATCTTTGCATGGAGAGTTTGTCTTGATGTAGACGAGGACTCTCAGGATAGCGTGGGAAATCCCCTCCATTTTGGCCTCGACTTGAGAGCTTTTTCTGAGCTTGGGAGATGACTTCAGAGAAAACCAGTGGCACCATCGTGTTTCTCGCGAACTTTTACATAAGAATCAATGGTCAAATCGAAAAACCCTCACACATGCAACATCCCCATTGCTGTAGCTCTTGGCAAACTCTGAAATGCACTCCTTGGCTATAGGATATTTCGTCAACGATTTTTTGTCCACGCACCTGTTCTTTCTAGTAGTTTAAGTCCACGCGTTTTTTCGGGGCTTTTATTTCGCGAGGAAGGTGTTGCACAGTATCATACGAGATTGAAGGCACCCCAAAGTATCATGATTGATGGCATCTTTTGAAAGCAAGAAGTTCCCTCGCAAATAATTAAATGGAGTGACGAAGACAAAATGTGAGCGGTAGTAAAAGAACTTACAAAGTCCTGGTATCTGTATTCAATAACGTATACCATGATTTTTGAACTTCATCAGAAGAAAAAGTGAGTTGATCGATCAGGAATACGCTCCAATTTACCGCCGAGAAGATTTCCTTATGAATCAATAAAAAAGGTAATGCTTGCGTAAAGGAATAATGCTTATATAAAAAGAAAAGCCACTTACTTCAAGCAAAAACCCGCTTTCATTCAGCTATTTTATTCTTGATTCAAAATAAAACTTCTTACGGCATACTCAAGAATGTTTCTGCCTATATCGTGTAGATTTTTTCTCTAATGAAATTCAAAAATTATGCTAAACTTATTCAATACGGGTGCTAGGACTTAGTGAGTTTTTGGACAACCGCTCTCTTTTTGTGCCGTAGTATCTTGATCTATTTTGCGAGGAATACTCCGCACTCTTAAAGGGTACCTGTCATTTTTGATACGTTGAAGAGCTTTCAACTCTGTATGATACTGTGAAACACCTCTGTTGCGATCCAGTTGCTTGAAGCGCCGCAGCGCGGCGGGCGAGGATGACTGGCGCGACACGCGCACTAGCGCCTACAAACCTAACAGGGATACTTCACGCATTGCGCAATGCGTGAAGTATCCCTGTTAGGTTTGTAGGCGCTAGTGCGCGTGTCGCGCTGGCAGCAGTTGCGTGCTCATATTCTTGTTTCAATTTTTGAATTTTAGCTTTTGTTCCAGTTGAGAATGGGTAGGTATGTAATTGGCCCGAAACGTCTTTGTTGTGTTTATTTACTCTGTTTTTAACCTTGTAAACCCATTTGCTTTGTATTTCTTATATTTTTTTGTCATGCATTTATATTGAAGATAATCAATCTTCCTATAATTTGCAAGACTCGCCACTGCCTCCGATAAGCCAGTAGTATGATTTGCAGGTTAATATTTAAAAATTCATCTAGGTTGTGGCAAATCGAAGCTGTGCAACGCTCTGGTGAAAAGGTCGAAAAAAACAGAGTTGTGGACCACTCAAAATGTTCACCTTTCAAGGTTCACTGGGGCAGCTGAGGTTCGTAGGAGTTTGAGGATGAAACTGGTCAAAAAAGCTGGCAATAGTTTGGGCGCTCCGAATAAGAAAAAAATGCTTTTCTTCATTGAAAATGTGACCACTCCAGCTCAAAATGGCAATGACAGCTCTTCGGTGGAAATACTACGGTTTGTGGACTATTCCTCTAATCTGCTGTGCTAAGGAAAAACGCCGTATGAACCTTCGTCAGTTGCCAAATTTCCTTTGATAAAATATGAATTTTCAGGAAAACTTGTAAATATTCTCCGTTTAATTATTCATATTTTTTTTTAATTAGATCAAAAATATCTGAAAGTTTCGAGAAGAAAATTCATAACTCTCCTCAAAAAAATTTATTGGAGGAAGTTGGGCAACTCTTGAATGTTTGTGCGGTGTATTTCTTTAGCACGGCACGTTAGTTCGAAAAACGTGGAGAGAGAACTTTCCATGATATCTTACCATGGATTATCAGTTGAGCAAAATTATTTAAATTAATGAATATGAAAACTTTTCTTCGAAATATTTAAATAAGTTCTCTTAAATGTTCTTGCAGGGGTCCAAAATATACTCATTTTTTGTAAAAACAATTACTAGGTTATCTGATCGACTCAAAAGCTAGCACGATTGTCATTTCAAACCCGTTTATTTTTTCTCATCTGAAACAAAGTATTGTAATAATTTGATGGAAATTCTGATTATATTACTACCAGAAATTTGAGTTTCCCGTCGAAAAATACCGCGTAATACCGAGTTTCAGCGAACTCGAACGAAGAGAAACCGAGGTAGCATATTAGGCCACGTCCGCCATCTTGGATTTGAGAATTTTTAAAAATTGACTAATAATTCGAGTTTCTCGTCGAAAAATACCTCCTGACACCAAATTTCAGGAAAATCCATCGAACAGGAGCCGAGATAGCATTTTAAGCCATTTCGGATTTTCGAATTTTGAATTTCTTGAATTTTGACAGATTTTGATTAAAACCCGTGATCCCCAAAATCAAAGCTCAGATTTGGATTCCTCGTAATAAATCGATGCGATTTCATGTATTATACCCTGACACCGAATTTCAGGAGAATCCATCGAACAGGAGCCGAGATGGCATTTTAAGCCTCTTCAGTCAATTCGCATTTTTGAGGTTGAGAAATTTTACTTAAAACGCGTGATACCCAAAATCGAAGTTCAGATTCGGATCCCTCGTAAAAAACCGATGCGATTCCATTTATCATACCCTGACACCAAATTTCAGAGAAATCCGTCGAACAGGAGCCGAGATGGCATTTTGAGCCACGTCAGTCATTTAAGATTTTCGATTTTAGAAAATTTGACTTATAACGCGTGATACCCGAAATCAAAGTTCAGATTCGGATTCCTCGTTAAGAATTAATACAATTTCATGTGTCATACCCGAGCATAGCGTGAAGGAAAGAGACGTAACGTAGACATACTGATTCGACCATATGAATCGAACGGTGCAACATGGATAGTGCTCAAGGCCTAGATACACACGGCGATTAATCGCCGCGATTGCAATCGCGGCGTTTAAACGCAGGTGTATTCGGTCAATCGCCGCGACGGGCGAGTGAAATTCTCGGAATTTCTCNCTGTCCACAATGCTCTCTTGCCATGCCCGCGGCTCATGACTCCCGCGTTCAGTTGGCACATAGGTCTCTTTGATAGAATGCAATATCCCGCTTTTCCAATTCTTCAAAAGGAACCACGCCCACTTTTACATTGCTTCTTATGCAGATTTCTGGAGCATACCCCATATTTCTCACCGCCACATAGGTCTGTTTGGTAGAAATACGTCCAATTTATCTTCAGGAATTCCTCGGGACGATACCAAACGCTTAGCGCCGGCTCCTCACCGTTCGGTTGCATCTCGGGCGACCGGCGCGGCGAGGAGCAAGAGTAAAATTAATGTATCCTCCACGCCTGCGGTGACCGCTTTCTCTTCATATTTATTCATAGTTTTGACCACATGATTGAACTGTGTTTGAGTTAGTATTTGAATGAGCGATCTGGCAGTTTTTACAGGATGATTAAAATAAATAAGCGGGTAGAAATAAGATATCTTTCAAATCAGGGATTAAATACAGAAAATCCAGATAAAAGGGCATTAAAGCTGACACGAAACGAAAATACCGGCAGGACGTTTTGGCAAAATTACTCGCTCATTCCCAACAAGAGAAAAAGCTGAAAACAAAAATTCAAAAGAAGGAGATGAGCGCAGAACTGTTACATTAGGTCGAAAGGTCAATCTTTCCATCGTTCTGGTGCATCTGACTCTCAGGGGCACGACAATACCGGTCACAAAACTGGCAGTTTAAAAAACGCCTTCAAGTACTTCGTGATACCTCCCGCATTCCGGAGAGTACGTATAGTTGTATCATTGCGCCTTACAAATGTGACCGGCGGAAGAGTGAAATGATTATAGCCTCCACGCCTGCGATGACCGCTTTCCCTTGATATTTTTACATAGTTTTGACCGCATAATTGAACTGTGTTTAAGTTAGTATTTGAATGAGCGAGCCGGCAGTTTTTACAGGATGATTAAAATAAATAAGCGGGTAGAAATAAGATATCTTTCAAATCAGGGATTAAATACAGAAAATCCAGATAAAAGGGCTTTAAAGCTGAAACGAAACGAAAACATCGGCAGGAGGTTTTGGCAAAATTATTCGCTCATTCCCAGCAAGAGAAAAAGCTGAAAACAAAAATTCAAAACAAGGAGATGAGCGCAGAACTTTTGAATTCGGTCGTAAGGTCAACTTTTTCATCGTGCTAATGCGTGTGACTCTCAGCAGCACGACAATCCCGGTCACGAAACTGGCAGTTTAAAACACGCCTTCAAGTGCGGCGTCATACCTGCCGCATTCCGGAGAGTACGTATAATTGTATCATTGCGCCTTACAAATGTGACCGGCGGAAGAAAAAAATTATTGTAGCCTCCACGCCTGCGGTGACCGCTTTCCCTTGATATTTTTTCATAGTTTCGACCGCGTAATTAAACTGTGTCTAAGTTAGGATTTGAATGAGCCATCCGGCAGTTTTTACAGGATGATTAAAGTAAATAAGCGGGTAGAAATAATAGTTTTGTGGGATTTCAAATCAAAGATTGAATACAGAAAATACAGATAAAAGGGCTTTATAGCTGAAAGGAAACGAAAACACCGGCAGGACGTTTTAGCAAAATTACTCGCTCATTCCCAGCAAGAGAAAATGCTGAAAACCAAAATTAAAACAAGGAGATGAGAGCAGAACTGTTGAATTAGGTCGTAAGACCAATCTTTCCATCGTTCTGGGGCGTCTGACTCTCAGCGGCACGACAATCCCGGTCACGAAACTGGCAGTTTAAAAAACGCCTTCAAGTGCGGCGTGATACCTCCCGCATTCCGGAGAGTACGTATAATTGTATCATTGCGCCTTTCAAATGTGACCGGCGGAAGAGTAAAATCATTGTAGCCTCCACGCCTGCGGTGACCGCTTTCCAATGATATTTTTTCATAATTTTGACCACCTGATTAAACTGTGTTTAAGGTGAATCCAGGCTTAGAACTTCGCGATTTGGCCACCACGTCGTGCTGCTCAGAATAGCCGTATATATTTGCCAAAATAATAAAAACCGTAATACTTATTCAAGATTGGGGATCCAGGGGATACAGCAACATACTTGAGGAACATTCAGTTCAAAAATCTTCTCAAAATTCCCAAAAAATAAAGTGGTAACTACGGCGGAAAGTAATTCCAATTGCGGCAATGGGAGAGAGGGAGACAGGACATGAGCGATTCGGTTGCGTGCTCGGCCGCCGCCGCTGAGGTGAAAGTTTCAGTCGCATTTTCTCTGCGCTTGTAAGTCTGATTGTCAATATTTTTGGCTCAAAAAATCAAGCAGAAAATAATCTAGATCTTGTGGATCTGCTTTTTGTAATTTGAACAATCTCAGTAAACGTCGAAGGGAAGTGAAATTCTCAGTGGTGACTGGTGGCACTATCTCTAATCTTGAATTATCCCTAATCGAACCCTGGATTCACCTTAAGATGATATTTGAATGAACGATCCGACAATTTTTTAGGATGATTACAATAAACAAGCGGGTAGAAATAAGAGGTTTCTGGGATTTCAAATCAACGATTGAATACAGAAAATCCAGATAAAAGGGCTTTAAAGCTGAAGCACAACGAAAACACCTGCAGGACGTTTTGGCAAAATTACTCGCTCATTCCCAGCAAGAGAAAAAGCTGAAAACAAAAATTCAAAACAAGGCAATGAGCGCAGAACTGTTGCATTAGGTCGAAAGGTCAATCTTTCCATCGTTCTGGTGCATCTGACTCTCAGCGGCACGACAATACCGGTCACGAAACTGGCAGTTTAAAAAACGCCTTCAAGTGCGGCGTCATACCTCCCGCATTCCGGAGAGTACGTATAGTTGTATCATGGCGCTTTACAAATGTGACCGGCGGAAGAGTAAAATTAATGTAGCCTCCACACCAACGGGACCGCTTTCCCTTGATATTTGATCATATTTTTGACCGCAAAATTAAACTGTGTTTTAGTTAGGATTTGAATGAGCGATCCGGCAGTTTTTATAGGATGATTAAAATAAATAAGCGGGTAGAAATAAAAGGTTTCTGGGATTTCAAATGAACGATTGAATACTGAAAATCAAGATAAAAGGGCTTTAAAGCTGAAGCGAAACGAAAACACCTGCAGGACGTTTTGGCAAAATTACTCGCTCATTTCCCGCAAGAGAAAAAGCTAAAAACAAAAATTCAAAACAAGGAGATGAGCGCAGAACTGTTGAATTAGGTCGTAAGGTCAATCTTTCCATCGTTCTGGTGCGTCTGACTCTCAGCGCACGACAATTCCGGTCACAAAACTGGCAGTTTAAAAAACGCCTTCAAGTACTTCGTGATACCTCCCGCATTCCGGAGAGTACGTATAGTTGTATCATTGCGCCTTACAAATGTGACCGGCGGAAGAGTAAAATGATGGTAGCCTCCACGCCTGCGGTGACCGCTTTCCTATGATATTTTTTCATAGTTTTGACCGCATGATTGAACTGTGTTTAAGTTAGTATTTGAATGAAAGATCTGGCAGTTTATACAGGATGATTAAAGTAAATAAGCGGGTAGAAATACAAGGTTTCTGGGATTTCAAATCAACGATTGAATACGGAAAATCAAAATAAAAGGGCTTTAAAGCTGAAGCGAAACGAAAACACATGCAGGACGTTTTGGCAAAATTACTCGCTCATTTCCCGCAAGAGAAAAAGCTGAAAACAAAAATTCAAAACAAGGAGATGAGCGCAGAACTGTTGAATTCGGTCGTAAGGTCAACTTTTTCATCGTGCTAATGCGTGTGACTCTCAGCAGCACGACAATCCCGGTCACGAAACTGGCAGTTTAAAAAACGCCTTCAAGTGCGGCGTGATACCTGCCGCATTTCGGAGAGTACGTATAGTTGTATCATTGCGCCTTACAAATGTGACCGGCGAAAGAGTAAAATTATTTTAGCCGCCGCGCCTGCGGTGACCGCTTTCCTATAATATTTTTTCATAGTTTTGACCACATGATTGAACTGTGTTTAAGTTAGGATTTGAATGAGCGATCCGGCAGTTTTTACAGGATGATTAAAATAAATAAGCGGGTAGAAATAAGGTATCTTTCAAATCAGGGATTGAATACAGAAAATCCAGATAAAAGGGCTTTAAAGCTGAATTAGGTCGTATGGTCAATTTTTCCATCGTTCAGGTGCTTCTGACTCTCAGCGGCACGACAATCCCGGTCACGAAACTGGCAGTTTAAAAAACGCCTTCAAGCGCGGCGTGATACCTGCCGCATTCCGGAGAGTACGTATAGTTGTATCATTGCGCCTTACAAATGTGACCGGCGCACAGTGCGGCACCCGTTTGGTCGATGCGGACAAAAATCGGCAAAAGACACTTGACTGTAAATAATGAAGATAATAGCACTGACATAGGAAAACCCTTTGGCACTATGAAAGTAAAACACTCGAGGAATAAGAAAATGTTATACCTCAGGTTTTTTTGCGTATTTTTCAAGAAAAGTTCATTCGAAGTTGGCAACCTCGAATAAGCCCTGTGTGAAAAATCTAAAAGGAACGTGAAAAACCCAAACTTCAAATATCTCTGATAGTTGCAGAAAGTCGCAAGATCTTTTTCGTAAAATTGATGTTGGATATCTGAGGATTAAGAAAATGTTAACCACCTAGAGCATTTCGCGTTTCAAGCGAGAAATCTCCATTTGAAGTTGACGTCTTTTTCCCGTGTATTTCTTACGGACCAGTATTTCCCGACCTATTTCCTGTCCACCTTCTACCCACATTTGAGGTAGTTTTGAGCGGAAAATTTGAAAATGAACCATCATAGTGAGTCAGAAATATCTTCAAGATGACAAATTCCGAAAAAAAATTTCAGATATCGAGTTGTGAATTTTTTATTTTTGTCCACAGAGGGCCGCACGCTGCGGCGCGGCGTCGTAGTTCAAAGGGGGAGTATGACAGAATCTATACGCGTCGTTAAACCTTTTTCCTTCACGATATTTTAACATATGATACATGAAATTTCATGAATTTTTCACGAGAAATCCGAATCTGAGCTTAGATTTTGGATATTAAGCGTTTTAATCTATTTAAAATCTTAAGAGAATTTACAGAATTGTCCTTGAAAATTGATCACACATTAGTGTTTTTTTACGTCATTAAACCTCTTTCCTTTGCGCTATTCTAACATATGATACATAAAATCTCATCAATTTTTCACGAGAAATCCGAATCCGAGCTTAGATTTTGGATATTACGCGTATTAATCTATTTAAAATCGTAAGAGAATTTACAGAATTGTCCTTGAAAATTGATCACACATTAGTGATTTTTGACCCCGTTTTTCTTCTACGTTCACGTAATGAAATTAGATCAACAGTTGACTCATCGATTTTTTCGTAAGAAATTTGATTTTCCTTCTCTTCCTTTTTTCTATTAGACAATTACTAGACACAGCGGAACTTTACGCTCCAACCAAAAAAATCCACAAAAAAATTGTAAATTTTACTTTATTGGCGACCCACACTTACAAAAATAGTTTTCGGAGATGCAATAATGGACGTCTTTTGCGTCATTTCTCAATTTTGGGGATGCCAGCTCTCACAGAAGATACAATGAAAGCTATATATAAGGTAAGATTATATTTCCATGCCCTTGTTTCGGAGAATATCAAACAATCAGAAAATTTACCTCCAGGTTGCGTTCCAATTTATCCCTCGGGGCGGTTTTAAAATTTTCAGCAGAGCACTGCCTTGCTAAGGAGAAATGCGATATGAGCCATCAGACGTTGCCAAATTTCCTTTGTTAAGAGATGAATTTTCAGAAAAAATGTGAATATTTTTCCTCCAATTTTTCAGAGAAATTTATTCGCAATTAGATCTAAATTATCTGGAAATTTCGAGAGAAAATACTCAAAATTCTCTTAAAAATAAATATTATATTGGAGGAAATTCGGTGACTCTCGAATGTACATACGGCGTTCTTCCTTAGCACAGTAAAGTAGAGGACAGGAGGGAAGCGCCTTGAAATTTGTAGATATTTTAGTTTCAATTGCGAACAAAATTTTCGACAAATTGGGAAGAAACTATTCGTACGTTTTCCTAGAAATCCTCATTTCATTAGATGAATATTAGGGACCCTGCAAGGCTCATACGACGTTTTTCCATAGCACAGTAGTGTGGGCTTAGGAGCAAGATCCAAGAGGGATCTTCAGGCGTAACGCCTTTTTGCACAATCGAGAAAACAATTATCGTTAAAATTTGCACATCAGTAGTGTTCCCAATGAACTCTTGATTAATTGCAGTCATACCCATCCATTGTAGTGTTTTTATCACTACTTTTGCGGGAAGAAAATTATCACTTATTGTTAAAAATATCGTCATTTTTTTATGGCTGCTGTTCTAAAGCTGACACCACTAACATAATAATGGACCACAAGACAAGGTACAAATTTCAGCACTCTGATACATGTGTCTTCACCAAAATTTCACGTAAACCACGGTGCGCACAACGAAAATCGCCGGAATCAACTCCTCCCGAAGATATTTAATGATTCTTGGTGCGTGAATTGAAACCACTCGCTCATGAAAACTCAATGCTCTACGTGATTCACATCGCGCGCTAAACGTTATCATGGACGTCTCTGCGATAAAAAGATCTGGCACCCTCAATCTTGACGCTTTGGCTCAGCTATAGCAAATTACTTATAGTTTGAAAAACTTATGGTGGGTAATGAACATAGCTCGATTGAGAAGCTTGCTGAAACCGTTGTAGTGCGCAATTTGACTCACGTAGAGCTTTGAGTTCCTTGTGAGCGGGCAGTTCAAATTCCTCGTAACTGATGTGAAATAAAAACGTTAATATCTTCCTTAGGAGTTGGTTTCAGTAATTTTCGTTGCACGAATCGTGTTCTACGCGAAATTCTGGTTAAGAACATAGAGTACATAGAGTCGTAATGTAAGTGGGAGAGCTGGCGCCACTTTTAAGCATTTTCCATGTCCCGAATTCCGAGACTCCTGTGTGACGCCGGGTCACTTTTTCGATACATAATCGATTGTTTGCGATACACGGGTACCCGGCCATCCGATGACAACAACAACAACAACAACAACAACAACAACAACAACAACAACAACAACAACAACAACAACAACAACAACAACAAAGGAGATAGGAATTACCACGTATTCCACACCGCCATTTTGGATCGAAAATGTATCGAAAAAGCGACCCGAACTCGGCGCACACCGGGCTCGGAATTCGTCGAGCAGAACATGGCGCCAGCTCTCCCATTTACATTACGACTCTATGTACTCTATGGTTAAGAAACATGTATCAGAATGCTTAAATTCGTACCTTGTCTAGTGGTCCATTTCAACCATAGTTTTCCCTTAGCGTGGTTCCACTGTACTGCATAAATATAAGTGAGACTGACAACGGTGATTGGTGACCCCAAATTAATAGTTTTTTGATCATTTTACCTTTGTTACTTCTTCGATCACGTTGATTTTCTAGATCTTAGATTTTGGCGATAGCCATTTCGATTCAGACGAGATCATCATCGTCAGGACACATGGTAAACACTAATATTAAAACTTATTAAGTCACATGGTAGACAGTAATATTATTACTTATCAAAACATCCGTAGGTGCACCCGCCGCAATCGCGTCATTCTTAACTTAGAAAGGGCTTCAATTACAAATTTTTCCCAAATTGATAGTTTCCATGACCCCATCATTTGAAGAATATTTTCCTCTGGAAATTCTTGCACTTGTTGATATGGATTGCATTTTGCAAAAAGGAACCACAAGCATTCCAATGCAGCTAAGATTGTGCAACATTTTTCCTTTTGCAAGTAGAAACAGATCATCCAATTAAGTTTTATCTTTACTTCCAATAAACTATGAATTTTAGACGAAAATTACATTCGTAAATTTAATTTTTTTCATGATATCTGTAATTTCTTGCAAAGAATTCAAGTTGCACAAACTTAGCAACATTGGAATGCTCGTGGTTCCTTTTTGCAAAATGCAATCCATATATCCTAGACACAAAATTTTAAATTGATTGGTTTCAGCCCCTCCTGGAAAACTTCCTCTGTGATATGAAACCACTGGCGGAAATAAGCGACACTCTATTGAGTGCAATGACCAACATTTTCAAGGATGTCAGATCAGCTTTCAATGCGGGAGCAACCCCCCATCGGCACGTCTTCAACCCTCACTGCCTATCGGAAATCTACCAAGGGCTGACCCTGGCCGATCCTGCCACCCTGAAACAACCCGCGGACGCTCTAACCATCATCACACACGAGTGCATGCGGGTCTACGGCGATCGACTGGTGACAACCATGGAAAAGAATCAGTTACAGGATCTCATCCAAAAAGTATTTGGCAACCATTTCCCCAATTTAAAGTCCGCGCCGGAAGAGTGCGCCACTTTCACGGACCTCCCGTTCGACCGGAAAGAACGCGTTTACCAAGAGGTCAAAGACTCTGACAAACTGCGGCTCTTCCTGGAGGAGAGTTTGAGCGCGTGGAACGATCTGACGGAGGAACCTATGGATTTGATCTTCTTTCCGGAGGCGATTCGGAGAGTCACTCAGATGAACCGGATGTTCCGCCTCAGGAAACCCTGCATCCTGGTTGGTCCGCAAGGAAGCGGTAGGCGTTCGATTGTCCGACTCGTCTCGTACCTCAATGACTGTGGTTGTGTGGAAGTCGAGGGAAATAATTCTAGCTTGGAGGAAGTCTTGGAAACTCTTCGGTCATGTTACAGGTTTGGCTGCTTTCAATTTTTGCAGGATCTACTATTACTAACATGCCGCTCTCAAAACGCTTCCGTGCGCTCTGCGACACCCAACCGCCACCGATAGTAATCCTGCCAGAGCTCCTCCGGTAAATCGCATCTCCTCATTTCCTGCCATACGAGGTCTGTTAGATTAGAAACCGGATTTGGTCATAACTAGCCCACAATGCGTCCGAATTAGGTTTTTTTTAGCTTACCTGATAGCTGGAAAGGTACTAAAGAACGCTACGTTCACAGATTTTGTTTATTTTGATCAATTCTGTGTCATCTTGAATACGAGTAAGTCAGGTGCGTTTTGCGATTTTCATCATGCGATCATTGATAGAGCAAAGGTTCAACATTAAATTTTGTTTTAAACTCGGTATACCTTGTACCGAAACTTTTGGTATATGCTAAGTAAAGTTTACCATGATCATTGTATGAGATGTTCCCACTCTTTTGAATGGGTTAAACGATTCAAAACTGGTCAGGAGTTCGTCAAAGATGAGGAGCATGGGAATCGACCCTCAACGGCAACTGACATTTGTCACGTGGAAGAAGTGCGGGCAAAAGTGCTCGAAAATGGTCGTTTCGAGCTTGTTGAACAGAGTAATATTTCTGAAGGCTCTGTACATACAATTTTGTAGAATACCTATGTAGACACGCATCGACTTTCAGGTACAGTTGTCCCTTGATTGTTGTCCGTTGAACGAAAATCCAACCCAATGTCAATTTCCCTTTAGCTGCTTGAACGTTCCAACAATGATCCTACATTTTTGGAAAGGATAATTTTCGGTGACAATACTTTAGTGTACGGCTACGATATGGAGACGAAACTCCAATCGTCCTTGTGGGTTGAAAAATGTAGTGCAAGACCGAAAAAAGAGAGTTAAGTTCGGTCAAACATAAAAATCGCAAAACACCCTTGAGGTTGCCTTACTTCAAGCTACATACCAACGAAGCTAATTAGAATTCTTCAAATTTGTGAACGTAGCGTTCTTAAATATATTTTCACCTATCAGAAAAGCTCAAGAAAACGTAATTTGGACGCATTGTGGGCTAGTTATGACCAAAATCCGGTTTCTAATCTAACAGACCTCGTATTCCATCCATCCATGAATAGGCAGGGCAGGGTNGGGGGGGGGGGGGGGGGGAATTCAGAACCTGCCAGTCATCTTTCAGGTGAAACCACATAAGTGTAACGGTGAAATGGAAATATTATGAATTTTGCACATGCATGGGCATGTGCAAAGGATGCCCGATGAAAGGTTGCCTAGGAAGGGTCTAGATTGCCCCCCCCCCCTTGACAGAACACGTAGAGACTAACCTGCCAAATTGTGATTGATGGAATAAGGAAGGAGATAAGGAGATACCATTTGCCGGAAGAGCTCTTGCAGGGTTGCTATCAGTGACGGTTGAGTGTCGCAGAGCTCACGGAAGCACTGTAAGAGCGACATGTTAGTGGTAGTATTTGTATTGGCGCGGTTAAATGGAATCCTGATTGAATCAGCTAGATTGGGTCCGTATAAAGGAGGTTTCTTCATCAAATCCACGTGGTTCCCTTCTGAAATCCGTCACATGAATCCTTATAAAACCCATACATATGGAGTCCACAACACCTTTTCGGAAGAATCTCCACAAGAAATCAATTTGAAAAATTTTAGATGAATTCCAAATTGATTCGATTCCTCTACGACTTTTGGGTTATAGACATTAAAGTCTCTAGATCCGCACACATTCTCACCGAAGAGTGACTGATAAGAGACGTGCCAACATACTCAGTTCATTTACAACAGTTAAAGCACATTGATCTAGTTTAATACACTGACTCGAGATGACATCAGTCATCGTTAATCAAAATTACGTGTCTTAGCTCACAAAAAAAATGTTTAATGCCTCCGGAAAACTTTTCTTTCCCTTAGATAGCGTATAAAAAGTCAGCTCATGTCTTGATAAGTGAAAGTTAGCCTTGAAGTTGCCGTAGTTAAAATCATGCCTGAAAATCTTTGTTTCAGAAACTTTGCGATGAAGAATAAAGACTGCGCCCTGATGATTTCGGTCAGCGAGTCCAACGTTGATCGGTTTCTCGGTGTCATCCATTCATTCGTGAACAGCTTTGTCCCAGGATTATTTGTCGGAGAAGAGTACAGAAAAATAATCGAGAGCTGTCGACCGAAGAGTGGAGAAGGGGACACGACGACTGAGGTCCATGAAGATGACCTCTACACTTCGTTCCTAGCTGAGAAGAGTGCAAGGATCAGGCTGATCATTTGCGTCGATAGTCATGCTAATATAATAGGGAAACTTAAAATGGAGTACGCAGCGGTAATTTTTGCTATTTTCTAAAGGCCTGGATACGCGCTCAAATTTTCATCAATTTCCGATCAAATGGTGACTTGTGGGCACCATCTACCATCATTTTTTACGGCCTGCATGCAAAAATTTGATGGTAGATGATGGAATTTAGGGTCTCATCCGTCACCTGACGTCCACACAGCCGTGCTTATTTCATGCTTATTCCAATCAACACGCTGTTTTAATTAATTTTAGATAACAAATTAGATAACTCTCGACCGCCATTTTTGTCATCATTTTGATCGGAAATTGACGGAAATTTGAGCATGTATCCAGGCCTTAATATGTTTTGTTAGTTCGATGCTTTCATAGCACGCTGAGTTGATTTACAGACTTTGGGGAAATGATGAAATACGTTACATTGTACAAGGATGAATAGGTCTGCAAAAAAGAGATGCAGCCATCTGAATACACTTTTAGAGGACGAATTTGCTCGGAAATCACGTTGAGCACATCAAAAAAGTCTGGAATCCACTCCTCAGCGCGCAAACTGCGTAGTTCATAACAATAACACGCTTTTTTAAATTTACCTTGCCCGCAGAGAGACCTAACCTAAATAAACAAACAATCTTAGAAACTGTTATGAACTCTCCTTGTGGAGGATTTCAATTGATTCAAAGCTTTTGTTTTTGCAAAATAAAGAAAGGCAAAGGGAACAAATGCTTGAAAACCAATGAAATCAAACAATAGAAAAAGTGAGTTAATCGTTCGTTTTTTTGGTTGTTCTTTCTTACTCCTCTGCCTGTGCAAACCTGGTCGACGGTGACTGAGAAAAACTTGAAAAAGTGTGTTGAAAACTACGCCGATTGCACGCTAAGGAGCACTGTTCAGACTATTTTGATGTGCCCAACGTTATTTTTAAGCCAATTTGCTCCTAATTAGTATATTCAATGGCTATATCTCTTGCTTGCAAGTGCAACAGACCCATTGAATATAGACTTCACAATTCAATTTTTGCCAATTTTTTCCATCAATTTGAATGCGATTTAAAATTCAATATTTATTGGAGTGCTATTATATACGGTTTTCTAAAAATGCCCTCGTGGGTTTCAGGACATTCCGTCAACGATTTTCTGTCCGCGTGCCTGTTTTGTCCAGCAGTTTACGTCCACGCGTAAAATAAGAGTTGTGTTGAAAGAAACTATACAAAAATGAATATAAAAGGGGGAAAAAACCAAAAGATAAAAGAAACAATTAAAGTGCTTTGGGGATCATTAAATTTGACACGGAACCACCTTAATATTTACAAAACACATTTTATATTTTCCTTTAATACATTTTTTTCATCAATTTAAATGAGGAAAATCTATGCAGAATGTGCAAAAATTTCAAAATCATGAGCTGAAAAACGCCGACTCCGCGATTTTAAATATTAGAGCCGAACACAGAGCGGAGCGGCGTGCTACCGGCACGAAACGCGCACTAACGCCTTCAAACCTAAGGGAACACTTCACGCATTGCGCAATGCTTGAAGTATCCCCTTCGGTTTGTAGGCGTCAATGCGCGTTTGGAGTTAGCCAGCCGCCCGCCACGCCGCGCCGCAGCGTACTACGGCGCTTCAAGCAACTATTTCACAACACAGGTGTTGCACAGTATCAAACGAAATTGAAGGCGCTCCAACATTTTGAAAATGATAGGCGTCCTTCACGAGTACGGAGCTTTCCTCGCAAGATAAATCAAGCTACTACGGCACGAACTCCCCTGCCGAAAAAAACGCGTAAACATAAACTAGTAGAAGAACCAAGTGTGCAGACAAAAAATCGGTGTCGAAATGTCATTGAACCCCCTCGTGCCTTTTTAATATTTTACAAATCGACGAGGAAAACCGCGTATCTCATTCATCAGCGGATTTAGCAAACTGGCAACATTGTTTCTCTCCATTCAAACCTATGGAAATGTATCGATTCTTGAAGGGGCCAGGTGCTTCACCAACAATCGATTACTTAACATACGTTTCAGTGGAGGAAAAACAATGTTGCCAATTTGCTAGATCCGCCCCTGATCTCATTCGCGGTGTACAAAAATCTACGCTCCCAGTTTATATTCCTTGAGGAGAACCACTCAACATCATATGCATCATCGCTTGGAGTTCTCATGGAATTTTCTTCGCACAGGAGAGAAAAATCCAGGAAGTTTTTGAAAATTGACGCTGAGTAGTTTCCCATTTAAAAATGAAGTTTGCAACGTCGCAAAGCGAGATTCGTGGTTCGGAAGTTACACCATCGATATGCAGCTATTGCAAAAAACTGTCGCAAATACCGACTATTTCGCGTTCGGTACTGCGGTGACGCTTCGAGAAGAAGGATATCCAAAACGCCTTCGGTTTTTTGTATATGCAACACACGCATCCCTTGAGGACGAATAGTTGCATCCTCGCACTAGGCGCCAGTGGTATTAACAACACCATGCCTTGCAACACAGTGACGAAAGCTACCTCGTGTTTCGTCGTTCCTCTGTTGTAAGGGCGAATCTCAATTTCCACGCGAGCCCTGTTCTCCATATAACTCTATGCTTTTCGGGGCTCATTCGGAAATCGAGAGACGCCCTAACGTCAGAGAAACGACGATTTGGGCTACATTTTGCAATTCGTAACTACAATTTCTGGCTCATCGATAAAAAGTCTTATGTGCTTGATGAAACTAATGGGACATACGTTGTTTCTAAATTGCGACAAAACTTATAGTTCCCAATATCAGAATGTGGTCCATACATTAACCATCAAAGATGAATCTATGTTAGAAATACGTTCACGTTGGACCTCTCATATTTGAGCCTTGTTCAGCAGAAAGGAACCAAACCACATCAGCTATTGCCATATTTAAGTGGGCAATTTAATATTTTACATGAAAACGGTTTTGCGGATTTGTGTACAAATTTCAGTTAATTTCATGACAATGGTATGATGCAGACCCCTTAAAATTTTCAAAGGAATCGGCTCTACGTTTTCTTGTAAAATATTAAATTGCCCAGTCAAATGGCGATAGCTGATGTGGCTTGGTTCCTTTCTGCTAAAAGCTGTCCAATGGAGAAATAATTTGCATGCAAATGTTTTATTGCTTCATCTGAGAGTGCTTAAAGAACTAATTTCACAGTGTTTCTTTTAATTTTTTTCTCATATGGGAAATAGTATAAAAATAGTTTTAAAAGTGAGAAAATGCACCGCTTAATGACGTCATTTGGCGGCATTTCCTATTTAAACACACATATTTTAGCAGATTGGATCATTATTTTTGTCATATCTTCTCCAATAATTGTTCAATTCATGAATCAAGGGTATCCTCGTGCTCAGTTCACTCAGCAATTTCCATTTAAACACGAAATTCATCAAATTTCAGACACCTGCAAATTATCCATTAGCAATAATGTTTGTAATATCAATAATCAACAGGTATTGAACGCATGCGCACTTTGCAACACGTCCGCGTGGACAACGGAGGCGCTAGAGGCGATCGCCAACACTCGCCTGGCCAACCTGAGAATCCCCAACGTGGGGAGTATAGCCCGAGTATGCGCCAAATTCCACAAGCACATGGAAACCCTCCCGGAAGAGATGAAACGAAGCCACTGTCTCGATTACACGGTGGCAGGCAGCAACTACACCCAGTTCTTGGCGCTGCACGCGTCCCTCTTCGATCGGAAGTGGACCGAGAACAATCGGATAGAGGAACGCATCGGGAACGGACTGAAAAAGCTGGAAGAGACCAATTCCTTGATCAAGGAGATGGAGGCCAAGCTTGTTGAGCTTGAACCAGAGTTGAAGGAGAAGATACAACAGACCGATGAACTCCTTGCCGGCCTTGTTAAGGAGAAAGCTCTCGCAGATGAGGTACCTATATTTAAAATAAAAAAAAATAAAAAAAAAACTAATGAAATACTCGTAATAAAACCTCGTTTGGCAGAAAGGAGCCAAGCCACATCAGCTATTGCCAAATTTGACTGGGCAATTCAATTTCTTACAAAAGAACGTTTGAGTGAGTTTCTTTGAAATTTAAGGAATTCGCTTCGTACTGCAGAAAAGTCTAATTTGCACAAAAATCTGCAAAATTTGCACAAATATATATCTGCATAAATATAGTAACTTATACTCTTACGTTTTCTTAGAAAAAAGTAAATTGCCCAATTAAATTTGGCGGTAACTGATGTGGCTTGGTTACTTTCTGCTGAACACTGGCCAATAGAGAGCATTCACTCTTAAAAAATCAAAACGCAGTCCCAAACGCAACTTTAATCTTATTATTTATACAGCTGATCTACAAGAATCCAGCACCAAAACACGATTCCGTGACCAGCGCAACTGACCCATTCTCTCTAAGACTCAGAATACTATACTTTCCCATTAAGTAAATGCAGTGGTCGTTGACAATGCAATCTTTCATGTTGGATCATACCTTTAGGTAAGAGCGGTTGTGGTGGCGGACGAGCAGGTGGTTAAGCAAAAAGTGGTTGAGACCCAAGGCCTGGTTGATGAAGCTCAGAGAGACTTGGATCTTGCAATGCCTGCGGTGGAAGCGGCCATGAAAGCCATAGATGGTCTCACCAAGAGTGAGCTGGATGAGGTAAGAACACTCTCCTTTCGAGAGCGCCTTCAATTTTTGAGCACGCACCACGGACGATCTTTGAGTGAGAATGGCTGTATCTTAGTGTCATCATCAAAACCGTTTTTGAGACATGTTAGTTCTTTCTGTGATTTAAAAAATAAACGCGCCTGAAACATTTCATTATTCATTATTTCATTCAAAGAACATCTTTTAGGTTCGTATTCATAGTCGTTCTTCAAGCAGCTCCTTTCCTTTAAAGGTCTCATTTGGTTTACATTGTGATTTAGCGAGGTTTAAGAGAACCCCTGGAATAGCAGAATAAAAAGAACATTTTTTGCTAACGTCGAAAAAATTATAGCTTTGGTAATGGATCCGTGCATGAAATTTCAATGATTTGCTATCGTAAACAGTTCAAATTATGAGAGAAACAAGGTGGAGAAATGATGCTGGTCCACACCAGTTCGTGGGTCCAATTAAAGTAAAAAAAATCTTGTTTGCTCTCATGAGCACCAGTACAAGACTGAGGGGGCTTTAGTGTTTTTTTCTCGCTACGGGAAAAATATTCTATGATTTTAACAGACTGTAAGGTAAGTACTGCCTTACTTTAAAATTTGCACAACTCAACATATTTTCTTTTGTATTGTGTATTTTTTGCAGTGGTATATCACTGTAATCTCTTTCAAGGACCCATTTACAAACTGAGACTGTTGAAATTTTTTCGGAGTGAATGGAAACGTCATGGAAAGGATTTTAGTCCTTCCTGCAGTGGCGAGGCGTGAGTGGTCGATAATAATCGATCCTTTCCTAAAAGATCGATTATTAAAATGTACGTTGCGAGCACCCTGTTCATCCTTTTCCGCAGGTTCAAATGGCAGATCAATCGATATATCGCAAAGCTCGCCACGCTACTGAATTAATCTTCTCCTTTTTGCATAGGTCCGCTTGCTTACGAAACCACCTAACCTCGTGCGTCTAGTCATGGAAGCGGTGAGTCTGCTCCTGAACGCGAAGACCGATTGGACTTCGATCAAGGCGATGCTGTCCGAGCAGAACTTCCTGAAGCGCCTCCTGGACTACGATCGAGACTACGTGCCGGATCTCCTTCTGAAGAAGCTGAAAATCTACCTGGAGCACCCCGAGTTCATACCGGAACTCGTCGCTGCCCACTCCAAATTCGCCAAAGTCATGTGCATGTGGGTACGCGCCATCGATGGCTACGCTAAAGTCTTCCGCGTCGTCGAGACAAAACGCAAGAAAATCGACAGCTCTGAAAAAGACTTGAATGCCGTCATGAGCGTGCTTAGGTTAGTAGCAAATGAATACCTTGCCGTATTCCCGACGAAACAGCACTGGGAAAGAAAAACACATTGGATATAGAGTCCAGACTCTTAAGAACATCGAAAAGAAAAAGTACTCTTGATTCAATCAGAATCTAGCTTAAATCAAGAACCGATCCTCTTAATTTAAGTGGATTTCGTTTTTATTCAAGCAAAAATCCGATTGAATCAAGAGTATTTTTTCTTGTCAATGTTTTCAAGAGTCTGGACTCTAGATCCAATGTGGTTTTTTTCCAGTGAACGTATCTGTGTCGCGGGCAATTACTCAAATCAGGCATTTTATCAAATCGAGGCAGGTAGTCAAATTTTGATAGTTTTTTATTTTTTTAAATCAATAACGAAAAATTCACGGTTNGAGACAAAACGCAAGAAAATCGACAGCTCTGAAAAAGACTTGAATGCCGTCATGAGCGTGCTTAGGTTAGTAGCAAATGAATACCTTGCCGTATTCCCGACGAAACAGCACTGGGAAAGAAAAACACATTGGATATAGAGTCCAGACTCTTAAGAACATCGAAAAGAAAAAGTACTCTTGATTCAATCAGAATCTAGCTTAAATCAAGAACCGATCCTCTTAATTTAAGCGGATTTCGTTTTTATTCAAGCAAAAATCCGATTGAATCAAGAGTATTTTTTCTTGTCAATGTTTTCAAGAGTCTGGACTCTAGATCCAATGTGGTTTTTTCCAGTGAACGTATCTGTGTCGCGGGCAATTACTCAAATCAGGCATTTTATCAAATCGAGGCAGGTAGTCAAATTTTGATAGTTTTTTATTTTTTTAAATCAATGACGAAAAATTCACGATTTTTCAATATTTTAGATAACATGACTCATTAAACCTACGAAATCTCTTTGTTGCTTCCTCTGCAAACGCTCGTCATAAATTTAAATATTAACATTTTAAATTTTTTTTGTTTTATGCGATATGCTGTTTTCAACATAAATGTTCGTTCAGGAGTTTCAAACCGTTCAAAATACTATTCTATGTCACTTATTTTTACAGAGATTTCTTTCTTGCATGAACAATGAGTTATTTTATCTAAAATTAGCAGATGAATTAGGATTTCAATCTAAGTAAGAATATTTGACTGTTTGCCTAGGCATTTGATAAAATGCCTGATTTGACTTTTTGTCTGCGCCATCTACACTTCAACGCTACAAAATTTCCACTCGCAAAGAGTATTTGTAGTGGACAACTGATGATCACTTCTTACTAAAAATATTGCTTTTGGTAACCAATAAAAATCATCCACATTTATATACCTGTAAGTGTAGACGGTTAATATTATTCATACAAGCAATATACACATCAATGAATTACATGAACCATACTTAGCCCGAGGGAATGAGAGTCTGAAATTGATCTCTACGTTTCTACCTTTGCGTTAAAGTCTCCTTGGGAGTCCCCTCTTACTGTCAATATCCCTCTTAGGGTGCTTCGAAACATTCATATTACCGCCAATCGATGGATGCAACTTAATCAACTTCAGTGTGATGTTGGGTTGCATCGCCAAATTTGAAGGCGAATTAGCAACACTTTCGTTAGATAAGCATTCAGACTTCCTCCCTTTGAATTGTTCACATACGTCCTGAGTAGCCTCTTAATTGGACGTATTTCTATCAAACAGAACTATGTGCAGAGGAAAAGATGGGGTGGGCTCTTTGGTACTCGAGTCATACGAATGAATGGGAAATAAAAACCGCCAGTGACTTCAGCGGCAACGACAAGAGCGACGACGGTCGGGTCTTCAGCTCATGAGCCCTGTCCAGAAGGCTTTAGGTACATGCCCACTGCCCACGGCGCATGGGTGCCGCGCTTAGTTGGCTCACAGTTCCGTTTGCTGCATTGGAGAAGCGGGATTTCACGTTCTGTCAAACGGAACTGTGTGCACACTGTATTAGCCGTGGGTATGTATCTAGAGCTTTAAGGACAGGGCTCATGAGTTAAAGACCGCCTTCCCAATCGTCATTTTTTTTGTCGTTGCCGCCGATGTCACTGGCGCTTCATATTTCCCATTCATTCTTAAGGCTCGAGCACTAAAGAGCACATACCCTATCTTTCCCTCTGTACATAGTTATGTTTGATAGAAATACGTCCAATTAAGATGCTACTCAGGACGTATGTGAACAATTTAGAGAGAGGAAGTCTGAGTGCTTATTTAACGAAAGTGATGCTAGTTCGCCTTCAAATTTGGCGATGCAACCCAACATCACACTGAAGTTGATTAAGTTGCATCCATCGATTGGCGGTAATATGAATGTTTCTGTGCATCCTAAGAAGGACATTGACAGTAAGAGGGGACTTCCAAGGAGACTTTAAAGCAAAGGTAGAAACGTAGAGATCAAATTCAGACTCTAATTCCCTCGGGCTAAGTGCATATGGTTCATGTAATTCATTGATGTGTATATTGCTTGTATGAATAATAAGAACCTTCTACACCTACAGGCGTATAAATGTGGATGATTTTTATTGGTTAGCAAAAGCAATATAGGTGAAATTTTTAGTAAGAAGTGATCATCAGTTGCTCACTACAAATACTATTTGCGAATGGAAATTTTGTAGCGTTGAAGTGTAGATGGCGCAGGCAAAAAGTCAAATCAGGCATTTTATCAAATGCCTGGGCAGCATTTTATCAAATGCCTGGGCAAACAATCAAATATTCTTACTTAGATTGAAATTCTAATTCCCGAGTACGAACGAGCACTCCCCATCTTTCCCTCTGCACACAGTTCTGTTGGATAGAGAAATCCGTCCAATTCACATTCTACTTCTGCAACTTTATCGATTTTTTTTGAATTTTTTTTTTTTTCCTTTTTTTTCTTTTTTTAGGTCAAAGCAACAGAAACTGGCGGAGATTGAGGCTCGGATTTCCAAGACCGAATCAACATACGATAAAACCCTGGCGATAAAAGCAAACTTGGAAACGACGATCGAACAAACCACCGCGAGGTTGAACCGCGCCAAACAACTAATCGCGGTGCTCGCGGATGAGCAAATCGAATGGACCCGCGCACTCGAATTCCGACACCGCGCAGCGCAGTACCTCCTGAGCGACACTCTACTCGCCGCCGGTTACGTATCATACCTAACCGCGTTCTCAGCCGGTCACCGGGATGCCTTCGTGGAAACGTGGCGACAATATTTAGCCGAACACGAGATCCCGTGCTCCCCCAGCTTCGAGCTCACTCTGGTGGTGGGACAGCAGAACCAAACGCACCTGAAACACCCCGGCCTACCGCGCAACCGCCACTTTCTCGAGAACTCGCTGTCGGTCCGCCTCGCGAACCGACCGTGTTTGATCTACGACCCGCAAGATGTCGCTGCCACGTGGATAACCCAACTCGAGGCGGAGAACAACTTACTGGTCGTCAAGGCAACCTCGGATGACGTTGGCGGGAAAATTCGAAATTGCGTCGAGAGAGACAGCCCCGTACTCGTCACGGATTTCAATTCTGAGGCGCGCCATCGCTGGTTGAGAGAGATCCTCGCGGATAAGCAGTTCAAAGCAACCGTTTATGGGGCGAGTAGTGAGAAGAAGTGTTTCCGGTTGTACACCACGACGAAGGTCAAAAGTCGTGCGTGGGAGGCGCTCCGCGTTTTCACTTTGGTGGATTTCTCGACTACGAGAGATGATTTAAAGTCCATGTTCTTGACGGATTTCATGGTGCTCGAACAGCCTGAAATCGAGACCGAATACAATGCGCTCACTACGAGTTTTGTCCTCGATACGGGTAACCTAACGTCTATGGAGGAGAGGGTGTTGTACCTTTTGTATACGGCTGAGGGTAACGCTTTGGACAGTGAAGAGCTTGTGGAAACTTTTTACGATTTCAAAGACAAAATTGGGAGCGTGAAATCTAAATTAGCAGATACGGTCTCGGCGAAGGTCGAAGTTTCGTCGATGCGAGAAAATTACGCAGCGGTGGCCGAAAGAGCTGCAGATGCATTTTTAGTCATTGCACATCTCTTTGTTCTAAATCGAACCTACCAATTTTCTTTGAACTCTTTCAGGCATTCTTACCGATCTGTGATCAAGTCGGTCGAAAAATCGGAGGAGACTGATTATATTCCGACGTTGTTGCGGGATATTGTTCTCAGTACTTACATCGACTCATCAAAAAGTTTAATATTTGAACACAGACTTGTGTTATGCATCTTAATGAGCATTATTACCGACAAAAGCATCACCAAAGAGCAAATCAGTTTTGTTTTGAAAGATTTCCCACGTGAGGAAAAACTTGATGAAGGAGACGAAAGTGAGATGTGCGCAGACTTTTTATCCGCTAATTTTGATGCGTTCAAGAGTTTGCCGGAAAAAATCGATGAGATAAAAATCTCCGTCAACGAGAAGAATGAAGTCATGCTCATGAATTGGGAGAAGCCATTGACACCTTTCGAGAAAATTATGTTGGTCAAGTTTTTGAAGAGTGATTTCCTGAAATTCTACCTCAAAGAGTACGCATCTATAATGTTAGGTCTCGACTTCATCGAAGATCGACCGGTGGCTTTACCGTCAATTTTCAGAGAAACGAATAATTCGACACCGGTCCTCCTGATTTCAACACAAAAATCGAATCCGTTCAAAAACGTGTTCAGTTTAGCGAAAAATACTAGTTGCGAGAAACTAAAACCGCTAACCACAGGATGTGGAAAGACGGATTTCGAAGAGGTACTTCTCAACGCGATGCAGAAAGGAGAATGGCTGTATTTGCAAGCTTGTCACTTGGAGCAGATCACCGCAGGACACATAATTACACATTTTCTAGCTAATGATCAAGAAAGGGGTAAAGTACAACAAGACTTTCGATTTTTTTACTCAGCCCAGGTGGGCTCAAGTTTGGATGTATCCGTATTGCAAAAATCCAAGATATTTTCACTGGAAACTTCACCGAGCATTAAAGCCTCTTTAATGGCAGCCTTTACCTCGGTGAAGGAACACATCATACACCAGTTTGACAGTGACCCCTGGTGGCGCGAGACAGTTTACAACTGCGCACTTTTCCACGCTGCCGTCATGCAAACCCAGGCATGGCACCATAGTTACAGATTCTACACAGAAGAATTCACCAGCGCTATCTCCTGGTTGAAACTAGAAACTGACTTACGCGATGGGCACGTATCTGCCGTAGAGGTTACAGAAATTTTGAGGCACTGCTACACTCCGAAAATCACCACAACTGCGGACAATCATTTGTTAGACGCAATACTGGATGCAGTAATGCGTTCAGAGGGGCTCGTTTCAGAGCGAATTGTGAACCCTGGACTCCAGACCTTCGAAGAGTATACTACGTTCATCAATAACCTCTCAAACTTGCAGGTCATCCCTCTGTTCAAAGGCGGATGTGCCGTGGATTTTGAGCCGCGGTATCTTCGAGACGTGGAAAAGGTACTGCCACACACGATGAATTACATCATCGATGCAGAGAGCCAACCGCTTGTAATCCAGCGGCAACAAGTTTTGCAAGCTATTGAAGTCTTACTGGCTGACGTGGTGGAGTATGTGGACGAACCGGAAAATTACCCTTTGGGTTCCCCTGATTTTGTCTTAAATGAAGTCTTACGTAAAGAAGTTTATGAGTACAACGACGTGTTGCGAACAATCCGAACGTCTTTAAATATTTTAAAGCAGACTTTGAGGGCGTGTGACGTCATGACACAAGAGTTGGAAGACGTGTTCGATGCGATTGGTAGAGATAGGGTCCCTATCTCATGGGCGCAACATCCGGTGCAGCATTCTCTGGTTTCTTGGATGTCGCTGCTGAAGTCCAAACTCACCTTCATTCGGGAATGGGTGTGTGCGACTAAGAACGGAACCAAACCGAAATCTTTCTGGTTAGCAGCTCTCAACTCACCTTGCCAGTTACTTGCAGCTTTCGAACAAACTTTGGCGGAAAGGAAGGGGATCCCATTGACCAATACAAAACTTTGTTTTGAGCCTGTATCAAATTCGATCGAAGAATTAACCAAGAAAGAGACCAGCCCTGTGTCTGCGTCGTTTGGAGAGTCTAAGGCGGCAGTCAAAAGTCTTGATCGGGATCATAGTTTGGGGGACGAGATAAAAGGAGACGATATTTTTGTGCGGGGGCTGTGCCTTAAAGGAGCCAGTTTTGATTTGGAGACAAACTGTTTGGTTGAAAATGTCGCTGAAAATGAGTGTTCAAAACTTCCGATGTTAAAATTATTGGTCCAAGACCGATGTTCGGAAATTTCATCCTCGTTTTATGATTGTCCGATGTATGGAGCTAGGGGTAAAAGTGATGAAAACTTTGTAATGACAGTGAAACTGCCAACACACAAATCTGAGGTTTTCTGGCGTTTGAGAGATGTTCATTTGATTCTCGAGTAGGAATATGTTCAATTATTTAAAAATCTACTACACGTTAAGAGATTTTTTTATCATTTTCACAGAAAAACAGTTTTGAATTTGAGATGGGAACCTAAAATTGAATAGGATAATTTATACCGAAACTTTTTGTGTCCAAAGGCAGTTTTGAACTTTTTCTCAGCAATTTTTCTAACTAACCTATCAAAAAACGAAACTACATTATTCTCCAATTTAAGTGCAATATTTTACGAATTATTTTGTATATAATGAATTTAAGACTAATCCGCTGTATTATGAGTTAAAATGAAAAGAAAATTTCTTTACAGTTTTTCATTTGAATTTTTAGTATCAGCCCAAACGTATCGCCCTAAATGAAAGATACTGAAAAATATTTTTAAAAATTAAGTACAAAATTAAATGAAAGGCAAATGATTTTTGCTTTTTGTTGTTTTCTAATGCATGGTGCAATGTGTTGCATACCCAGCTCCTGAAAATATTTTTCATATTTTTCGCAACTTTGTTATATTTCATGAAAATCTGCACGAAAAGTTTCAAATTTTCATGTTTTTCAATTCACTTAAGCAACTCTGACCGACCGCCACATTTGCTGAGCTGGAGTCTGGTGCTCGTAACTTTCTCATTTTTCGATGAAAAAAAAAATAAATAAACCATGAATGGGCAACGTTGCAATCGAAGGCACGCATTTTTCACCTTCAACCAGGTGTATGCGGCTTAAAAATGAGGAACGTTTCAATCAATTTTACGTATTCTAAGCCGCATAATTAATCCTCGGAGATTATCCATGCATCATCTCAAAAAAATTCAAAACATAAAGTAATTGAATCATCACACGAAGTTCTCGATAATCGACACCTGCTTCACAAGCAACGCACATGATGTGGACTATCCAATAGACTTCATTTTTCGGCAGATTTGGGTGTTGTAATTTCCCGCGCGAACGCAAAGCGTAGGCGACAAAAAGCACAGGTTCAATAAACGGTAATTGCGATGGGCTGAAACGTGAAGTTCAAGGTGAGAATTTGCATGGCAAGCAGGACAGCGCGATTTTTTTTTCAAAGCGCGGCAAGAGCACAATACCGGTGAATGGATGAGTGACAGGTATGCTGAGGAATCTTTACGCCATCACTGTTGCCGTAATTAAGGATAATTTTCAGTTTTGCCATTGAAAGCTATTACAGAAAGCGGATTTTTTTCAAAAATTTGCAGGCGCGTATGGTAAACCGCATGACTCAGCGAGTGAAGCTCCAAATCACGCTCCACACTGTGGATCGGGTCATTGAAAAAGGTAGGTCGAAGCAGGAAAAATTTGAATTGCATATTTAGGTGCGCAATAACTGAATACGTTTTATAATTAGTGTTTTCATATTGATTGGGTTTGACTTGCAGGTTGCCCTAAGTTGTCGTTGAATGAAGTCTAGGTAATATTTATGGACTGATTTTTGAGTTATTACTCTGTCTTTTCATCGGTTTTTGATATGAAAACATGGTTGAAAAATTCTAGCCTAAAGAAAATTAAAATTAATCAAAATAATTTGGCTTGAATTCTTGTTTTTAGTTGAAAACAAATTAACTCACAGAAAAACGTTTTCAGGGAAATTTTTCTCATTTAAATTAAGTTACTCGATTAAAAAAAAATTAAAAAAACTCACTAAAACTCGATGAATCAAGGACTGCTTTGTGCAATATTAAAATCATGCTATTCAACCACGTTTCCAGTGTTGATTGTAAGAATCCGCTCAAAACTCGAATTGCCAGCAAATTCGACTTTGAAAATTGTAAATATTTCCTTTTTGAACAATTCGTCACATTCGTGCCTGATTGTCACCATGTTCAATTTCGTGAGCGTCATTTTTTTAAAAAGCTGAAATCCAGAAGCTAGTCGACTATACTACCGAGCCGAGGAAAAACGTCATATAAACATTCGAGAGATGCTAAACTTCCTTCGAAAGAGTGTTTACTTTTGAGGCAAATTATGAATATTTTTCCTTGAAATTCTCAGGAACTCTAGGTGAAATCGCGCACAAAATTACCTGAAAATTTCGAAGAAAAATATTCATACGTTTACCAGGAAATTTGTGCTTTATCCAAGGAAAATTTGCAACGCCTGAAGGCTCACACGGCGTTTCTCCTTAACACGGCGGTGTATGCGTCAGCGCTATGCATCGTCACGCTGTCACTTATTCATTGATAGAGGTGTGTCACAGGAGCTGTTTCTATCGCAAACTTGGACGTCATGACTTTCTCGACCGACGTGACGTATCTGACATAACGTGACGTCTCGAGAGACCTGGAAACCGCGGGCGTGTGTCCGGAAACAATTCGATGTCACGGTATGGAACTTCCTAAAAATCACGATGCAAATTATGTGGAATAGTTTGAATAATCGAGACATTCAAAAATACTGCCTTTAATTGGACAAAAAAATTTGTTCGGGAAATTGTTTTTGGTTGAGCATAGAATGCAAGTGACGCACAGTGGATCGATTCAATATGAGAGGTCGGACAAAATTTGGAGACTTCATACGCTTACAACTCTATTTATACAAAACTTTGATGTTCTAAAAGTAGTTACATAGGTTTCCTGGCGAAATTTTCTTTTAGAAGCACCCCTTAAAGTTTAAAATGTGACGAAACAAACATCAAAATTTGCAGTTTTAGTTAAAAATTGTACGTCCGACCTCTCTAATTGACTCGATCCACTGTGTGGCGTGTAGTTTGAATTGAAAAAGTACACGGTTCGTTTCTTTTCCAAACGCAGACGCCAATTAGGAGAGCGGACTAACACCAACAGGTAAAACAAGGAATCACGTTCTTCAAAACAAACGGCGAAGAATGTGCGTTTTACACTAATCAACTTTGTGCAACGAAGATGACTTCATTCGTTTGCACTCATGTCCGATTCGAATGAGAGAATTATGAATGAAACGAGTCGCTCAACAAATGAAATTAAGTCTCTGCAGTGAAAATTTCAGCTTAATGCTGAGTTTTTAACGCACGTTAGCGGAAAAAAATTCCAACATACTAACAAACCGTGCGTCCACCGCAATCAGTTTGTGTAAATGAAATTAAAGCGCTAGGTACAGAAAGGGCAATTCTTGGTTGCGCTAGATCTCTGCTAACGTTTCATCGATTATAATTGAAGGAAATTGTATGGAATCCGTTGAAACTTTTACTGAATTTTCTTCATGATTTTGCAATCCTAAAAATGAAAATATGTCATAAAATTCACTGAATAGTCTCTTCTAGAAAATATGAATTGGGAGTTAAGATTTTGTAACACTGATCAAAAAACTGCCCTTCCTGCACCAAACGCTTCAATTGGACGTATTTAAGCTAAAAGGAACTATGTTACACGCAAATCCTTTGCACATAGTTCCTTTTAGCATAAATACGTCGAATTAATCAAGCTTCTATACCATTTTAGTTCTTCGATTGAAAAGTCTCCTCTTCAAAGGGCCTGGCATGACCACCGACCACTGATACTACTGACTTTCTAAATCCGTCCAAAATGTGCAAAGATTCTCTGTTCAAAGGTGCGGACATGGAATTTAAGATGTGCTTCTGCCATCACTTCTCAAAAAGTCTTCTCTTTCCGTAAATGAAAATGACTCATTTATTAGAAACTTGGGGGTGAATCATGCGTTCGGTAGACTCAGCTTCTCTGACATGGTTTCTTCGGCGAGGGTGCGATTGCTGAGTGTCCCGTACTGCTGTTTCAGGAACTTCAAGACCTCCTCCTCGACGAACTCCCCTTCCTCCCCGATTCGACATAACCTGCACTGATCGTAACTCGGGTATTGAATTTTCATGCGACCTGCAATAGAATAGAATCTGTAACGCAACGAGTTGTATATGACATGATTTTATATACTCTACACTGAAAAAAAAAAATATCGGCGTTTTTACCAAGGTCCGTTGGTACCTTTACCATCTCACTTTTCTCACCTATTATTGGTAATTTTACCAAGACAGACTGGTAAGCTTACCTAAAAACCGGTATTTTGACTGTTTTTTTAGGTAAGAATAACTTTTTTATTGGTAATCGATTCCCGGTAACTTTGCCATTTTATCTCGGTAACTCTACCACAGTCGATAAAAAATATTGGCGTCTTTACCAAGGCTCAGAAAAATTACCGAGAAAGTTCAATAATTTTACCGAGATTCCTTGGTAAAACTACCAATTCCATAAATGGTAATTTTACCAAGAAAAAACCGGGATCAAATAGAACCCTGAATTCTTGGTAATTTTACCCTTTTCTTAGTAATTACACCGAGATTTTTTTTCAGTGTATTTGTGATCTTTCAACTTGGATTTTCAGGCGACGGCGCACAGTGAATCGAGTCAATGGTCGGGCGAAATTTGGAAATTTTAAAATCTTATAACTCCGTGCATACAGAACTTCGAGGCTTCAAAAGTGGATCTATTGGTTTCCTCGTAAAATTTTCTTCTTAAAGCACAAATGTGAAGAAATAAACATCAAAATTTGCAGTTTTAGTCAAATATACATGTTCGACCTCTCTGATTTACTCGATCCACTGTGCGGCGGCGCGCGGCGGTCTGCTGGAATCTTGAGAAGAGATCGCACGCAGGCAAGGGCGTTTGAGTACTAAGCTGGGGTCACGCAAATAAATTTGTACCGGTTTGGGTGTTTTATTACCTCATCACAACAACTTAAAATAACGTGATCTGCTGATAACGTAAGAAAAAAGGGCGAACTAACATAGATATCTCGGAGTAATCCCAGCTTAGTATTCGAATTCACCTATCGTAGATGAATCTCTTCGTTTACATAAGAAAATGAATTTCGAAATTCGAAATTCCATTCACGCTGATAAAAGATGTAAAATGAGGAGAAGAGAAGGAGAAACAGTGAAACACATATTGTTTTTTGTTATTGTTGTTGTTTCGAAAAGCTAGAGTCCCTTTGTACCCTTGAGAGTGAAAACAATGCGAATCCATTTCTGATCGGTTCCCGTATTTTAGGCTTCCATAGTGTCACAAACGGACATAAAGATTACATTTTCACCAATTACAAACATCATAAACTGGAATGGACCAGGGAATGGAGATGTTGCATGTGTGAGGAATTTGCGATTTGACCGTTGATTCTTATGTAAAAGTTCGCGAGAAACACGATGGTGCCACTGGTTTTCTCTGAAATCAACTCCCAAGCTCAAAAAAAGCTCTCAAGTTGAGGCCAAAACGGAGGGAATATCCCACGCTATCCTGAGAGTCCACCTCTACATCAAGACAAACCCTCCATGCAAAGATATACAGGGCTGCCACTTTATTTGGAGACTCTAAAACTGAAAACACGGCATCACTGCTAATGTATTTGCTCCCTATCTATGCATGAAGAGTTTGTCTTGATGTAGAGGTGGATTCTCAGGATACCATGGGATATCCCCTCCATTTTGGCCTCAACTTGAGAGCTTTTTTTGAGCTTGGGAGTTAATTTCAGAGAAAACCAGTGGCACCATCGTGTTTCTCGCGAACTTTTACATAAGAATCTACAGTCAAATCGCAAATCCCTCATGCAAAATCTCCATTGGAGGTACGAGGCGGTTAAGAATACGATCCACAATCGATCAAATCTCACCTCCAGTCCCATCGTTTCCCAGCCTCCTGTTCACCTCGTTATGCCCGCGCCACAACCACAGAATACTCGCGTCGGAGGAATCGACCTCTCCGGGGATGCTCTGCGCCATCTGCGTGAAGTGCTGCGAGCACTCGTTGCAGGCGAAGAAGTGCTCGACGAACCCGGCGATGCTCGCGAGGACGTCCTGGGGGTCGTCGTCGTCGAGGCGCGTGTGGTTCGACTCCATGTGGACGGTGAGAGTGTGGAAGAGAAGCCACACGGAGCATGGCGGGCTGGCCCCGCTGCTCCGGCAGTTCATGTAGGATGGCGGGTTCATGAAGAACTCGGGGAGACGGGACTCGAAGGGTGCCAGGTAGTTCTCGTACTCCTCGCCGGACATCGGTCCTGTGTGGTTCCAGATCGCGTCCGCCACTCCCTGGAAAACCTGTGGTTTAAAGAGATTATACAAATTAACTGAATCACCAGAGAATCACATTTTGTGGTGTCGTCTCATGAAAACAGTCCCGCCACATCCCATCTCGGACTCTGGTATCAGTTTTAAGGTCGGGGCCCCATGCCCATGACTGCCTCCAGCTCCACCTCCTACCCACCACCCCCTTACCACCAGAAAAATAATACGCAATACCATGAAAATGGATGAGATTTGAATAAAGCTAAAGTGAATAAATGCTCATCACATTTTTGCGATTCAACTTGCGATTTGACTATTGATTCTTATGTAAAAGTTCGCGAGGAACACGATAGCGCCACTGGTTTTCCCTGAAATCGACTCCCAAGCTCAAAAAAAGCTCTCAAGTTGAGGGCGTAATGGAGGGAATATCTTACGCTATCTTGAGAGTCCACCTCTACATCAAGACAAACTCTCCATGCAAAGGTAAGGAGCAAATTCATTAGCTGGGTTGCCGTGTTTTCAGTTGTGGAGTCTTCAAATATAATGGCAGCCCTGTCAATGTATTTGCTCCCTATCTTAGCATGGAGAGTTTGTCTTGGTGTAGAGGTGGACTCTCAGGATAGCGTGGGATATCCCTCCATTACGCCCTCAACTTTGAGAGCTTTTTTTGAGCTTTTGAGTTGAATCAGGGAAAACCAGTGACGCTATCGTGTTTCTCGCGAACTTATACATAAGAGTCAATAGTTAAATCACAAATTCCTCACACATGCAACATCTCAATATCCAGGTCCGCCTCTGTCCCTGAACTACTAACCTCTTTCCCGGTGTCAAGAAACGGGAAATATCGGGCGACGACCCTGACGTAGCGTTTCAGGGCGTCGAGCTTCTCGCCAAGGAACTCTTTGGGCGCTTTCAGGTGGTTGAGCACCGTCTCTCGGAATCCCTGCTCGATGTCGAGTTGGTAAACCAGGTCCCCGGTGAAGGCTGTGGCGTTGGCGAAGAAGGGTTTCCTCGGCCCGTCGTAATACGGTAGATCCGGGACATGGATCCCGTGTTCTTCGAGATAGAGCTTCGTCGCGTTGTAGAAATCTCCTCGCGTGATATTCGAGACAGGCAGCCGGACAAAACCCCCGGCAGACCGCTTGAGGACGTACAAGCTGGGAAACTCCTGAAAATGAGAAGAGCAATATTAGCGCCTACAAGACTGCGTGAATACTTCTTGCATTGCGCCAAACGCAGTGCAGTCGGTCAATCGGCGTTAAACGCATACTAGCGCCTAAAAAACTGTAGGAATGCTGTAGGACTGCGTGTCGTCATTCTTGACTTTCTACTCCAGTATTTACCATAAGTAAAGGGAAAATATGTATCCTCATTGTAACGATTCAGAAACTAGAATAATATTTGATTGTTTTGGGTTACATTAAGAGAGAATAGAACGAACGAAAATATCGCTTCAAAATTTTCGATACTTATGTTTGAGTTCATTTGGATAAATTCACGGAAACTTTTCAGAAAAACAGAGTTCAGCGTTTTAAAAACATGAGGGCATATAAGCTGGGAAATTCATTGAAATGAGATTAACGTTATTATAACGACGGTGTAAGTCGGCAATCACATAACTCGGTTTGCGACGTCGCAGACTTCCTGTCATAATCTATTTTTTAAACTAATCAACGGCAATTCTTTAAAACTACCGTGATTCTTCTTCTCTGTGCGAAGAAAGTTCTGCAGAAACTTCAAGGAATGATGTCAATTTGTTCTCCTTTAAAAAGAATGACTTGGAGGCGGAGATTTTCAGACACCGCAAACGAGTTGTGTGATTGTAGACTTACGCCGTCGATGAGCGTTGCTAAAAAAAATGTACGCGGGGATTTCATCACCCTCCAATTTTCTTTGTGCTGCTGATAAAATTCGGTGAAATTTTCAAACTTTCTAAACGTATATTAGCGCCTGCAAGACCTTATAAATACTTCACGCATTGCGCCAAACAGTGCGGTCGGCGTCAAGCCCACATTAGCGCCTACAAGACTGCATGAATACTTCTCGCATTGCGTCAAACGCAATGCAGTCGGTTAGTTAGCGTGAAACGCATATTAGCGCCCACAAGACTGTACGAATCTGCCTGTAGGTCCTCCGCACGTAAAAACGCCGTGCTGAACTCCGTATGTGCATTTGAATAATGTTGCCTAATTTCCTCTTAGAGAATATTTATAATTGCAGAAAGTTATGAATATTTTTTCTCAAACTTGTCAGACTTTTCAGACCAAATTACCAACAAAATCCTCTGAAAAATTGGAAGAGAGATATTTACAAATTATTTATTGTTACTCGTGTGGTGAAAAATGTGAAATCGAGAATAATTGCACCAATTTTTGCATGGTTTCATCTGGGAGTGCTTAAAAATCCGATTTCGCTTTTTACTATAATTTTTTCCGATATGAGACAAGCATCAAATTAGATTTACATTTGAGAAAATACACCGCCTAGTGACGTCATCTGGTGGAGTTTCCCATCTTCATGTATTTTAGCAGATTAAATCATTCTATCATATGTATTTCCTCCAATATTCGTCCACTTTATGAACCAAGATTATCCTCGTGTTCTCTCAGTAATTTCCTCTCAAACATAAAAATCAACTCTCAGACACCTGCAAATTATCCATAAACATTTTCCTGTCCAGCCTAATAGGGAATTTGCAGGTGCCTGAGATATGATGAATCTCATGTTTCAGTGGAAACTACTAAGTGAACTGAACACGAGGATACCCTTGGTTCATGAATTGAACAATTATTGGAGAAGATATGACAAAATGATCTATTCTGCTGAAATACATATGTTTAAATGGAAAATGCCGCCAGATGACGTCACTAGGCGGTGCATTTTTTCACTTTTATATCTATTTTAATACTATTTCCCATATCAGAAAAAAATTATAAAAAATCCTGTGAAATTAGCTCTTTAAGTAATTTCAGATGAAGCAATAAAAAATTTGCATGCAAATTCTCCATTACCTGAACATTAAACATTTCGACATATTCGCTGTTGTTTCCTTCAATGTGGAACATTCTGATCTTGTATTCTGGCCGATGGAAGTCTAAGATAAGCTCCTCGCCAATGAACGAATCCCTCTTGTTCTCCCCGTCGAACAGTACCCCGACGTGGTTGACCTCCGGGGGCAGCGTTTCGATGGCCTTCGTCAAGTTCTCTGTTGCTTCGAGAACCGGCATATTCGATGGACTCGATGATCCCTTCAGGGCTTTGATGAGGGAATGGCGAAGCTCGTCAACGGTGAGCCCCTTGAGAACGGGATCCCCCAGGGACCCGGGCAATGATTTCGGAGGGAAGTACTTTAAGGTCGGGTACTGGATGACCTCGTAGCTTCGGCACAGCTTCCTGTTGTTGGGGTCGATGGAATCGGGGTCGCAGTCTATCGCAGCGGCGTGAACGTAGTCTCGCCAATCTGAGAACGAGTAGATAAATCTATGAATATACTTTAAATAAAGGGAAAGGGAAGGGTGAAAGCCAGTGAAAGGGAGGCGACAGGGGGTTTTAGAAGAAATGAGGGTTTGTCAACTCCCTGAAGGGCTTTGGGAGGATAGGGAACTTTGGCGGCTAGGGGTCGCAGAGCGCCAAAGAGCGCTATAAAAGCGGCTTTATACATACATACTTTAAAGAAAATGAAACCACAGAATGATCCGAAAGTTTCCATCTCTATACTACCGTGGTAAGGAAGAACGCCGTATGAACATTCGAGAGTTGCCAAATTTTCTTTGATGAGACATGTATTTTTGACAACATTCATGCACATTTTCCCCCTGAAATTTTCAGATATTTAAGATTTAATTGCGTACAAAATTGTCTGAAATTTTTGGAGAATGATATTCGCTATATTCCCATTAAATTCGGTTTGTATCGGAGGATACTTGGCAACGTCTGAGGGTTCATACGGAGTCCTTCCTTAGCATGGCAGTATACTACCGTGTTGAGGAAGAACGCCGCACATTGGATTGAGTTAACTCGAGAGGTCGGACATGAAATTTTTGGCCAAAACCGCAAATTTTGATGTATAGTTCGTCACATTTTATATTTTGAGGGGTGCTGTTAGAAGAAAAGTATTCGATGAAACCAATAATGGAACCATTTTTAAAATCTCAAAGTTTTGGCCTAACGGAGTCATAAGCTTGTAAAGTTTCCAAGTCCGACCTCTCCCATTGACCTGATCCACGGTGTGCCGTAGGAACATTCAAGAGTTGCCACAATTTTTCTGATAATATGTTTGTGCAAAATTTCAGTGAATTTTCTTCACAGTGCGAAGCAAACTACTTTGGAAAATTTGGAAAGGAATCCACGGAAACGTTCTGTTGTAAAAAATTAAATTGCCTAGTTAAATTTGGCAATAGCTTATATGTCGAGGTTCCTCTTTGCTGTATACACGGTCCAATTATTCCTACCGTACCCAAGAGTTGTGTAGGTTGCCTATTCTCCAATTGAAGGAACTTCTCTTGCTGAAATCTATTGAAATAAAACTGAAGTAAGCTGCATTTTTTTTGGCACTGAATATTGCTCACTTTTCTCACACATAGGACAAGGCTCACCTTATAGTACATAGTAAAGGCGTTCATTCACCCCACCCATCCCAACTGTTTTTTTTTTTTTTTCTTGAAAGAAACAGGTGTTTCCCCTCAAATCAATATCAATATCGGAGAAATTAATCAGGAGGATTTTTACCAACGGATTACAGTTATAGAACTCACGAGAGCAGTATCAATTTTATTAATAATCTAACATATAATAAGAGAGACAACGAAACGAAAAGTTCGATAAAAAAATTGAAACTTTCATCTCAGGTCTCCGATGATTTTCCAAATCAATAGTATTTTCCAAAATAATGACGTCTATTCACCCCACCTATTCAACTATCTCATTTTCCTTAGAAATCAATGCCCATTTCAGACAATATCAATTTGAAAATGTTGCAGTTTTGAGTACACTCAAAGCTTTCGCTTATTTAAAATGGTTGAGGTGAATTAATAGACGCCATTATTTTGGAAAATATTGATTTTGACAAAAATCGAAGAGCTGAGATAAAATTTCCAACTTATTTTTATTGAACTTCTCGTTCCGTTGTCTCTCTTATTAAGTGTTAGATTTTTGATAAAATGTATACTGATTTCATGATTTCTGTGAAAGTAATCCGTTCGCAAAAATCCTCGTGATTAATTTCCCCTATATTGAAATTGATTTGAGAAGAAACACCAATTAATTTCAGGGGGAAAAAATAGTTGGGATGGTGGGGTGGACGGACGCCTTCACTACTCTTTCTTGATATTTAAAACCGGGATTTATAAAACGAATGATAAAAAAATATTGCAATACGGTAAAAAAAAAAAAAAAATATTTTATAGTATTAATTCGCAATTGCTTGTCAATATTGGCATTATTTTGTGCTACTTGGGGAACAAGGCCTGCAAAAACGCGATGCACTATACTTACTGTATACATTCAGTGCGAACTCCTTCCAAAGCAGTGCGTATCGTTGGCACTGTCCACACCAAGACACATAGAACTCCACAAGCCACGCTTTCTTCGGATGATTCATGACATAGTTGTGAAAATTAGTGCTATTCAGGATAACAACTTTATCACTCTCATCATAGAGCCCAGGTTTGCTGGCCAGGGCCTTGAAGAATGTCCGATAATCATGTCTGACCTTTTGATCCGACAAACCATCAATCGGGAGAAAGAATATAACACCAACCAAACAGTGATAGAAATACTTTACGAATCTTGGGTGCATCATGAGGTATAAAAAAACCAACACAAGAATAGGGAGGGGAAGTCCAATGGGGAAACCATGATGAATTTTGTACTAGCAGGTTTTCCGAACGGTGCTCGGCTCGACTGAGAGATGAGGAGATACGGGAAGACGGTTGTCTAGCGCGACAGACTTAATGGGTTTTTTATTGGGAAGCCTCTTTATTATGCTACGAGTGACTTATTCTGCGGTGATAGCGAAGAGAGCCGTAAGTGCAAAAATGAAGTTTTGAGAAAATGGGCCTAGAAGCTTCTGAGTGGAACATTTTATGAAAAGAAGCCTCCGTTCTTTGTCAAATTGCAACCAATCACTCGATAGACTCTTAGAAATCATTTGGAGGATTAAAACTCGACCGATTTTATTTTAATTACATGAAAAAGGTAAGATTCAGTTTCATGTTAGATTAGTATTTGGCAAGGCAGCCGTAAGTGCTATCTTCTGCGTGCTTTTGTGGTAGCGTGTTAGACACACAACAAACACATTTTCAGGTTAGAAATCGGCAGATGAGGGCAGCATTCCTCTTGAAAGCACTGTTTTCATTGACTCTCGTGCACCTACGGCTGTCTTGAAAAAAACTATGTCATTTTTTGTGCACTTACGGCTTTTTCATACGTCCCGTTTTCATTAAATTAGGATGAATTTTGCTGTTTTAGCTGTCTCAGTAATTTCATCTAAAAGAGTTTAGACGAATTTTGAAGAAAACTCGATTTTGAAAATTTTGCATTTACGGCTCTCTTTGCTATCACGGCAGTATTCATGACGTTAAACATCGTGTTCAGATCAATTTTGAGACGTCACTATCGAGCTAAAAATCGGCTAAAAATCTCAAAAATAAAAAATTAATAAGGTTAGTCGGTCAGGTTGGCCTATAGTGGTCAGCGCGTCTGACTATAGGACAATAGGTCCCAGGTTTGAATACCGGTAGTGGTGTCAACTTTTCAAGGAACTGGCGAGTGGGTTTACAAGAACTGATTCTATTAGGTAGGCCTTGATCCCTGAAAATTTGAAAGCCTGAAGCATGATGGCTCCTGACACTAAATAGTATTTATAGGTCGCTGTAGGTTCCGAATCGGAACTTAAACTAATAAAGCAACATAAAAAAAGAATAAAAAAGTAGGGGGAAAAAGGTTAATTTTTAAACTAACAACAAGCAACAGTGGAATAAGATACATTGATGACGGTGCAGAAATACAACTATTCGTGCTTGATGGATGTCCGTGTTGTATCTGCAAAATTGAAGGCGCGATAGCACAAGGCGTGAACTGGCGATGCTCCGATGCTGTTGCTGTCAATGAGGTGTCGCTCCGATTTGAGAGAAAAATAAAAAATGAGGTCCGATTACGTCTCTCTTATCTTTGTCTGTGTTGCTCACGTAGCCCTGGAGGCACCGCCACAAATGACACAAACAGAAGCAAGCAAAATATGGAAATAGAGCAAGGGAAAGGACCGGCGTTGATGAAGGCGCAGAGATACAACTATTCGTACTTCATGGATGTCCGTGCGGCATCTGCAAAATTGAAGGCGCGATGGCACAAGGCGTGAACTCGCAATGCTCCGCTCTACGCTGTCGCTGTCAATGAGGTGTCGCTCCGTTTTGAGAGAAAAATTAAAAAACGAGGTCCGATTACGTCTCTCTTATCTTTGGCTGTGTTGCTCGCGTAGCTCTGGAGGCACCACCACAAATGACACAAACAGAAACAAGCAAAATATGGAAATAGAGCAAGGGAAAGGACCTGCGTTGATGACGGCGCAGAGATACAACTATTCGTACTTGATGGATGTCCGTGCGGTATCTGCAAAATTGAAGGCGCGATGGCGCGAGGCCTGCACTCGTTAAGTTTCGTTCGCTGCCAATATAGTGCCGCTCCGATTCGGGAAAACAGTTAGAAAACGAGGCCCCCCACCCGAATACGTCTCCCATATCATCGACTGTGTGTGAGAGAGGGTGTGTGTGTGTATTTTTTTGTTTGTTTTTTGTTTTTTTTTTTTTTTTAAAAACACTCAATTTATTTCTTTCCATAGGTCGATTCCGCCATGTCCATCCCGCAGTCTCCGACTTTCCCCGACCTAAGACAACCGAGAAATAGCCTTGCACGGTTGGTCTGGGACATCCTGCACATCTAGGTGCTCGAGTTATAGTCTGTCCCAGATACGAAGAGCCCTGGAAAATNATGGAAATAGAGCAAGGGAAAGGACCTGCGTTGATGACGGCGCAGAGATACAACTATTCGTACTTGATGGATGTCCGTGCGGTATCTGCAAAATTGAAGGCGCGATGGCGCGAGGCCTGCACTCGTTAAGTTTCGTTCGCTGCCAATATAGTGCCGCTCCGATTCGGGAAAACAGTTAGAAAACGAGGCCCTCCACCCGAATACGTCTCCCATATCATCGACTGTGTGTGAGGGAGGGTGTGTGTGTGTATTTTTTTGTTTTTTTTTTGTTTTTTTTTTTTTAAAAAAAACACTCAATTTATTTCTTTCCATAGGTCGATTCCGCCATGTCCATCCCGCAGTCTCCGACTTTCCCCGACCTAAGACAACCGAGAAATAGCCTTGCACGGTTGGTCTGGGACATCCTGCACATCTAGGTGCTCGAGTTAAATCCGTCTAAATGATGGGATTCCTTTTGATCTATTGCGAGCTGTCTAGGTACACAATGTTGCACAAGCTCGTGTAGCTACTCAGCAGCATTGCCACATTCTCCCCAAATAAAACTTCTCTAAGCTCTTCAACAAGGAGGGATCACGCTGGGTCGAAAGAAAAATTATTTATTTCATTGAAATTTTACTTATTGGTTCGCTTCGATTCAAAAACTTTTTAGATTAGATTTTTTCCCTAAATTTCAAACTTTTAAGACGGATAACTGGTATAATTGGGAGCAGTATTTCGCAAATATGCCCAAAAATTATTTGCATTTTAAATTTGCTGTATGGTAGGGATCAGCACTGCCGCGTAAAGGAAGAACGCTGTAAGCCATCAGGCGTTGCCAAATTTCCTTCGACAAATCACATTTTCCGGGAAAATTTGTGACGAATAATTCTCCTTCGATTTTTCAAAGGATTTCGCTCGTAAATTGATCTAAAAAGCCTGAAAATTACAAGAAAGAATATTTATAACTTTCTTCAAATATAAATTTTTTCTGAGCATAAATTTGGCAACATTCGAATGCTCATACGGCGTTTTTCCGAAGCACGGTAGAGTAGCCTGGAAAGGTACCGAACTCCGAAACGATTTAAATTTCAGTTTAATAATAATGATTTTATTGATACATAATTTTTGGGAAAAATTTAAAAAAATTTGAGTGAATTCAGCGTTGGAGTANGGGGGGGGGGGGGGCTGCTTTCAAATACATGCGTCAGGACTAGACTGGCTTGAATGCTAAGGAAGAACGCGGTATAAACATTCAAATGTTACCAAATTTCCTTTCTTCAAAAAATTATTTTTGAAGAAAGTTGCGAATATTTTTCCTTGCAATTTCCAGACTTTTTTTATCAAATTAAGGACGAACTCCTCTAAAAGATCGGAAGAGAAATACTCACAAATTGTTATCAAAATCCGCGGTTTGTCGAAGGAAATTTGGCAACCCCTGAAGGTTCATACGGCGTTCTTCCTTAGCACGGCAGTAGAGGTCATGCGCAGAGCATTTATTTTATTGTGAAACCGGCAACACCGCGGCGGGGAGTGGGTCACATGCGAGGAACAAGTGGGATAGGAATTTTCATAAACACTGATAACAGCTGCTGCGAAACGGTAAACACAGAAGCTCTTTGATTTGTCACCGTGAATTTTCTCCTCTCATCTCAGTGTGCGTGTTCACAACTCCTGAGCTCTAAGCCGATCCGAATTAGGTGCTCCTTTTGTTCTCCAATTTAGACTCGCAACAGGGATAATGATCGCGTGCTGATAAGCCCAATTACCCGGGTCTGCCGTGCGAGACTTTCCCGTCACTTCACTTGTCACTCGTTGTCAGTCGTGCTCGAATCTCTGCTCGCGCGTACACTCCATTCATCGATTTCCATGTGTTTTGCGTGAATCCGTACTCACGATGGACCCAAAAATCGTGAGTTTATTGTGTTATGTTCAAGCCAGCATCCTGTCTCTCTTCCTGTGCATCGGCCTCTCGGACCAGAGGGCCGTCTCTCTGAACCACAAGAAATTGTTCCATGACTTGATCAGCGGTCAAGGATTGTACAGCCCGGAGGATAAGGTTCTCATCCTGAATGCCACCAACTTTAACAGCTCTGTTATCATGAACCCGAACCAGGCATTAGTCGTCGAGTTCTACAACGCCTGGTGCGGACATTGTATCCGTTATGCCCCAACGTGGAAGAACTTTGCTCGCAACATACACAGTTAGTATTTGAATAGTATTTATTTTCTTCCATTATTAGTGCCTTGAAAGAACAGTACTTATTTCTGGTTTCCGTACGCGAGAAATTAGGTGTTTTGAAGTTAACATGCTGGTAACACTATTTTAGAGGTTATGTCTTTCGAAGCAGATATCTAACGACATTCCCATTTTACCTCAAGAGGATTTGAAGCCATTTGTGTGAGTGCTGTGCAATTTTTGACAATTTCAAGACTGGCCTTGCAAGCCACTCATTCCTGACTAGTTTAGTAAATTGAGGATTGATCCCTCGGTAGTAGAGGGATTTCTATCTATTAGGTATTTATCCTTCTAACACTGAAGTAAGTATTTGCAGGAAGCATCATTCGATTATCCTTGACTGTATTGTAATTTTCAAACTCTGTAATTGCTGAACAATTGCTATTCTTTTAACATATTCAACGAAACCAGACCATGCTCTAATGATCCAGAAATGCTCCATTTACATTTTTCTAGTTGAGTTCCTACTCATTCTTCTAATCCGATGTGCAAGCCAAGTTGAACTTATCACAATTTCATTGAGACTCTATCCCTAAAGCTTAAAAACATTTCAACCACATCAAGAGATCTAAGTGTCATTCCATATTTCCCATTTTAGATAACTGCTTTTCTATAAAAATTTCATCATTCTTTTCAGATGGTCTGATAGTTGTTGCCTATTTTCCTTTTCTTTACTTACATACTTTGTTTTCAAGCAATGTTATTTTATAATGCACTTACCTACTTTTACTCTGATCTATGGAAGTATGAGAAAGGCGGAAGATTATTTTGATATTAAGGTACTATCTGTTAATGCCTCCTCATCAGGTACAATTTTGAGTCCCAATGTAAAATGAAGGAAAGCAAGAGAGAGAAACCTAAAGCAACTTGCTTCTTACCTACATCTCAATTTTGCCATGGGGAAGAGTGAACCTATAAGAAGGGAAATTTGGAGAATTTAATTTGGGTGGTCTGTCTGCATCGAAAGAACATTCTTTCGTTTTACGCACTATGATCATTGCCAGTATTTTTGCTCTTGTATATTTCAGTTTATACCTGCTAAGTACAAAAAACTCTGCAGATGAGGATGTCACCAAAAAACTTGACAATTTTTAAATTCTGACCGTTGTGTGCTAATTAAGACCAGTTTTCAGTTTAAGCATCAGAAATAGGTCCATGCATTATGTATGTGAGGCTTCATCTAAATAGCATCTTTCAAATCTAAAAATCCGACCAACTGCTGAATAATGGTCAGTTTAATTTGATGGCTCCGAACTATTCTGCTGTGCTAAGGAAAAACGCCATATGAACATTTGAGAGTTGCCTAATTTCTCCCGATGAAACGTTTACTTTTGAGGAAAGTTACGAATATTTTTCCTTGAAATTTTCAGGAACTTTACATAAAATTGCAAACAAAACTATCTGAAAAATTGGGGGAAAATATTCGTAAGTTTACCGAGGGATTCGGGTTTTATCAAAGGAAATTTGGCAATGCCTATAGGTTCATACAGCGTTCTTCTTCAGCATGGCAGTATTGGAGTAGTCGTGGATTATCTACAGATCCTCTCCAGTTTTCTTTTCAGTCTGTGGGCACAAATGAGTTATTTTTCATAAATTTAAATGAATCTAGAATATTTCAACTTAATTTTCCTCTATCCGAGCCAGGTAACAATAATTTTTTTTGCTTTATGGTCGGTGGCTGTTTCTTTTTGAATGATAATTTCAAGGAAATCACCAGGCCTATTACACTCCTTGCACATCAGCACTGATGTTCTAGACTACCTCTATTGTGCTACAACTGTAGCAGGGAAAGAAACAGGAGGAGAAAATTCAGACCCTAATTTTAATAAACTTCCTCAATTTACTGGACAATTTGAATTTGGAAAATATAAACTTTTTTCTAAACTTCAATAGGTAGATCATTTAAAAAGGGGAAGAGACCTTTACACCCCCCTCCCCAATAAAAAAAACTGCTCAAATTTTTAGGGCCCTTTAACTACCTTTGGTAATTACTAATTCTGTCCATCTGCTCATTTTCAGACTGGAAAGATGTTGTCACCGTAGGTGCGGTCGACTGCTCTGCAGAAATCAATGGTCAGTTATGTCGAGATTATGAGGTGATGGCCTATCCAACCTTGCGCTACTTCCCTCCCAACTCTCCGTTTGGATTCTATGGAGATGACATGAAACGTATGTTCAACATCAATGATCTGCGACACACGACAATAGAAGCCATGGAGAAATCCGTCTCCGACAACAGAAGTGGCGCATCCTGGCCAGATGTTAAAGCAACAGAAAATCTGACAGAAGCTCTAGCAGAGCTCCCTTCAGAGGTTGAATTCATCGCTATTATGTTTGACAAGCTCAAATCATTCGCTGGTGCCGAACTTATCCTGGACTTCCACAAGGTACAAAAACTCAAAATTTTCAGTGTATTAGAGACTGACAGTGATTCTGTTAGGTTATATGATGTCAAAGAATTTCCCAGTTTATATGTGAAACAGTCAGGGTCTTCAAAATTGACTCAGTTGCCCGTTAGAAATACAACAAGGGAAGATTTTTATGATGCTATGAAGGATTTCCTCGGTAAGAATGGAATTTCAGTCCCCAAAATATCACCTAGCAATGCAGCACCTGAAGTTCTAAATCCTCAACAGATATTCGACATCATTAGCCAAGAGCAAACCCTATCTGATGACAAAGTATATCAGCTGGACTTGGAGATGGCTCTCAGACATGTGCTTTTCCATGAGCTGCGTATGCGTAAAGAATTTGCTGGTGAAAGTCTACATGCATTGAAGCATATCGTTAGAGTGATAGCCCGTTACTTCCCTGTAGACCCTGCTGGCAAAGCATTGCTCCAACAGTTCAGCAATGATGTCTGGAACCACCCAGGATCAATGACTATCGATCAGTACAACAAATATGTTGAGCCCTTTGAAAAAGAAACATCCAAGTATCTGCTCAGCCCTGGTGGTTATATGAATTGTGCGAAGAGCTCTACAAAGCCACCGTGCTCGCTGTGGCTCCTTTTTCACACGTTGACTGTTCAAGCTGATGCCAAGCATGAGGATTACAATGACTCAGATCCCTTAGACGTTTTGCGGAGTATGGCCGGTTATGTGAAAAATTTCTTCGGCTGTACGGAATGCGCTCATCACTTTTTAGGCATGGCAGCTACAATGCCTTCAGAGGTGGTATCTTTTAATAAAAGCATTCTGTGGCTGTGGAATGCTCATAATAAAGTGAACGCTCGTCTTAGTAATGACTCAGTTGGTGGTCGTTTGAAAATACAATTTCCATCTGCGATAAATTGTCCAAAGTGTAGGAACGGAAATGAGTGGAATGAGGAGGAAGTTTTAGATCATTTAAAGAGTGTTTACACAAAAATCAGCTACCATCCACTTCCAAAAGTCGAAACTACGGAAAGCCCATCACACAGAATGAATGATGCCGTCTCAAATGATGAGATCGGCTACCGAGAAGAGGTTCTTATCTCGTCCTCTGTAAACATTAACTTTTTTGACATAGGTTTTTGTATTGGCCTGTATGCCTTTTCAGCAACTGTGTTGCTGTTTATCTGTATTAAATTTTTAGTCAAACGGGGTAACAGGAAGAAGTTCAACCCTTTTCTAGAGGCTTTTGGGCGAGGGTGATGCCTGGTTTTTGTTATCGTTTTTCTACTTTTTTATTTTTTTGTTTGTTAGTTCCTGATTTGTAAACTGAAGTGTTAGACCAAAGAAACGAATTTAAGTTTATAGCTTCAAGTTAATCTGTATGTAAATTAACCTCTGTTGAGTGATTTTTCTTTCTCTTAAGGATTTTATCTGTGTTTATGTCACCATCAAAAATGTTTGAAAAGGGAGTTCAATTTACCTAATTTTTTTCTTCTTTTGACATGTAAAAACAACTGCCTACCAAATTCAAAGAAATTCCTTTTATTGGTTGATCGCAGACAAAGAGTTTGAATTTTTTAAAAGGTACAAAATTTATAAGCGGGAATATTTTTGTTCTATTCATAATGCTGACAAAAGATTTGTATCATTTTCACCTCACTTTCTTTAATTGAAACAATTAAGGAATTTTTTTAGGAAAGTGATTCTGCTACAATTATGCAATTTTTCACAGCGTTTTCAGCAAATGTAATTCATTTACAATCGACTTTTTTCCAAACAGTAGTGAGGAAAAATTCAAATTATTTTAAAAGGAAAATGTGTGGCAAAGCCTTTAGATAGGTCACTGCTTTGCACAATCTTATTAGCATTTAAGGCTCCTTACACCCTTTAATCAAATAGGTAAGTCCTCAATTCTAGGCGTATTCTCCTTCAGGAAGTGTGACCAAAATGGTTACCTTAGTTAATATCATGACCACCAGAAACTTGTTTTTGAGGAATGTCCTTTTTTTTGGTGAGAAATGTTTTGAAATTTTTGAGTCCGAATCAATTTTCTTTTGCATTGCTTAATACCGGATTCTCCCTGTAATGAAATATAAATGGAAGAGATATCAGAAAGTCAGCATTTTTTTCAATTAAGCAGAGATTTTGTAGATTCTGTGAACGTTTTGGTTTTTTTCTTTATTTTTTTGTTTTACAGCGATATAGAAATGATGATTTATCAAACAACTAAGCCACTAATGGTGACATTTGTTTCAAGATTCTATAGCTTTTGTTTTTAACAGAGAAAGTCTCACAAAACACAGCATTCCTTAATCTGAAGCTGCACACTCATGCAATTGCTTTCTTCAAAACATGAAAGCGTAAATCTTTCTCTATGAAATTGAACAATACCTTTCTTTTCTTTTTTTCTCCCGAAACTATTATTTTATGTACTAATTATTCATATTAGCTTGATGAGCGTTTATGAGGCTGTGATTCTTTGAATGTGGTATTAATGAGTAATAATGTTTCCAATATTCTTCCTTTAATTTTGGTTTCAAAACTATTTGCATGGTTTGTGCAACCTTGAGAAGTCCTTGATTTTGGAAAAAATTTCAAGGCTTCAAAAGAGCTCGCATTTTTGAGAAGTTTTTGAAGAGTGCTCATATTATTAATTTTTTAATAATTGTTAGTGGTAAAGATTTGACTTTGAGAAATAACAAAGCTCTTGATGTTAAGTAAGTCGTTTGGAAAGACATTACGAAGAAAATTGTGATCTATTTTCAAAGATAACCAAATATTACTTACTTGGGCTCACAAGACGAGGCAAAAACTGTATGTTCAGGAATCAATTACAAAAGCTGTTTTGGAAAATGCTTGATTTTTTATTCTCAAGGCCGCACAAATCATGTTTAAGCTGTATTTGAATCTTTTTTATTCCTGGAAAATTAAGTACATCCAGAACAGTTTCCTGACATCAAATGATCGAAGATTCAAGTTTCAGTTTACATCTTTGACTTCTTTGTTTTGATGAAGAACAGAATTTAGTTTTAAATTATTGATAGAGTAGAAAGTCTTGGAGTTTTCCAAAGTATTTTGTAAGGTAAAGGTTTTCTTCATTTTTCATTGTTGAAGTATTCTTAAAATTGCACCAACGCTTATTTATTTATTTTCCTGCTTAAAAGGAGGTCAATATGCCCCAACACTTAATTTTTCTTGTTATCAAGTCAGTCTTTCTTGGATGTGTCATGTAAGATCGAATTTATCACATGGTATATCATGAAGAGGTCCTGTTCTCATGCAAGATGTATCGGAACTTGCTGTGGAGAGGAAAAAAAATCTGACCATACTTTCTATCAGCAAAGGCAGTGAATAAAATAAATAAACGTGGTGATTATTTTTGTTCGAGTATGTCTATAATTCAGGTTCAGCAGCATTAGGGCCAAATCCATGATTACTTTTGTGTATAGTATTTCTCTGTAACAAACAAGATTTCTCTCTTGCACTTCTCAGTTAATTTTTTTATTATTATCGATTTAGAATGATAGAACAATATAAACTCAGGCAGTCAGGGAGAGAACAAGCTGTCTTTATTGACTGATAAGGGTAAGTTTACTTATGTTTTCAATAGGCTGCAGAAAAATAACTTTAATTTGTCAGTCAATGACTCCATGTGACACAAACAGCCTTATAACTCATTTTAAAGCTGATTCTTACCCGTTGGATCCTCATATTCATTGCAGCGCAGCTCTCACTTGAAATGAACCATTTCAAGAAAAATGACAGAAATTTTACAGATTTCAGAGAGGTCTTGTGCACCAATGAAGGTCCTCATAAACCTCCGTAATACTCTTGGCTTGATGACAAGCACAAGACTTTCTCAGGAGAATGATTTATACCTCTAGTCTTTCGAACTAATTTTAAGCTGTATTTAAGTTCCCCCGTGCATGTACCCGTTTCATACTAGTTTAATACATTAATCATTGTCTAGTTTAGTTTAAGACTACTCTTGTCAAATTCACCCAAATCATTGAAATGGTAAGAGGAAATGAAAGAAACGAAAATTAATGGATTGAAAAAATTTGCGAGTGTCTAAAATTTGAATTAAGTCATAGCAATGAATGTTCAATAACTCTCGGTAGAAGTTGGAGCTATGTTTCCTATGAACTGAAAACATAATGATGTCACCATGCTACTTAGTCACTTATTTTCAAATTAATCTTCTTCAGTATCTCCAGTTGAAAAAATTATTTACAATATTGTAAACTTTTTAAAAATGAATTTTCATATGACTATTAAAACTACTCTGGGTTCGTCCGCTTATCAATAAATCTCTCCGGCTGAAATGAATGTAATGAAAGAATTTTATTGGGTAAAATTGATTCAGAAATCAAGAGATGCTTGGATGCTTGTCAACAGAATTTTCCTTTTCTTTGAGCCCAACTTCATTGAAAATTTATTTTTAGAAAGTGTAAGCCTCTCATATACTTCTGAATTGCTTTACAAACACTTTTTATATTCTGGGTAAAATTTTAATCTCCTTATTTCCTTTGAAAACGGTAGCTCGATAAAATCGACGACTATACCACTTCTTGAAGAAGATATTTTTGTTCCTTTTCAGCATCGATCCCTCAAAGCCTATGAACTACTTAAGAATGTCACTCTCATTACTAAGAAACATTTAATAACTGGACGGAATGAAACAAAATCAGTCTAATTACATTATCTATTGCCTTATTTGTTCTGATTCTTTACTTTTCAACAAAAAACCAAGCAGTTTTTCTGCACCGAGACTTAGAGTTTGTGTCATTTGTAATCCAAAGCAAATTCAGAAAAAGTTTTGAACCATTATGTTCAAAAGTTTTTGCTTCAAGCAATGAAACATAAGATAGAACTTGGCAATATAGAATGCAGTCAGGCTAGTTTTATGTAATGCTGTCCAATTGTTGGAGCCTTTTTAGGGGGGATCGCTAATCAGATGAATATGTATATTTCACTTTTTAGATCCATCGGCTGACAATTAATCACTTTCATTGTATGCTTTTGTGCTCGTTGTATTGATTTATTCATGATACGTAAGAGAACATTGCATTGTTTAAGGACTTAAAGAGCCTGTCAGTTTGATGTTAGATGTGTGAGGGTCCCCCCTCCCCCCTAAAAAGTGAAAGTTCTGCGTTCTTGAATTTTACTGTTATTTTATAGGTTGTATTATTTGAGTGAGAGACTTCTACTTATCTTCTGTCTAAGTGTCCACCACTATTCGTACAATTTGGTGAAAACTCTTATTTTTGGGTTCTTTCTTTTTCAATGACTTCTCAAGTTTCAACTATAAAATGTTATTGTTGTGAGTTGTGTGCAACTGTTTTCCGGTTTCTCCGTCAAAAATTTAGCAGATTTTTCCTTTTGAAGCATTCTGGCTTGACTTCATAAATTTTTTTAACCTTTAAAATCAAAGTTTTTGCATTTAAGGGCAAAGAAGCTTCATTTTATCTTCTTTAGATTCTTAGATGGGCACAGTAGAATATGATGATATGACAATCGAATAAGTACCTACATATCGAAAACGTAATCTGATCAGTAAGTTCTCTCTCATTAATCGGATTAAATTGTATCTTCTTGTATCTCTCTGTAATCTTCTTGTATCTCTCTGTAATCTTCTTGTATCTCTCTGTAATCTTCTTTTTTCTTTTATTTCTTTTTATTTAAAACCATAAGCCCTTATCAAGTGGTGGCTGTAAAATTTGGAGGAATTCTCCGTTCTTAAAGTGTCACTATCAATTTGTTCTTGCAATAAGAAAAAAGAATTTGTCAGAATTTAAGATTTTTTCTAAGTTAATTAGTTTCTACGCATTCATTCTCTTCTGAGTTACCCGTATAATTTGTATCTTGGGAGCTCTCGATGTTGTTTTTCTCCACACAATTTTAATTTTAATGCATTTATTATGAATGATTTCAGTGACAATGCAAAATCTGTCTTCTCTTTTGCTAAAATTGTTTCCTGCCAATGTATTACTTCCATCTTACTGGGCCATTCTTTAGTTTCTCTCTTTTATTGAAGAAATGCGTGCTTTCCTCAGATTTTTGTTGGGTCATTTTTACTTGCTCAAAATGAAATTAAAATTGTCTGGGATGGTAACGTGAGTGTAATCGCACATACCTTATTTTATAAAATCTGCCGTTGTTCATGAAGATGTACAATTTACTCCCACCTGAAGTCATTTCAGATTTTCATTTTACCTCGATAATAGCTCTCATCTTTTAGCGGTGGTGTTCATTTCTTTAATTTTCTACTGACCAAGAGTTTTCAGAATCAACTTAATTCTGTAGTTTTGCATCTTGAGAAATATTTGTCTCTTTATCAGCAGCACTTGTCGCTGCATTTACCAAGTCCAAAACTAAAACTCAAGAAACAACTCATACCTACATACATTGTTTAGTTTTGAAATGTTAATTCATGGTTTGTTCTTTTAACCTATCACCTACTTAATTTTTTTTATTTAAATTGGTGCAATATAATTAAAAATAATAATAGCACATTTTCAGGAATGAAATTGGTTAGTTTTCTGAGAAAATATTGAAATTTGTAAGAACTTCTTCCAACACTGCAACTCATGTATATTTTTGTAACAAAGCCATCAAAGTTTGATTTTATTTTAGCTTTTTTTTCACTTTAATGCTCATTAATTTTGCACCGTACCACTCCTTTGAACTTTTTTTCTGACCAGTATCATTGTAATTATTAACTTAATATTTAGGTGGCATTATTCCTAATGCTAAGCTAGTAGTGAGAATGTTCTAACTCATCTGCAAAGATTATATTTTTTTAACTGTCATACACAGAATTATAAAATTATTTTTAATGGCTAAATACTGATGGTGAAACTAAGAAAACAGTTATCTTAATTTGCGGCAGAGCGATTTTCCTGTATCATTTATACAGCTGAAAAATTATACCAAACCGTTTCTGATTTGCAAAAATTTCCATGATTTTTCTGTAATTGCTCATCCAAAATATTCCTCTAAAATGTTATGCTAAAGTACAAATCAGCTTTCAATCAAAGAAATAACATAAGACCAGGAATTTAGAAACATCGCAATCGAGATGTATGCCTTTCAAAGTTTCACCATCGGTTTTCTCTGAGGTTCATCTGAAATTGGTCGAATTTACAATTCTTTTATTGTCATCACAGTTACTGTAATTATTTTTGTTATGATTTACATTCTTCCTCTAAGTTACATCTCCTTGTTTGAATATTTTTTGTGTAGAGACCCTTTGTATCTGGATCAGAAATTTATGCTTAAATTCATATTGCTTGAAAGGGTCGAGTAAAAAAAACTCAAAAAGTGATTGAATTTCTGAGCCCTTAGCAAATCCGTTGATATTTTGATCGAGATTGAAATCTTGATCAAGCCCTTGCATTTTCAAGTAGGTTTTTTCTTCATATTTTTGTATTCAAGCATTTTAGAATCTCACGTTTTTTTGTTTTTGTTTTTTTGTAAAACCAAGGACTGGCTGATCAGTCTGAAGACAAGAATTTATGTTATTTCCTGTAAGTGTATAAAAAGTCATTAAAAGATGCTCTATATTTCTGAAAAATTGCCTTGTATTTTATTGGTAGTAATCCTTTAACATTTTCATTTGAAGAGACTTAAGTTCAGGTAACATTATTGAAAGCTGTGATTTTTAACTGTTGAAAGTTTGTTTTTCTTCTGACAATTTTGCAACATTTCTTTTTAAATCTCCATTGCCATTTAATTTTCGACACTCACAACCTCACAAAGATATTCCTGAATTTTAATATCTCGGATATTTTTTGTTAGACATCGTACATGAAACATTACGTAAGTAAATGAAATTTCTGAAAAATCGAGTGAAATTCGTTTCTGAGTGCCTGGAGTAATGTTTTAAAACGAATGAGATGGGGCAGCAAAATACAGGCGGCCCATGGGCGGCAAGAAGGTAAATCCGGCCCTGCCCTATGAGCCACACGAACTTTCAGGATTTGTGAATATTTCTTCTTCGATTTTTCAGAGGGATTTGCTCGTAATTCTATCGAAAAAGTAAAAAAATTTCTAGGAAAAATGGACCGCGTTAAACAGAAAGGAACCAAGTCAGATCAGCTATTAACAAATTTAGTACAGCAATTCAATTTTTTACAAGAGAACGGTTTTGCAGATTCCTTTGACATTTTTGAGGAATTTACTTCGTACCACGCAGAAAATTCACTGATTTTTGCAGGAGAATCCACACAAGCGTTTTTCGGTAAAAAATTAAATTGCCCAATTCAATTTGGCAATAGCTGATGTGGCTTGGTTCCTTTCTGTTTAAGGCGGTCCAAATATTCATAACTTTTTCCAAAATTTAATCTTTTTCGAGAGGAAATTTGGCAACATTCGAACGCTCGCACGGCGTTCTACTTACCACGGTAGCAGTCTGCACTAACACAAGGCAACAACGGTCCACTCTGGAAAAGTGCACCGAGAAAGCATCATACTGCCGTGCTAAGGAGAAACGTCGTATGAACATTCGAGAGTTGCTAAATTGCCCTCGATAAAATATGTATTTTTGACAAAATTCATGCATATTTTTCAGTGAAATTTTCAGATATTTTATATTAAATTGCGTACAAAATTATCTGAAAATTTTGGGAGATAATATATTCAATTTTCCGAGTAAATTTCGGTGTTTATCGAAAGAAATTCGGCAACGTCTGAAGGCTCATACGGCGTTCTTTCTTAGCACGGCAGATTCGTGATGGATTATCTCTCTCCAGCTGGAGGTTTCCTGTGGCTGGGATGATAACAGTTTCCGTCAAAAGATTGGAGCAACGATTTCCTTGCCACGAGCTGAAATATGAAAATTTGCAAGATTTCAGTGAAAAGAACTTTAATCTGATCGCTGAAATTGTTCTAGATAAAAAAAAAGAGCAGGATTAGCTTCGATCTTAGGATCGGACCGTTCTAACAGAGCCGAAAATTCAAATTTCCCGCGGACGATTTTGTTTACAAAATTCGGTCGTTCACCCCTCCCCCACGCAGTTATCAGTGTTTACATTCATCAGAGGTCCTGCGGCCGGTCAATTTTAACTTTTTTGTGTACATTGGGCGATGATCGTAGACAAGTACAGCATGAAGCGCCCAAAATTTAAGACGGTGTTTTGAGGGAAGTACAAGGCATGATAGTTTGAGGTTATTTTTATTAATTCCTGTAAACACTAAACTTTGAGAACATCATTTCACTGATGATCTTTCTTCACCAGCAGTGTAACTGCCCTTTGCAAAAATGAATACCTTTAGTCTATGTTTAGTTTTAATTATTTTCCTCATCGATCTCAATGTGATCTCTAGTCAGAGTGTGTCTGTCGGTGGTGATGTGAAACCAAACACATTAGTCATCGCTTTTTTAGTCAGGAATAAAGCGCATACTTTACCATACTTTTTAACATTACTGGAGAATCTCAACTATCCCAAACAGCGGATTAAACTATGGTGAGTGCTCTTCAATTTGTATCTCTTATTGAACCCTTGGTTCTGCCTCTGTCTTAAGCAAGCAAGTTGCAATTAAGGTAAAACCAATCATAATTTCCGTGTTACTCTCATAATACCTACCTATTGGAGATTGATCACTCAGAGAACTAAAGATTTTTGCATCATGCATGGAAAGTTGTTGATTACTTCCTGTTATGAGGAAGAACTTGGTGAATCACTGTTTCAGTCTCATTTCTGAGGCCTCAAGTGAGAACTCTCCTTCTAGGTAAAGTAGGGAAACTTCTTGTGTCAAAAATTTAAAATAATTGCCCATGGATGTATGCTTTAATTTTATGATTAGAATATTTCATGTAAATACATCCAGGTTTTCATATGCATATTTGCCTAATATAATATATTAAATGACATATGTATAAAACAAGATATATATTACCCTCCAACTTGTTCTGAATATTAGTACTGAAAAAATTTGAAAAAACTCACGCATCAGCATTTTGACATTGAAGCAATATTTTCTCTTCATGTCATGTGAAGGGAAGTACTGCGTATTGTCTCAGAAATTGCCACAGATTTAACTGCGGAGTTTCATTACATTTCTAATCTAATTTGGGTTTGCCCTGCTATCCAACAGGATCCGAAGTGACCACAATGTCGATAACTCCATTGAAATCCTTGATGCATGGCTTTCCAAAGTATCCTCATCGTACAGTTCTATAAATACTCATTTCGCACCATCGCCACCAACGGAATTTAAGGATGAAGAAGGACCCACACATTGGTCAGAGAGTCGGTTCACTCACATAATGCGGCTTCGGGAAGAAGCTCTCATGTACTCAAGAGAGACATGGGCTGACTACCTACTGGTAAGTTGTAGAAATTAATTTTCAAGCTAGTCGAGCAAACTCAATATATATCCAGGGGAATGAATGCGTAAAGGAACAATACATTAATTCTCAGGGATTTTGGGGTGAACGAGTGCTCATGCAAGCTTTGAAATTGTGATATTTAATTTCTTGCTTTCAGCGCCTTATCATTAGGCAAAGCACTTTTTTTAAGTAGTGTTCTACACTGCCATGCTTAGGAAAAACGCCGTATGAGCCTTCCATCGCCAAATTTCCTTTGATAAAACACGAATTTCCTGGTAAACTTATGAATATCTTCTTTCCAATTTTTCAGATAATTTTGCTCGTAATTTCACCTAAAGTTCCTGAAAATTTCAAGGAAAAATATTCATTATTTTCCTTAAAAATAAACATTTTGTTGGTGGAAATTTGTCAACTCTTGAATGTTCATACGGCGTTCTTCCTTATCAGCACGGCAGTACATTCCTTCTAAAATTGCAGGACCCACCTTGCCTTGAGAGCCCAATTTCTGGGAGCGTAATTAACCCTTGCATATGCTTCATATGCTACCACTGCTTTGCGATTGTGGGTTTTAAAAAATTGTCAGGGTACGTCCGCTTCCTTAGGTTCCTCAATGGCTCAGCTCTCCCAATTTTTAGATGCACTTGGTGCCTGACACCTGAGGGAGGGAGAACACTGTTTCTAAGTCTATCAAATTTTTTGTTTTGATGAGGAGAATATGTTCATAACTCTTCTGCTTGCATTTTTCAGTTTATCGACTGTGATGTATTTCTTACTTATCCGGATGTGATACAAGATATGGTCTCGAAGAACTATCCTTTAGTATCGCCAGTGCTCCAGTCAAGTGGGCTTTACTCCAATTTCTGGGGCGGCATGACAAGCGATTTCTATTATTATCGCTCTGATGACTATGAATCTATTTTATTCCGCAAAGAGAAAGGCTGTTTCAAAGTTCCTATGATCCACTCTTGTGTCTTCATTGATCTGAGGTATCAGTCCACTGATAAATTATCTTACTTACCGGAAAAAGTTCCTGGCTATCATGGTCCACATGATGATATCATCACATTCGCCCTAGCAGCAAATTTGTCTGGTAAGTGTGTCGGCTTATTACAAATATCAGTTTTCTAACAATGAGGATCATTTTTTTGTTTGAATGGAGACTGAAGTTGCCTCCCATAATTTGAAGGACTTTGGTTGGGATCAAACGAGCAATTTGAAATGTTTCACTTTAATTGAATTTTTCTTTAAAGTAGCAATTTCAGCTTTTAGATTCTGGATCAGGATTGCCAGCGGTCTGGAAAACCGGGGAAACAAGGGAAAGTAAGGGACTTTGCAGCGACCAGGAAAAGCCAGGGAATTTCTGACACATCTACTAATCACTAAAACATATCACTGCTCATCTGAATGTTTATTGTTTCTGGTTATTTTTAAGTCTTGTCATTTTTTAACCAGCTACTGAATGCCTTTTTCCATACTTTGATCTCTAAACAAGGAAATTTTGTCCAACAAGCAGCAACAGTCCAATAAAGAATAGAAAAAAATAGGTGGAAATTTTGCTTGAAGGCTAGGAGAAAGTCAGGGAGTTTTAGAGAACTTTGCAGCCAGGGAAAAGCAAAGAAAGCCAGGGAATTCGAAGATGAAGAATTTATGGCAATCCTGTAGACTCTCATATCTATCAATTTTTGGACCCCTGAGAAAAAATCGGTACCAAAAGGTACGCAACTTTTCTTCTCTCAGGGTAGTGGTATCAATAGCTTGATTTTCTAAAGTTAGAAGATGAAATCCCTTCTCCTAAAGTTAGTCACATTCAAGGCACTAGTTTTAAATGTCTTAAAACTAGCTTACTTAGTCACTTTAATGTCACGCTTCAACTGTCTTCATGTCTACCATATGTTTTCAGGTATTCCACTTCATGTCTGTAATGAAAATACTCACGGATTTGTTATGGTCCCATTAGAAAGAGACACTCCTCTAGAATCTGATGAAAGCCAGTTGACGAACATCAAGCTTGAAGTTTTATGTGAGTTTCATGATTATTCAAAGAAGTATAACTATGATGTCTAGGATGGGCCCAGAAAAATAGGAGATGTTGTAGACTTATCAAGAATTCAATCAGGGAATTGGTTAAAAACTAAGAATTTCTTTATTTTAAAGTGGCAACCAGTTTGTATATTTTTTTGGTCGGATATTCAAAGTAACAGAATTACCCCCAGAAAATGAAAAAAATTAGTAAATTCTACTTTAATCTCTGGAGGATTATTTTTGCCCTTGAAAATCTGGACGAAAGTAATTAAGTGTTCATCAAGGAATCAAAAAATTCAAAGATAATATGATTTAACCTGTGGCATCAGGTTCTTATTGAAAAATTAATGTTGGTAGTTGTATGGATACTCAGTGAAATGCTGTATAGGTTTTAGTATCTTATCAATCAAAGAAATTATGCAAATCGTGTTTTTATCATAAAATTCAAATTATACCGTCCAGAAATTGAAAATTTTATCAATTGAAGAAATAAGTTCAACAATTTAAATTTAAGATTTTTTTTCCTGCAGTCATTCTGTATCTTGTAACAGGAGAGTGAAGTAAAAAAATTAAATATTTTCTCTTCTCTTTGTTTTTTAGTGACCGGGCCGCCGCTGTCAGTTAGTGAATCGTTGTCGCGTTTTGTGAAAAAAAGTGAAAAAACATCTTGGGGACTTAGTCGGACATACCTCATCAACTTAGAGCGCAGACCTGAACGTAGAAAACGAATGATGGACTGCTTTGATGTGCTAGGACTGGAGGTGACTGTACTCAATGCAGTTGATGGCAGGTAAGAAAAAAGTCACTTCTCTCTGAGGTATGGGTTTGGCCAAGGTTTTAGAATCCTCACATTGCGGCTATAATTTGTGGTTCTTCTCCATAGTATTTCAGTTAAAATAAAATATGCCTAAAGTGCATTTCTCCAACACTGTATTTCAGCAGTTTTGTACTTTAGTGGCAATGGATTTTAAGAAATGTTTGTATAGTTACACTTCAAAGCTGAGCATCCCATTTAGCAACTTTATCAATTGTTTAATTTTGATGCTGATTTCATTTAAATGGAGTCTAGATGTTTTGAAAGCCTGTCTATTCATACATGTCCAGCTCTTTCTTTGCCTCCACAATAAGACAGCACTTTGGTATAAAAATTTGAAAAATGGAAATCTACAAGTAAAAATTAAACTTTGCTTTGAACCTGAAATTGTGGGCTCTACAAGCCATAAAAAATACATTATGTCTTGTCTGTGTGTCTTGCCCAACTTCTGCTACCTCAAAATTGAAATTTTTGTATTATACCTAGTGGAAAAAAAATTCAAAAAGCTAAAAATTAAAAGGCTGCTCTCAAAATGCTCAAGAATAGAACATAAAGTGCTGTCAGGATATATCCGATATAGACCCTCTCTGTATACAGTTTAGGGAGCAAATTTTATTTGTTAACCTCACAGCTGCGTTATATTTGAGTTCTAAAAATTTTTGGTTTTGTTACTGAAGTGTTTCGAAAAAATCTTCTATGTTTGTGTAACGAGATTAACAGATTACAATATAACTTGATGCCCTCCATTGGTACAAAAATGACAAACCATCTCAACCCATTCCATAGCTTATAGTGATGAGAGTCTCTGCTGGAATCCGAAAGTTCAATTTTTTTGTCTAACAGGAAAAAAATCGCTGTGCTGACAATCGGAATACATTTGCAATTAGGAATTACAAATTCTAGCTCATTTTAGAAACAACCTATGTATCAACCATTGATTCTTAAACTCACATTAGCTTTTTCTGGGATGCAGAGGTTGTAGAAATTGAAATTGTATTTCCCAATTGCAATATTATTTGAGTCCTGTTCTGCATGGATTCCTATGGGTCTCAAGGCTCATGTCTTAATACACATTGTTTCGTTTGGCAGAGATACGTCCACTTTTACAAAAATATCAGTTCAACTTGAAAATGCTCATATTCTTGTTTGTAAAGCTTACGCAAACTAAATCTACTGCAGAACTCCCAGATAATGTATCCCGCTTTGCGACATTGCAGACTTTTTGTGATACTATTTATTGCCAAATTTGACTGGCTAAGCTGTGTAGAACATTTAATGATTAAAAAATCGAGCTTCAATCGAGCAGCATTATTTTGGCTTGTAGCTCGAATTTTTAATCATTATTTATCTTCTTGTGAAACTTTTTTTTTTTTTTTTTTCCACCAGAAAATTACTTAACATCAAATCTTCAAAAAAACCGTGATTTTTCTTCCCCGTGCAAGGAAAATTCTGTGAAAACTCCAAGGAAAGATTTTGCTTTATCCCTCTCCAAAAAAAAAGAAAAAAAAAACAAAATGAAATAAAATACCTAGGAGTGGAGATTTTTAAACACCGCAAACGAGATACTTATGTGGTTTGAGAGTTTTACTGTCGAAATGTAAATTTTTGAATGACCACGTGTTCCTCTCGCGCAATTACGGTAGCCGCACAATGGATCGAGTCAATCAGAGAGGTTGGACATGAAATTTTTGTCAAAAACTGCAAATGTTGATGTTTAACTTGTCATATCTTAAATTTTAAGGGTTGCTTCTAAGGGGTTCAAAGTTTTGTATAATTGGAGTTTTAAGCGTTTAAAGTTTCTGAATTTTGTCCAACCTCTCCCATTGACTCGATCCACTGTGGGCCGGCCTGAAAATACCCTTCATCAACGCACTTACTCAGAGAGTTCACGTATGTTGAAAATTCGTAGAAATATTTCCAGAATTATCCTCCGGGGTAAATCAATCCTACTGTAACCGAATTTCCAACGAAAATCGGCAAAACGGCTCAAGTCGCTTGCAGTCGCGCCGCTCACCCACATCCAGACGCAAAAAACACCAGCTGAAAACCGGAATGAACTCTTAAGCGTCAAGTGCCTTAATTTCAGTGTAACGCCCCCGGGTCTAACGGGTCGCTCCCTCCCAGTGCGGGGGAGTGTTGAAAATACTCCCGCGCTCATCAGTTGCCATATAGTGAAAGGACATTTTACTGCCCTGCTAAGGGAAAACGCCGTATGAACATCCGAATGTTGGCAAATTTCCGTTTATAAAACATTAATTTTTGAGGAGATCCATGAATATTTTCCGTTGAAATTTTCAGATACTGTGGATTAAATTGCGAGATAAATTCTCTGAAAATTTGGGAGAAATATGTCCACAAGTTTCCTTGGAAATATGTATTTCATCGGAAAAAGTTTGGCAACGTCTGGAGGCTCATACGGCGTTTTTCCGTAGCATGGCAGACTAGACTCCGGGACTATTTTCCGATGTAAGGGCGTATTTCGATTTTCGCATGGGCCCCAGAAAGCATGGATTTTTACGTGAAACAGAGCTCACGTAGAAATTGAGGTACGCTCTTACGTCAAAGGGGTGACGATCAGTGTGAGGGTGGCAAAAACTGGCCTTTTTTTATGACCATCAGGTTGAATACGTGATTAATCGTGTCGCTGCGGCGCGCGGCGGCTCTTTCGGGTGCTCTTTGTTCCTGAGTTTTCGCGATGACGTCAGGTGGAACCGGAAATGAACGGAGTGTTGACAATTTCGGAACGGTCTCCCTACGGATTTTCCAAGGGATTTCCGGCGGAAATCCATCGAGGAATTGGGCCGGAACTCTTGATAGGATATGAAAAATGAAAAAAAAAAAAAAAAAAAAATCAAGAAATTAGCTTGTTGTTTTTCTTTTGGAAATCATAATACGATAAATTTGCAACGTCGCATTTTGAGGTGCGTGCTGTCAGAGTTTAGTAATCGGTTCACTTGTTTAGACTCACTTATAGAGCCATTGGGGACGGGGAAATTGCCGGATCCAGGACTCTAAAGTACTTTTCCGGGAAAATTTGACTCCTGCACGGCTGAGTTGTTGTTTTTTTTTTTTTATTTTTTATTATTTTTTTTTTATTGAACGTTTCTGAATTATACGTAAACCTAAAAGTCGCTCTTTCTAAAGTATTAAAAAAAAAGAAAAACAATAAAAAAAACCCCAACAATGCACAGAAATAAATGACAAAGGATAAAAAGGAAAAAATTGATCTTTTTTTTTTTAGTTTAGTTTAGTTTAGTTTTTTTATAACAAAATTGGAAAAGAAGATTCATTTTTTTTCCTTCTCTTTTTTTGTTTGTTATTTATTTTATGCATAGTCTGGTGATTTCTTGATACATTGAAATCGATCCAATTAAAACCAAGATATTCCCCTCTTAGGTTTGAGGATGCTTTCTCTGGTTCAGCCTGGTAGGTAAATATCCCTTATTTTCCTCATTTCTGACTACCCTGAATAATTTTCTATCGAAAAAAAACCATAAATACCCCAACGTGTTTAAATAAAAAAATAAAAAAGCCCATTAAAACCGCGGACCAACGAGAAAATATTTGATGGCCCATGAGGGGATCGAACCCGCGACCTTCGCGTTATTAGCACGACGCTCTAACCAACTGAGCTAATGGGCCAGTTGGACGGAGGAACTGAAATACGCGGTTATAGGGCCAGCGACGTGTCTGAGGCGGTCCGTGCATGGCTGTGGCTGGGAAGGTCGCCATGCGCAGCTGCTGTGGCGCTAAGCGCCGGCGCCAAGTTCCCCACGGCATGAACCGCAGTTAGCATGTATCGTAGCGAGCTTCAAGGCTCACGAAGAATTGCGTTGCGTGTTTACGTAGCGCTATCTCCTTTAACATGACCGTGGCTGGCGCGTCAGTACCATTACACTGTGTTGCCGTTGCGTTTCCAATACCAGTCTCGATGCGCTATGTATTATCCAAGAAGAGCACCGATACAGACATCTTTATGATTAGTTGAAAAAGCTCAAACTTTCATATTTTATTATTAATAGTTAAATAAATAACACCAGAATGAATGCAATTTTAGAATTAACTGATAAAATCTTGATAAATAAAGTGCCTGATAAAAGGGTCAAATTGTAAAGGGTTAATTGTTTGTAAATTGTAATGGTAATTTATAATTTTTAAATTTAGTCTGTTACTTTAGTCAGAAAATAACTCATTTTTATTATTAACCATAATATACCTCTGCTTTGGTTTTAACTAAAATTGTGCGAAGAAACATAAGTTCTTAAATTTTAAGCCGAAATTCACATTGGATCCATGAGGGAGGTTTATCTTAAAATCTTATAATCCCCGTTTTGAGGAAAAAAAAAATTAAGCAAAAACAACCTCTCTCAACGAATTACCGAAGCAGCACACTGCAATATAAATATTAGAATGAAGTTGCCACTGATGGCAGATAAATTGTAATATTTTCACATCATTAAGTTAACATCGACGGTGAAAGTGCAAATATATATTGGTTGCGGTGTTTCGAAATCTCCGCTTCTATTTTATTTTTTAAAAGGAGACGAACCAACATTTTGGCTTGAAATGTGTACAGAATATTCTTCACGTGGAGAAGAAGAATGACCGAAGTTATCAAGAACGTTCAGTAGTTTTCCATGTATGTAGAAATTTTCTACTAGGAAAAGAAGTATGGCAGGAAATCCGCAACAATGCCTCAAGCCGAGAAACGCATGTCTGCAGTTTCACTATCGATGTGCCAAAAGTTCTTTGATAGTCAATTAGTTCTGTTACTCTGTGTGTCTAAAAGATGAGCATTCGAACCAAAAAAATTAGCTCATTTCAATTTGATTGCAACACATTTGGACTGGAGCCCATTCAATCAAAAGATAGGCAACATTTACAACATTCACGTCGCTCAGTGAGAACGGAAACACACCAACTCGGAAAAATGAAAATAATCGAGACATACACAACACTGCTCAGTGGATGAAGAC